CTCGTGTTTTATTTGTTGGCAGTAATTATTATCAGTATCTATATTTCGGGAGGACGGTGCATAGAGAAGAAAACTAGTGCAGTAGTCAAAGGCAAGAACTATCCGTTGGGGTTGAAACGGGTGCTTACGTATGGGAAAATTGATACTTCTACAATCGAAACATCAATAAAGTAGTAAAGTGATTAACATAGTTTATGCGCGAACGGTTAAATATATAATAATGTATATTTATTCCTGTTTATCCAGGAACATACCAATTGTACAGGCATGGATAAGTTATCTGGACAATTTAAGGAACTGAGAAAATGCATACAGTACTTAGGAAACGGCATTAATTATTCAAGACAATTAGCACGGCAGCAAGCTGTGACATTAGGTAGCTGCAGATACAAATGCTGGCAGACAGTTTTAACATAGAACTCAGCACAGAAGCGCAGCAGTTCAAGTTGTTACAATCCACACTTGAAAAGCATTATATTTAGTTGGTAATAAGCAAAAAATATTTCACCACACGTGTTTTGACTTATCATTTAGGCTATGGGATAAGGTAAACTAACTCATCAGATATGACGAGACAAATTGTGAAGCGTATCCCAAGTAAAAGAGGAGATTACTGTAAGATAGCTCTATTTCCAGTAAGACAATATCCGAGTGAAAAAATGCGACTATCACTTTTTGGCATTTTGGCGATTGTTATCTACTTTTTAACGTTCCATTGTACTCGGACTACATGCCATTCCGACTGACTGACTTCAGACATAGAACTTTACACACAAGTGTGCCCGTTTAAGTTGCCAAATTCCATGTAGCACACAAGGCAGAGAAAAAACAAATTAAATCGATCTCTAATGAGCATAAATGTGGGGCGGAAAGGACTGGGAAAGGGTTGATCAGACATGTGAGATTACGCAGAGTCAATGCATCTGCGTCACTGACAAAGATTTGGAGTCACACCTCTACCTAACACTTTACGCTTAAGCCTAAAATTACTGACTATTTTATATTACTTAACACAGGATATAGGGCACAGACACCTGCAGTCAAACACTAGTAACTTTTCATATCTCTCAGCTTCAGTTGTCACCTCTTGCGATCCAGGTGGACAATATTATCAGCATACTCTAACTTGAAGACACTATCCCGTGACAAGTCCTTAAAGTCAATGACGGACAACTTTATTAATACATGCATGAGAAATAGAGTCTTCCTTAATTTCTGAACAACTTGTACTTGTTCCAGCTAAGATAGTTTTCTTTCACGTATTAGCCCATCAAATCGAAACATAATAGCAATTAAATCTTTCCTTAAAATAAAGGCCACTTGAAAAACAAGTTCACAACAACGCTGCACATTGCGCCCATGGTGCTAATGCTTTGTGTCTTAAAATGAAAAGCAGACTGTGATGGGCAAACGAAAACTGTAACTAATGCTGAGGTTGCGCCATGAATGCCGACAACTACCAAACCAATTAAGACAATAGCGTTTCATTAAATAGGCCGAATACACCAGTGTGAGCTCATAAAAATTCAAAAAGATATATAGTACAATAATAAAAATTATTTATATTTCGTATAAACGGGTAAGTTTACATGAAATGCGTGCCATTTTTATAGGCATGATTACAGCGAAATATCATAAATGAGCACTTTTTAAAAAGTTTAAGTTGTCGAATTAGAGTGCAAGCAATCAGAACAGGTTCGCATAAATGCTAAATAGTAAACACTTCACTAAGGTCAACGTCAAGGTAAAGTGTCAATCTAAACTTCTTTGCTATTCCTGCTGATATTTATGGTCAACTAATGGACAACACACATTTGGGTAAGTGCTATGCTTCACGTGATTAAAAGCTATATTATGGAAAAGTCCCTTAATGCAAAATTTCATTGAGAAACCATAGAAAAACATGACCCATCACTAAACCAATATAGCAACGGATTGTGCAGCGGAGATATGCAATAAAGTCACTTGTCAAGTTGCTGTGTAGATGACCTGTTGTAGTAGATTGTACTTGGTTAGTAAATATGTCTTCGACTTATCTCCGCTTATCTTTTAATACAGCTTGCGTTTAAATCGAATCGGTTATTATATACGTAAAACAGTATTCTGAATTCCAGAGAGTTGTCTTCTGGCTACAGAAAGTTTTCCTGGTACCACTGTTGACAGCAAATGTTCGTGGTTTACTTAACAAAAGGTATTATTTGCAGATTTCTTGGTCCCACAAGCTACTTTTAATTGTACTGTCGATAAATTTCGCGGTGTAATTTTCTGTTTTAGAAGCCGGGTACAAAACTGACATAAAAATGTACCCTACGGCAGCCTTGCATTTTACAAAGGCACAACCCGGAAGCCTTGGTGTCTTGTTTTAGGTACGAATATTCTAGAGGACGTTATTTTCACTTGCGAATCGCAAACTTAATACGAATGAAGTTAGGCTACACTTCCGCTATTATTCTTTTCTTCCGTGAACTAAAAATAGTAGAGCAATCTGTCATATGTATGACAGAATTTGGTAAGCTACTCATTTGTGGAAATTATAATGATCATTTATTAGGTGCTACACAAAGCCGACAGAATGTTCACTATCTTAACATCTGCTGATACTGTAGCTATGAGAAAGTAGACATGTCACAATTCTATAAATATTCGTCTGTGTATTCCAGAAATGAAAAAATTTATCGGACACATAATTCAAGAGTTGGCAGGCCCCAAGTGTGAAAGTAACCTCACCTAGTTTACTAGCCCGCTATTCTTCTAACCAGTATTAGGCTCGGGGAATGGGCGCGGTTTGCGGAGTGGGGCCAGTGACCATACCCCGAAAAATCAATCCAGTCACCGTAGAAAATCCTATGCAAAATTTGAAAACTTGTTCTTCGTCGGAATTGAGAGGCGAAATTACACAACAGGCTGGTGAATGCCTTCGGGAAGCCAGTCAATCGATGTATCTTCTGTCGATAGAAACGCAAATAAGATTGGAGATGTGGAATGTGAGTGCAACATACAAGACTAGTAAGTCTACCTAGGTAACCAAAAAATGGGAATATATGGCTTGGAAGTGCTGGAAATCTGCGGGAGAAGACAGAATGAATGTGGACTATCAAAATTGTCAACTGGAGAGTCAATAATCTACTTCAGCCACTCACACTGAGGCAGTGAGTTGCTGTCATAATGCAACCGGTGGCAACCAAAGCCCTAATACAGTGGGAACCAGTTTCATCCAGGGTCATAACGCTAAGATTTGACTCAAAAGGAAGAATGGTTACAAATATCGAGTGCGACGCACAGTGTGACAAGCGACGCGAAACAAAGGAAGAAGGGAGATTTCTATAGACTTCTTAGTATCAACTACAAATGAGCCGAAACATACTCAACGATAAAATTGTTCCTCTTGGAGTACTCAAAGATATGGTGGATGGTAGAACTTTTAGCGGACAAGAACTCGGCAGCTTCGTTGTAGTGTGATTATCTAATGGTAAAATCTCTCTAAATCATTATTAAAATGTGCATTTTTCGGCAGCTGTACGTGTTATATTCTCCCTTCACTTATTGAGGAGGTTTTAAGAACAGCCTGACCATCACGTTAGGTCGACCAGGCTAAAGAGTCAGCAGATAGCCAAACGACAACCGTGAGTGTTATTTCTAGTTGAAGCCAAATGGAAGCGATCCCGGATCTGTGAAATCAACCTGGCTAATTTTTTGTAGTTTTCATGTGCTGTCATCTGTTTGCCTGATTCCCATGGCCTTTGGAAGTGCATAGAATGAAGCTGAGAGCTTCGGCCAAATTTAGTCATTAACAATACTTCCAAAGACCGCCTGGACAAGTGGTGAACATGAACAGAACATTATTTTCTGAGTATCAGTGATCATAGGGCGTGTATATCTGTAAAAATTTAATTTATTAAATATTTTATGGTGAAAAATTGAGATCAAATTGTATGTCCGTTAAAGAAGTCTAAGCTACTTAAAGTTACTTACTAGTTTCATTAATCAAACCGCTTTTCACACATCTACAGTTTATATTCGTTAGCCAATCACTGAGCGAGTGATTATAGTTTTCATTAAACAACATGAAATGGAATGTTCAAATATAAATTGCATTCTGTTGCTAATGCAGTTTCGAACTGTAGGAATATGCGAGAATAACAATCCGTTAGAACACATTGTATCACATCACCACTATAACATTCTGTCTCACTGAGAAGATTAACATTGCTCACAAGCAAGGATAAAATGGTAGTAGAACTAATAAATGTAACATAAATAAGAAAAAGCTTGAGGTGATTGGGTGAAGTCCACAAGCCTCAGTCACCGGTAAACATTGTCGTTGACACGGTACAGCCATGGTGGTTTATCACGGTCTTGTTGTCTTCCCTGAATAAGGTTCTTTGCAGCATCTCACAACTCGCTAGTAGGTTATATGATATCAGCTCTATTTCAGGTCTTTGGGTTCATGTAGTTTGGACTATGAACAATCGTATAGGTTACTGTATTGAGACGAGTTTAGAAGGTGGGTGCGAAGACTCTAATGTCACGTGGGCCTGAGGAGTTTTTACATAGTTGCATACCTTTGTCGTTTCATGGGCTATGTTGGGCCACCTTCAATAATGTGTCAGCCTAATGAAACACACAGATTGCCTGTGGTGACAGAAGGACAGTTTATTCTCATTTAGGACAGTTATCTAGGATGTCATTCGTTAAACTTGCAGTGTCCCATAGCTACTCGTATCAGTGGAAAGTGCTTAATCCTGAAATATCCTCTAATTCGATATTGCAGGAAAGTTAGTCGAGACAGTTCAATCAGAAAAGTCGTTAATCTTGAGGATTACACAATTGTGCACCTAATTTATAGTAATTTAGTTTTGTTAGAAGCACGGAAAGACCACAACAATTTGGTCGGGAAAAATAGAAGATAAGTTATTTTCAGCAGACACATCTGAAGAATCCCAAGGATCGTCTAGAAATTGAAAGTTTAGAACAGTACTGATAATTCAGTATCGAATATTATTTCAAGGTTATTTGACGCGTTTGTTCGAAAGGACGCGACGTTGAGGAAAATGGATTTTCATTCTACTCGTTTAGCATATCGAGGAAGGAGGTATGTTCTCAGAAATGCCTGCGATAATCTGAATTAGAATGGAACTTTTACACGTGGCTTTAATCTTGATCAAAATTTTGAAAGTGTCATCTTTCTTCGCTGCTTATGATATATTAAGGAATTCGAATCCACTAAATTTTTTAATAGTATTAAAACTTGTGTAAGTTTCTGATTTATATTTCACAACTGTATTCAGCGCATCACTAATATTACTGCCAGTACAGAGGCCATTTTCTGCCTCTCGACTGAAATTTACTGAAGTTTGTTGACTACATTTTCAAACATGTTTAATTTCAGTGGGTTCATATTATTAAATATTCGTTTGTGCGTGTGCTTATCGATGCACTTTGGATAGAGGGTCTTATCTTATGTGGTCCTTTCAGGTGGCAAGACAAAGTTTATTATTTCTAATTTTAGATTCATTTTACTGTTTGAGCACAGTGAATTACTTGTTCTTGCTGCAGCCAGTACGTTTTTCTTTGGTTCTCAATGTACAAAAAAGGTTGGTGGCTGTACTTTGACATTTAAATCCTTAGACACGAGGGGCAGTATTTTTCGTAATAGGTGTTATATGTGTCGCCTTCTTCGACCATGATTACACGCATGGAGATTCAGAGCATCGTATCCTTTTCGTGCAAGTAAAGTCCTGTCAAATCATACTCCAATGTTTTAAGTTAATTCATGCGTGACTTTAAAAAATTTCATTATGATTGTAACTCACTTTAATATTTTTGGTTTGCATTGTTTAAAGCTATAGTGGTTCTCTTACTATGTTGCGACTTGTAACAATATGCGCATCAACTCACTAGAGTGAAGCTGACAAATACCGCTAGTTGGTGATTATCCTCAGTTATTATTTTCTTAGGTATTCTGGTTTGTGTTGTGGGAATTCTTTTTGGTTAGAAATTGTGTCCTCTGCATTGGCTCGTTTTTATAGAATTTCAAGAGATGATGTCAAACTGTTAATGCCACAACCACATCAAAATATGCACTATGTATTTCTCTGTCCACCTAAAGAAATCAAACATTTTGCTGAGTTTATTTTACAAAGGAAATCATATTACATTATTATTTCAGACTAGACAATCGATTAATAGGATTTATTCGTAACCTTACTGCACCCTTCCCTACAATATAATCTAGTCTGAAACTTTCTCATTAGTGAAATAGCAAACACTTTATTCTATTATTTTAGTATTTTATATCCAGAATATCATTTGAGTTATAAAAATAATTGAGTTTGTACGTTCAAAAATTGCGTAGTATTTCGTCTCAAGTTGTTTTTCCTTAGCTGCTTTTCTGAACTCTCTTTAGCTGAAGGAGCTCACAAAAGTTTCCTCATTCATCATGTATACGAAATGTTCATAAACTTTGGATTTTCGGACCACAAAGTGAGTATATTTTCCATGCTAGATTGTGTGTATAGTAGATTTGATTTTTGATTTCAGCCATTCTGTTAATAGCTTTGGTGGGGTGTAGTATGTATTGTTTAGAAGTAGTCTTTTGTGGCACTGACGATACGGCTTAAAACAATTCTAAAGGTGGACGAAAAGACTATACTTTACGACCGCTGATTCACTTTGCTAATCGTCTACGCATAACTACGTGTTAACTGCTTTATTTAAGTTAGTTTATGCACTTATATCCATAACGTATTCGCCACTTAGAAATAGTTCCAAATATACAAGCAGATGAGTAAATCTGGTCAAAAGTTTTGAGCAAAAATGTTCTTCAGACGTTTTTCTACTCAAATACAAAACACGGACACTGGTTACTTTGTTTGTACAAAATAATACTTATGGTTTATTTATGATGTATGGTATTTCTTTGATATGATAATGAACAACAAATTTCGATCTAAACGTTTTCCGGTTAATAATACCTGTGTCACTGTGTGTTATATCAAATAATAATAATAATAAATAACAAATAATATACCATTACCATTTATATATCTATCATTTATCAAATTTCCAGATTTCTCATTTTCCCTTTTAACCGTAATTTCCATGAATTCTAATTAAAGACAATGAAATAGTTTCTTGTTGGCTTAGTTACTCAACAAGAGGTCTACGGGTTCTAACCACGTTCCACTAATAAAGGTTTGCACAGTCACACAGTGTTACCAGCTTTTATGCAGTGTGTAGAGCTATGATGGGCGAAGTGAATGTGGTTCTATATGGCACGGGAATTAGACGCTCGTATATGAAGTCCTTAATTATTTGTAAACTACGTAAATAAGTTCGCCTTAATGTTAGGGTTTAGTAACTGTGGAAATACCTTTCTGGACGTTGATGTTAAGTTGTCAAGTCTTCTTTACCTACTGTGCTTTACTTAATCGATCAGTCAATTGTGTTCAAGCAATCTCTATAGATTAAGGACGAGTACATATTCCCATTTTCACCACTTAATTCAAGGAAAAGACACATTGTTTTATATTGTAAGTCTTCCATACCCACTTTTTTGATTAGAGCCAGGTATTTGGTAATATGGATAATTTAGTTCGTGGGAAATAGTTATCGAATATTTGGAATGAATTCAGTTGTTCTTGGACCAATTAATCTCAAATACTGTTTTTATCTTTATAGGTCGGAGTGCTTGTATTAATTGGTGCAGTTTGTCTGGACTCTGGTTTAGCTACACTTTCTAGAACATTGGTGGCATCTATTGGAGGTGCTAAACGTTTACACAGCCTCTCTGCGTTAATCAGCTTCATCATCCTGATTCCAATGTATATGTTTACTCATTTTTACTATGAAACTTCCATTTACACAAAGGTAATTTGATTTATGTTACATTTTATCCATATTCAGCTATGTACAATGCCTAAATCTGAGTTTAAAGGTGCCCACCAGTTGTTGAAGGTGGTAAAAGATAGATTCTTTGTGTATTATACTCTCACATTGAATCTAACATACACTGAAGTTCTGTTTATTGTCTTTAAGATACTAGTGCCCCTTAAAAGAAAACTGAAACATGCATCCTGTTCACGAACAGATTATTTTCCTTTTTCATTATTTAAGAAAGCTCTTAGTTTTAAACCATTGCTTACACTAACCCGAGGATATTTTGGGCGTCAGTTACTGTGGTTACGTAACTGCTTTGTGCACAACTTTCTAATCAGTGAAAGCTTTCTTAGGAAACCTTGGTTTGATATTTTATCGGTGTTCTGGTCTTCCGTAATGAGAAAAATATTTTTTTGGTGTCCATGATATTAAAATATCGTATTTGACTCTGTCATTGATTTTTAGAGTGAAGTTTATTTAAACAGTTTTGACCTGCATATTACTGTTATATATATATATATATATATATATATATATATATATATATATATATATATAATCATCTGGTTTCATATGTTTTTACTTCAGGCTTATTTCACTGTTGCCAATTTCTTAGCTGTATAACGATTCTTGTAGTCCTCAGACATTGACTTTCACTGGCAGTGTTTCGAAATCTAGTAGTCGATGCAAGCACAGTGCATTGAATCTCCAATAGTTTTTCAGCCACCTTATCTGTTAGAATTGACACGAGCTGGAAAAATTAATAAGATGCAAGGTCTTTTGTGAAGCAGTTGACTAAATGAAACATTATAAACCACAGTTATCTTACTCCTTAAGATTTCCTTTAAGTGTAGGACTATAACCTCACCTCTTTGATGTCAGTTTGTATATTCTAGAGATTATGTTTTGTTATCTTTTCGTTTAATAAATGCTGTCTAACGGTGATTGTTTGCGTGTTACACCAAATACTATTGTTATTTTATGACGGCATTAAAAGATAGTTCACTGACCTTTTATTTCTCTCCTGTTTTTATCTAGGAGCCATCAGATTTATTGAAGATGATAGACAATGTTGACAGTCAAATTACTTCTGATGATAGTTCTAATGTTTCTTCTCAAGGAAATTGGATATTTTGGATGGTTTGTACAAGTGTCATTCATGTGATCGACTTCTATATGACTAGTTTAGTTAGTGGCAGGCTCGGTGCACATTCGGTAACACGTGTAGCTAAATTAGTTGTCGTGGTAACTGGACTAATATTCAGGTTAGTTGTGAGTGAATTAACCGTGTTTATTGCGCAGTATTTTTTTTTCTAGCTACTATCACATATGTGAATCTTGGATATCTATCATGGTTACCAAATTAATTATAAGAGTTTGCCGTCACCTAGACATTTCACTATTATTTTTATTGACATAAGTCCGAATAATAGTTTAAATTCAAGGGTTTTCTGTAAATATTAGTGTTCAACTCTCCGTTTGTCTCCTTTTTCTGATGCAATATAGGTGACTTCCTAATCCATCTAACTGGATTGTGTCTAACACTGATTTGATATGTTTGGAAAATCTATGTTTTCGTCTTCTGCACACTCCTACAACACTTTGAAGTGCGACTGAACATCTCGAGCTCTATCTTCTCCCACCCGTTTGCCACTATTCAGGATATGCATGATCCCATGGCAACTCTTTCGTTTAGTTTGTATATTTTTCCTCAAAATTTAAATACTGTTGAAACCAGGCTTAGTTACGCTCCTAACAAGATCCACTTTGTTGATACCCTGGTTTCGAATTTATGCTCTTAGTCAAAATTGAGTTTATTGCTAACAGCTTGTAGAGCCAACCCCGTAAATTCTAACTGAACACAGGCAATAATTTCTCTCGAAATATTACCGAAACCGAAAAATAGCTTGTCATGGTGTGTAAATAGCCCTTAAAAAATAATTACAATGAATTCTAGGGCTGCGTGTGTTGATACTTTTTTTACTGTACAAGGTAATGACGTCAAAGCTCACCATTCTTTCCGTATCCTCTAACTTTAAATCGTTTCAGTCTGCATAAGAATTTGTAAGTTTGGACCTTTGGACGACTTCTAATCGAACCTATGACCAAATGCTTAGATAACTCGAAATTTTTGGTAATTCTAAGATTGACATCTGGTCTAATAGAATGTCCTTGTGTATATAAAAGCTGATAGTACGATACTTTGTTTACTTCTGTACAATTTATTATTCCCTTGGGTTCTGAGTGGAACACGAGGCTTCAACAGTACATCCCCACTTTGTCCTGTTCTGTGTGGTCCTCTTTGACCCCATGATTGCCCATAGGCTCTCATCTCCTCCTCACATGACCTTCTTCATATCACCGTTGGATGCCCAACTCGTCGTCTGTCATTCGGGTTTCACTTGTGCGATGGCCTGCAGGATGACGTCACCCAGTGGTATCCTCACTTATTCGCAACGGCAGTCCATAATACGAAAATATACGTAGTCTGTTATAAGATGACACAGAGCTTTACTGGGTTTTCATTTGAATATCTAATGATATTTGTGCTCATTTTCATTACGTAACATATATAATGAAATAACACGGAACCTGACACATCAGTCAACTCGTTTCACTCTATAATGACAAAAGTAGTGATGGTCAACGGGAATAGAGATATAAGTAATGCAAGAAAACAAATCTTATTTCACATTTCTGTCAACCGCTAAGAGCCGACTGGAGTGTTGAGGATGTTCATTTTGAAATTTTATTTTCCATTAGATTAAATTTAATGATATAGGCAAATTCAAGTACTTTTGAAGTGCTAGTTTACAGGAATTAGATTACTTCCAAGTTCGATTGTGAGTTAATGTCGCTTAGAGAATTATTGAAAATCGACTCCCTGTGAACTGATATATCGAAAATTAATCTAATGCTCAGTAGTGATTAACTCTAGAGGATGAAGTAACCTGAAGTTTTAGTGGGAATTGGTGACGAGTAGGGTTCAAAAAGTTCGGTGTGGTTTCGGCTGTTTCTGGCTTTATATATCAAAACAACTGTCCAGTACTCTGGCTTTTTTCAAAACTGGAGTTAGCCCGTTATCTTACTTGAAATAGAAGTAAAGGAAACAATGAAGGTTTAATTTAGCTCCCAAGAGTTGCTTTTAGGTAGCACCTAACTTACGCAAAGTCGGACACTCACCATTAATTCACTACTTGTCTGATATAATGCCATGGGGTGTCAGTAATATCTTCGATGTTCTTTCCTAGGGTGAATATAGGATGTTTAGAAAATACTAGTCTGCTTTTGTTTGCAGAACAACTTTAAGGACCATCCTTCGATGATGATAATGGTGATGATATTGAGACCAAATAAGTACGTGTATCTACACGTGAAAAGTTCTCAGTGACACTTACTTGGAGGGGGTACTGCTAATACTCGCTTACTGGATCCGTTTTGAAATATACTCACAGAAGTGAATCAATATTTGACTACCTACAAACACAAGTGACACAACAAGCACTTCTGTTGATTGGAAGACTGTATATTTCTATTTTTAACACACGTCACTTTATCGTGCTCAATTTGTCCTCACCGCTTTATTCAAAAATCTGATTTCATCATAATTTTTTCTGGAAGACAACCTAAGAGACTGTATGGAACACTTCACTACTACTCATAATTATTCAGTAGAATAAAATTATTATTATGATTGTTTCCTTTAATTCCTAGAGGAACATAGGGCTTCAGCCGTGCGTCTCCACTGCGTTCGGTTCTCTGCTAGAGTCTTCACCTGGTTCCAAGTCTGCCCACACGTTTTCATCTCCTCTTCACATGACCTCCTCCAAGTCACCCTTGGACGACCAACTCGCCGCTTCCCTTTCGGGTTCCACTCGAGCGATGGCTTGTCTAGTGATGTCACTTGATGGTTTGTTTTCTCAGAGTATGGCCAATCCATCTCCATTTCTTCCTGCCTATTTGTTTCACAATCGGTTCCTGGTTGGTTCGCTCATTGCCAGAGATCTCTGTTGCTGATCTTTTCTGGCCGGCCATCTGATCTTGAATATTGAGCGAAGACAACTGTTAATGAAGGTCTGTTGTTTGTTTGAGATGCTCTTTATGACGCGCAGTGCAAGTCTCTGATCCGTATAGTATCACTGACTGACTTCACATTGGAGTTGAAAATCCGGATCTTATTTCCATTTTCATGTTGAGTGCTGTTGACCTCCACACAGACTTGAGAGTAATGAAGGCTTGTCTTGCTTTTCGGATTCTTACTTTGATATCCTCGTCAGTTCCACTGGCCTGTATTTGAAACGAAGCTTCCCAGGTAGGTAAAGGAGGTAGTTTCTTTCAGGTTCCTTCCATTTGTTCTGATTGTTGTCTGTTGTTGTTGTTGCTTTTGGTGGTGTTGCGCAGGAATCTTCATCACCTCCGTTTTCTCTATGTTCATCGGAAGTCCTATCTTTGATGTTTCCTCTGCCAACTTGTTGCTTTTCGCTTGCATATCTTCCAGTTTGTGGGAAATCAGACATATATCATCGGCGAAGTCCAGATTCTCCAAGTTTTTTGTGTGAGTCCATTTTATGCCTGTTTCCTCATTGCCCGCTGTTTGTTGCATTATCCAGTGTACTGCAATCAGGAAAATCATTGGCGATAGTAGGCAGCCTTGTCTTACTCCTGTCCTCACTTCGAAGGGTTCTGTAAGTTTCCCCTTGTGGATTACTTGGCATGCAGCATTGTCGTACAGCTGTTGGATGAGATGTATTATTGTCGGTGGCACCCCATAGTAGCGAAGTAGTTACCAAAGCACCTCTCGATCGACGCTGTCGAAGGCCTTTTCAAAGTCGATGAAGTTGAGATAAAGAGGTGACTGCCATTCCAAGCTTTGTTCAATGGTGATCCGTAATGTGTCGATCTGATCAATACATGACTTGTTTCTCCTGAATCCAGCCTGTTCCGGTCGAAGTTTTTCATCTAGGGCTTGTTTGAATTATATATATATATACATATATATATATATATATATATATATATATATATATATATATATGATAACCTAACTGATTCGCTTTATCAAATGTTTTTGCTAAAACTTTCAGCTTTTTCTGGGTACCATCCACTGTCGCTGAACAAATTGTGACAAATGGGATTCGTGTACATAGTTTTCTACTTCAGCATCAAATGTCTGCTGGTTTAATTGTTGCAGTTATTTGTATTTTGTATGGTAAGAAACCATTTTCGTGTTTATTGCTTGTTTGTTAGATACTTTTTAAAGAAAAAAAAGCAAATCACAAATTAAGAGATGTGGATCAATTTAAATGTAGATTCTGTCAAGAACCAACATCAGTTTAGAAATCATTGAAAACCATGTAGCACAAAACAGCTGTTTTGTCCTAGTTTGGGTCTCTTCAGAAGTTCCCACTCACTACCCTATTAGGAATCGAGGAGCAACGTCGCTGACCATTCAGCCACTTGGGCTGGAATTCAGTGACTCGTGTATTCAAAGTTTGTCAATTCGTAATATGTCACTAATGCCAACCAATGCCTTACATTAACATCCACTTCATCCCGAAATGATGGACCCTATCGCTCTTGGCTTCTCATTACAGCTCTATGACATCTATCTAGCATCTGTTTATGAGCTGGAGTTCAATATTCACATTATGACTTTTTGTGGAATTCCTCCCCAAGTGGCTGAATGGTCAGTGAGCTTGACCTTGTAACCTGGAGATCCCAGGTTCAATCTCTAGCGTGGTTATGGGTGCACACTGCTGAAGAGTTCCAAACTAGAATGAATCAGCTAGCTGTTCAGTGCTCCTTGGTTTCCAATGATTTTCTAACTGATTGATTTTAGTTCATGACTAAACCTAGATTGAAAATCACATATGTTCCGAATTCAGAGATCCTTGTCTGCGGAATGGTTAAAACTTGGGCTATCAAAAACTTCCATCTGTCTATTGCACAAATTTTCTCTCGTTCGGTTTGTTTTAATCGATTAAGATATGATCTCTAATGGTATTTAAAATGTTTACAAGCTTCTGATTCTCATTTCCTACTAAACTTGAGGAATGGTCTGATTGTGGGTGGCAACATATCCCAATACATGCAATAACTGTTCTTCAGTTATGTCTTTGGGTCTCGAAATGTATTTCTGAACTTCTTACATCTGACTTTCAACTAGATCGATATCGTGGATTTCTTGAAGGAGACAAAGCGGATATATCATAGTAGAATGATTCGTGCTTCAGTTCAGAGACCAGTGTGTCACAGGATACACTGTCTATTAATATTTTACTTGGAGACATTGTACGAAGGGAAAATATCATGCAATAAACTCCTCTGAAAATTCTGTACATTTTATGAATACTGTCCAGAATAAAGATATTATTGTTATTATCTACAATTAGTTACCAAATATCAATTAGTATCACTTCGTCTAAACTTACATTGAATAAATACAACTTAGTTTGTCCTATCCAACTGGAGCAAAATTATATTTATCATCTCACGACTAATATATATTTTTCACTAGAACCCCAGGTAACTGCCGGAATAGGGCCAGTCGCTAGTGACCATCAGATCAGTTTTCCAGTATTGGTTTGTAGAGATTTTGTTTGATTGGTTGGCTCCAAACTAGGACGAAACAGCTGTCCAGTACTCCCTGCAGGTTTTCCAATGGTTCTCTAACTGATGTTAGTCAGTTCATGATGAAATCCTCCAACCAATCAAACAAAATCCCTACAAAAAAGCCAATACTTGAAAATTAATCTGATACTTACTAGCAACTGGCGCTATTCAGGCAGTTAACCTGGGGTTCTAGTGGGAAGCCGTGACCAGTAGGGCACAGCAAGTCGAAGGTGAGGACAGTTACTCATCGAATATATTTTTCACTATTTCAATTCCTAAATTACTTCTAAATGTACTTTGTGTTGTTGACAGTACACATTTGATGAGTAGGATATAATCGTCAATTTCTTTGTGATGACTTAATAGAGATATATAAGTATCAACTGTTTAGGGTATAAGAAAAGTTGATTGTTGATAAATTGACTTGATACTACCCCGAAAGAGATTGAAAACTAAAGATTCCTTGAATAGGTCATCCACTGTCAATTAGGTATCAGGTCTTGTATAAGAACGTTTAGCATTTCTATTTACACAAAACTACACTTCTTTATAAGTGTTGTTTAATTAAATAAGGTGGATAATTTTCCAGAGTTAGCTTTGAGGGCTTTGATTTATTTCAAGTTTGACCACGTCGATAATATTGATAAAAATATGATATTCGCTATTAAGTTTCTCTTTATTGTATACCCTTGTTTTTAATACACCAGTAAAGGAGACGACAGTGGCTGAATTTTTCTAAGAATAATCACGAATTGACTTCAGTTAGAGAACCATTGAAGATCAGACAGTACTGCACAGTCGTTTTGTCTTTGTTTGAGACCCTTCAGCAGTACGTACCCACAACCCCATCAGGGGTTGAACTCATTGGATTCCGTTCCAGTGGCTCAATGGCCAACGAGATCACTTTGTAAATTGAAGGCGTTGAATTCAATCCCTGCTGCAGCCATGGATACGTATTACCGAAGAGTCTAAAACTAGGACGCAACATCTGTCCAGTATTATATGGTTTTCAGTTTTTCTCCAACTGAAGTCACTTCGTGATTCATTTTGAAACCAATCAAATCACTGGAAACGAGCCCTGGAAATCTTTTAATCTCACATATATTTATTTGGTTTTATAGTGACGTATGCATGCTGAGTGTACTTCTGACTGATCCAGCCCTTTGTTCGTTTATTTATTGATTTTTTGAAATTCAGCTTCAGATCTATTAACAACAACTAAATCTGGTTATGGACCAGATGGTAATTCAAGTGGCCATTTCATTGGTTATTCAATGGCTGGTTTACCACTGTTCACAGCTGGTCAAACGCCTACACATGGTTCTGCTTTATTAGCAAATCCAGAAGAAGTTGGTCTATGGTATCATTTACGGGAAACATTTCATGGCATTTTAACTGGAAAAGCTTCACGTCGTATTTTCGCCTTTTTATGCTTAAATCTGGTAAGAAAAAAGTCTCTTTTCGTTTTTTTACTGGTCTGTTTTTTTTCTTTCTACTTTATGGCCTAATCATTGTTATTATTCAATTATTCAACTTTATAACTTACTACCTGAAGCCTGATTGGGTGTATAAGAGTTATTCTAATATGATTGGTTTATTTTCTTTGTAATTGGGTTGAAAATCCGAATAAAAGAAAGCTAAGAGCTTTTTGACATTTGTTGTATAGCTACATAATTGCTATAGGGTGTTTATTCTACAGGTCTAAAAGTAGTGTAAACAGTTATGTAAATTACATATACACAGCTGCACTGGTATTTTTTCCAATTGTGTAGTATTATTGCTTAGACTGTATCTCATTCATTTGTTTATCTGAAGGTTAAAATGCGGAACCCTCCAATCACGTGGTTTAAAGTAAAAAGGAAACTTTCCTATCGAATAATACTAATTGGTATTGTCTTAATGTTATGTGGTGAAGGGTGACCAGTAGTGGAATCTAGAATGTGCGCTTTGTGCGCTTATTTGGGACTCGTCAGTTGGATGTACCTGCATTCCGTAGGGAGTGATAGTGTTCTCACATTGGACTGGAACCCAATACCCTTCGTTTCAAATGCCAAGGCGTTATCGACTACACCACTTGGGCCACAAGGACCATCTCTTGTGCAACGGGAACAAGCTATCATTTTGTTTAAGCCAGTTTTTGTTTTCCCCGTTGATTGTGCTAAACCGAAATGTTCCGCTTCTGGTAACATATCATTCTTAGTACGGACGCTTCGACGGTGTCTGACGACTAACACTCTATGGTGATTAGTAGTCTAAGTGAGAACTGCATCACTCACTAGGAATTTGGGGTAAATCCAGATGATGAGTCCTGAATCGGACAAAATGTGCATCCTGGATTCTACTGCTAGTCAACATCCACCAAAATAACATCAGTGTTAATCCTCAAACACTATCGAAATGTCGTCACTAGGAGCTGACATGTAAACAGAAGCCGAACATTTCGGTCTAATCAATCAACAAAAAAAACAAAAATTGATCTATGTCTCGTCCTGGTTTGAGACTCTTCAGCAATACGCACCCACACCACGGGGTTTGAACCCAGGACCTTCCGGTTACAAGGCGAGCCAGCTCGTAGACCACTAAGCCACTAGGACCCGGTCGAATGGCCAGCTCATGAATTCTAACTTCTACCAATTCACGACATAGCGTGACCACTTCACAGTGTCTTCTTCGATGAGTTACTGCCTCACCTTCAACCTGCTGCACCTTACTGGTCACGGCTTACAACTAGAGCCCCAGGTCACTGCCTGAATAAAGCCAGTCGCTAGTAAGCATCAGATTAATTTTCAAGTATTGGTTTTGTAGGGATTTTGTTTGATTGGTTGGATGATTTGATCATGAGCTGACCGACATCCAGTGGCAGAAGTTAAAATTCATGAGCTGGCCATTGGATCGGGTCCCAGTGGCCCAACGGTTTGAGAGCTGGCTCACCTAGTAACTAGAAGGTCCTGGTTTCGAACCCCGCGGTGTGGGTGCATACTGCTGAAGAGTCCCAAACCAGGGCGGAACAGCTGTCCAGTATTCCCTGCAGGTTTTCCAATGGTTCTCTAACTGATGTTAGTCAGCTCATGATGAAATCCTCCATCCAATCAAACTAAATTCCTACAAAAACCAATACTTGAAAAATTGACTTAAACAAAATGGCATTGTTTTAAGTTTTGGCATTCTTATGGACTGTATGGTTAACATGAGGTTAGATATTACCGTTATCAGCACTTAATTGAATGTGCTTATTTGTTAGATACTTCATCATTTTCCACTTTGTGTGTTCTGATGTAGGTTGTTCATTTTGAATTTTTTATTTTGTGAACAAGTGGACTCATTTGATCATTGGAACAAATTGGAACAAAAACCGTGGAGTTACAATTCATCGTTTGATAATTATTCTAGACTGAAAGTAGCAAATTATACATTTATCGTAAAATGATATTGTTTCAACTTTTTGATGAGTTGCATCTAGATGAATAGTTTGTATTCGATAAGAAATCTGGTTTCACTTAGATTGAGAGTTAAATGCTAATAAACGAAATGTTGACTTATTCAACAAGTCTTTATAGATAATAGTAATAATAGCTTTATTCTGAAAAATGAGTTTATACATAATACAGAATTTTCAGCGAGTTTAATAGCAAGGTATTTACGCCTTATGCATAATGTTCAAATAATATTGTAACGACAGTATACAAAGGCTGGGCAAAGCTAGTTTATTGAGAAAATAAAGAGATATTTATAGATTTTTATGGACATTATTGTCAGCGGAGAAGCAACGTCTTCTGATTGGTTTTTTTTCTTGCTGCTTCTGACCGTTTCTCAGAAAGTTAAGCCATACATCTGCGAATCCTATTTGTACACGTTAAGTCTGCTGTGATTGGTTGTTGAGTTCGTCACGGTTAAGCCTTGTTATTGTTTTTTTCTCATGACCCCGATTCAGGACGTAAACATTAACGTAAGCTGTTGTCTACAATTTTGACTTGTTCTCAGTCAGCTCTCACCACAATATGATAATCGATAATATATCATCTGAAACAATGTTGTCCCTCCCGAGGATTGATATAGTACTACTTCACAATGTTTTTCCTCCATTTCTTTCGAAAAATTCCTAGCGGTAGGTCGAAACTGATTTGAAATTGTGCGCGAGTATAGGTTACGACTCTCACTGTGGTAATTAGAAGATTAAAACAATTTGAAACGGAATAAAATCTTATACATTTTGATGAATAGAAAATTTAAGTAGCTCAGTGATTTAAGCAAGCCGCTGTGTGTGTATGTGACAACAAACAGATCAACAGAGCCTGTCACTGGATTGTTTTAGTTTCAAGCTGCCAAACTTGGCTTGGCTGTAAAGGGAATGCCGAGAAAATACATTGCACTGATTAAGGCGCTCTACTCGTACTCATGCAGCCAGGTGAGGACTTACGGCGAGTTGTCATCTGAAGTGGTGACAACTAGTGGCGTCCGTCAAGGATGCCCATTATCTCCATTTCTATTCAACTTCATCGTAGATGTGCTAATGGACTTAACCCTAACTCACTTCAGAGACTCAGGGATTGACTTGTTACCAGGGTACAATAGTCTCGTGGACTTAGAATATGCAGATGATATAGTCCTCCATCCTAGGTGAAGACGCTGACAAAATGCAGTCTTCTGAACACCTTTAGCTGCAGTCTACGAATGTTTGGCATGCGATTCGTTCCTGCCAAATGTAAGATGATGTTAGAGGACTGGACTACACTGACTCCTAGTTTAGAAAGACGGAGTGAAGTGGTAGAGCGCGTTGACCGCTTCATTTATTTGGGAAGTTGCATCAGCCAACGCCAGACAGGTTGATCTCTGACGAAATTCCAGCACGAATACAGAGGGCTAGTTTCGCATATGCCAGTTTACGCCGCCTCTGGCGTAGACGTGATATCCGACTATCGACCAAAGGGCGTGTGTACTGCTCATCAGTCCGCTCCGTCCTCTTTTATGGCTGTGAGCAAGACCTGGCCATTGAGAGTGGAAGACATGAAAAGATTAACTATCTTTGATCATAGGTGTCTGCATTCTATCTCCCGTGTGAAGTGGTATAATAAGGTGAGCAATATTGAGGTTAGGCCTCAGTCGAGTGCTAGGTAAGGTGGGGAAATCAGTCGACGAGGCTGTGAAATTACATCAACTGAGATGGTTAGGACATGTGTTACGTATGCCTAGTCATCACCTTCCTCGACAATGGGCAATGCTAGCTGATATAGGGTCAGGCTGGAAAAGAGCTAGAGGTGGTCAAACCAAAACATCGTTTCATCAGTCAATGAAATCTACAACAGTTAGTCTAAGCCACGTAGGAAGGTGTAGACTTACTGGTTGGGGTCCTCGGGACGGTAAAAACCATTGGTTGGAAACAATTGGTGACATGGCTCAAAATCGTTCTCAGTGGCGCAGATGCATCCACTCCTTGTGACTTATGATTTCCAATGAAACTATATTGTTCTTCGTTATTACTATACCTTTGTCTCACACCTCTGTTTACTGTCTCTATTATGCATTTCTTCTACTTTCTTCTCTTGCTTTGTGTGCTAAATGGAGGGAGTTTGGCGACTTGAACTGCCGCACATATGTGCAAAGTTCTATGTCGTAAACAAACAAACAAAAACAAACAAACTTCAAAGTTGTGCAAAAAACTTAACGCAAATAGAATGGTAGTCCGGTGGACTAATGTTAATGTGAGAGAAAAGGGGATAACTAAATAAGCAATAATGTGAAGATAATGGAGGTAGTAAATCTGTACCTATATGGTTGGTTATGCATCACATTGCAAAGAGTCTCTCATCGTTGATTCCTTTAATCCTAATAATTCCAAGTCTAAGACTAGTTTGCTTAGCTCAGATCAACGCTGACTTCATGTATTTATACCACGTTTCACCTAGACTTCCGTCTCTAACTTTTCACCTATGCTGTTTTGAGCATCGATACCTTCGCACAGTATGTTGACAATGAGTGATGCACAAAAGTTGTAGTATCTCAGTTTGAATTTTAATTTTCTTGTAGGAAAAACAACAAACAGAATGAAGAAATATGGATTCCTTTTCTTCAAGTAGTTCCTCGTCATCGGCTGTAAATTGATGCAGTTTCCACATCAAAATTACACCAATCATGTGGTTATTTTACTCCTTGAGAATTATCAGCTTCACGTATAGGTGTGTGTGTGTGTGAGGATAAAAGATTATAAAAATCATCAAAACAAAGCAAACAAGTAGATGTTTGCAACAAGATATCTGTCTGTGTGGATTCAACATAGAACTTGGCACCTAAGTGCAGCAGTTCGAATTGCCACATTCCAAAAAGCACACAAAGGTAGACAAGAAGATGAGTAAAGAGAATCAATACAGTTTTGGCAAGTATAAGAGTGAAACAGAATGAGTAATGGTAGAAAGGAATATGAAAGATTACAGAGACTGAATACATCTGCGTAAGCCATTGACAACGATTTTGAGCCATGTCACCTATTGTCTCCAGCCGTTGTGATTCTTAGAGTCCCGAGGGCGGGCCCCAACCCGGAAGTCTGCATCTCCCTCCCTGACTCAGTTTAACTGTCAAGGATTTCATGGATTGGTGCCATGTTTTTGTTTGGCCACCACTTACTCTTTTCCAACCTGCACCTATATTAGCTAGTAATGCCCGTTGGAGTGGGGAGGCGATGGTTAGGCATGCACAGCATGTGACCTAGTCATCTCAATCTATGTAACCTTATAGCCTCCAACAAGATATCTAGATTTTGAGGAAGAAGTGAACATAATTACGGAATCCAAGATTAATTAATTCGTAGAAGTTACCGAAAAGGTTATTACATAATCCAGAAATCTGTGAAATAATGATGACTAAGAAAAATAGAATGACTAAGTACACTTACGTAAGAATACCAAGATAGAAACAGGTTAACTGAATCCCCCGGGGATTGTAATCTTAATCAAATAAAAAGGTCAAAAGACAATTACAAAAGGAGAGGGAAATCGTTTGTAAAACTTAATACTTATTATGTAGTTGGCTACAGCAAAGAAAAGGGCTGCACAAATTTCTTCTGAACACACATTTGTGGCTTGTTCAGATGAATTCTGATTACCTCTACTGTGCGTAAAAGTCGTACTTGTAGAGCATACAAAAGGTTGGATGAAATGCAATGAATAACTTTAAAAAGCTTTGTTAGTGTCAACCAAATGTCCAGTATCGACGAGATGAGATAGTATTGGGCTACGTATAGCTAACTTTACTTGAACTTTTACGAAACCAAGATGGGAGGTGTTGAGATAGTCGATGATGAGCCTGTCTAATCGTACACGAACAGTTAAACTCGTAAATAAACATGGAAGCGGTAAAACAAGGCAGTTTGTTTTTATTTCTTGAACTGAATTTTCACGAATTATGTATTATGTTATTTGCATTTTTAGGCTTTTACATTTGTGGAACTCTTCTATGGTGTATGGACAAACAGTTTGGGTTTAATTTCTGATGGTTTTCATATGTTATTCGATTCAGCAGCACTTGTAGTCGGGTTGTATGCAGCTGTTGTATCACACTGGAAACCAACTCGTATATTCTCTTATGGGTAAATTATGGTGTTTTGTGTTTATTGAAAGTGGTGCTTAATTTATTGCGGACTGGATTTTGATACTCATTTAGGAAAAGTTGTAAAAAAAATACTAAATGTGTTTATGGTTCTATAGATATTTTGTTTAAATTGATTTTTTTCCTTCACGTTCCCCAGTGGAACATAGGGCTTCAAGCCACTGGCTTGAAGTTTCTGTAGCAGCATTTATTTTTACAGGATGGGGTTGCTAGCCTCATGCCCAACCTTTCCTCTTCACCAGCATTATTTCTAGCTTAGCGAGGTAAAGGAGTGCATCGGCCGGGGATCGAACCCCGGACCATGTGCATGGTCGGCGAGCGTCCTAACCGCTATGCCACCGACGCTTTACATCGGTTGGGCACTAGTTAATAACCAGTATCATGCATCTTGTGCGTTGGTTGCACAGCGGTAGAATATTCGACAACCACGTATACGATTCGGGGTTCAACTCCCGCTTACGCACGCACTCCTTTACCTCGCTAAGCTAGTGATAAGATTGGTAAAGGAGGGAGGTTAGGCATGAGGCTAGCAACCTCATCCCGAAAAATTAACACCACTGCTGCGGAAACTTCAAGCCTTTAGCTTGAAGCCCTATGTTCCACTGAGAACATAAAGGATTAAAAGAATCATGCATCTAGTCTTTTACTTGGTGCACACTGAATTCTATCAATCAAGTTTGCCATGTGTTCACCGAGCTAGGTGACTCGCCATTGTAGTGCACTGTGAATTGGTGTTAAATGATTAGAAGCAATAGGATGGAAGTCCTGGATCTAGGTTTCGGATCCGAATGGGACATGAGTTCCTTCAAGATTGCAGATAAGCCTTACTGAGGAGTGTCAACCCAGGTCCAGGGTCTTTTGCTGATAATCTGTAACAATCTAACGTCAGATATTGTGTTTATGTTTTAAGCAGACTATTGATATTCGATGCCTGGTATCTTAAAAGTACCCATTCATTTGATGGATATTAACTGGAAGCAGACCCACAACGGAAAACTCAGCGAAGAATCTGAGTTGAAGACAAGAGTCAGACAAGGTTGCCTACTATCACCGATAATATTCCTGATTTTGGTGGACTGGGTTATGCGTCAAATTGTGGGGAACGAGAAGAGAGGAATGCGTTGGACCGATAAGAAGACTGTGGATGATCTGGACATCATGGATGATTTATGTTTAACGTCACACAAACTCGAAGACTTACAGGCGAAAACCAACAAACTTGTAGAAGAAGCAGTGAAAACAGGACTTCAATTGAACATAGAAAAGACAGAGGTGATGAAGATAACCAACCAACAACGACAACTAGTCACTATCAACAGGAGGGATTTAACGGAAGCCAGTTCTTTCACTTATCCAGGCAGCATCGTTTCAAATGCAGGCAAGCGGAACGACTGAGGATGTTGAAACCAGAGTTGGAAAGACAAGGCAGATTCTCATCACTCTGAAATCAGTTTGGAAATCCTCTTCATTCCGCCTAAAGAAAAAGATTCGGATTTTCAACACCAATGTTAAGTCAGTCAGTTCTTCTGTTGCGTCAAGAAAAGCATTTCCAACAGCCAGCTGCAGACTTTTATTAACAGCTGCCTTTTCTGGCTCCATACTGAAGATCAGATGGCCAACCAGAAAATAATTAGCAACAAGAAACTCTGGGAAGCAATCAACCAATAAACTTCTGCTCAAAACATATCCCTAAGAAGGTGAAGAAGCATCGGATACACTCTGAAGAGACCGCTAGGTGACATCGCACTATCAGGCCCTCAAGTAGGACCGAATTGGGAAAAGACGAGTGGGCGTCAGAAATCAACATGAAGGAGATCGACTAAGGACTAAATGGGAGCATATGAACAATGGTGGAGCCACCTGGTAAAGGGGACTGCAGGAAACAGGACGAAGTGGAGATGTGCCGCTGAAGCCTTATATTCCACTCGGAAACCATGGTGATAATAATAAATAGTCGAAAGTAGATAGATACAATGAAATGAGAAATTCCCATGACAGTACATCAATCTAAGCTCTGTTACACAGAAGATTTTCAGTAAAAGTCAAATATTAATAATAAAATTTGTCAAGGATAAAAAGTAAGGGAACAGGAAGGAAGTATTTACACAATGATAATATACTTAGTATTTCGGTAACATTACAAACTTTATTCATTTATGCTCGTGGGATTTGTTCCAGTAATCGTAATCAAAGTCTTCAAACATTATGGGTAAATTTTGTTTTGATAAAGTCTCACAGTGTTATACAGTAATGTTTACTGATGACGTTTCGAGCACAATTTATTGCTTGATATGATTATGAGCAATAAATTGTGCTCGAAACGTCATCAGTAAACATTACTGTATAACACTGTGAGACTTTATCAAAACAAAATTTACCCATAATGGAATTACACTCTACCACAGTGCATAAGTTTTATTCCTATATCTTCAAACATTAGTTTTTAGCTTCATCGAGGTGTCATTCAGAAAATAAGTTCCGCTCAATAATCGATGACTTCATGAATGTTTGTTCGTAACGAATTCTATATTGAAATTAATTCGTATTTATTCTAGCACAAATTTGTTTCTACTTCATTGGATTTAGTAATATGTACGGTTTTTACCAGTTGATCACGGATTGATATCAGTTAGAGAACCATTGAAAACTAGGGAGTACTGGACAGCTGTTTCATCCTAGTCGTGATCAGTGAGGTGGTCCATCCAGATGTTACTTGTGAGGATGGATGTCCCACCTACGACAATGGTCGGGGTCGCGCTAAATCACGAATTGGCAGAAGTTAGAATTCATGAGTCATTGAATCGGGTCCCAGTGGCTGAATGGTATACGAGCTTGCCTGGTAGCCAGAGGGCCCTGGGTTCGAACCCTGGCAGTGGGTGCGTACTGCCGATGATTCCAAAACTAGGGTGAAACAGCTGTCCAGTACTCCCTGGTTTTCAATGGTTCTCTAACTGATAACAATCCGTGACCAACTCGTAAAAACAAAACTAACCCTTACAAACCAAACTATAGAAAATATGTGCGGTGGTTAGATGCAAATCTGTTTCAAAGCATCAACTTCAATTTAATATTAGATCACATTCCAGACATTCTTAAAGTTCATAATTTCACAAAAAACAGTGTTTTATAAGAGTTTTCGTTTTTTTATAAAATATAGATTTAATGACTTTGTTTATTCCTTTGCGTCTAAATTAGTCGTCATTCTGTAAAAGTGAAAGACTGTCAACAAAGCGTGTGCGTTGGTCGTTCAATTATAGAATACTCGCCAACCACGCACGTGGTCTGGGGCTCGACTCCCGACCGGCTCACCAATTAACCTCGCTTAATCAGTAGTAAGCCCAGTAAAAGAGGTAAGGTTAGGCGTAAGGCCTATGTGCCACTCGAAACGCAAAGGATTAAAACTAAAAGAGATGCTTTTGGTGTGATTCACAGTCACTTGGGTTTTGACTTTTCTCACTGGACAATTTCTGATACATCGCAATTGTTCACTGTTGAAGCCGACTAGGAAAATTTAACAAATCATAGCTTAGTAAACGTCAGCAGTCATGGGCCAGTATTCAGAAAATATCATTCTAATTCAGTGTTGTAAGTTAATTCACAATTTCAAATGCCCATCGAGTCGGTGTTCTAGCTTCGGAGTTTATAAGCTGATTTTTTGTGGATTTTCACGGTTTGTAAATGAAGCAGGTAAAAAATTGATCGTAATAGTTGATGATACACTATTGATATTTCAAGCAAAATACTTATTTAATTGGTGGATGGTGACTAACAGTGGAATCCATGATGCGCATTTCGTCCTATTTGGGACTCGTCATCTGGATGTACCTGCATTCCCAGTGAGTGATGATGTTCCCACTGAGGCTCTAACGCAGTGCCCATCCACCAATTAAATTCTATTTACATGCCTAGACATCGTCAAAGCATCTGCACAAGAAGCCGACATGTCAACCTGAGACCGAGCACTTCGGTCCAATCAGTCGACAGGAAAATCTAAAATTCAATTAAAATACTTATTGTTTTATGCTTTTTAAACTTTAAGTTAGTAAATATTGAGGTTTTTTCATCCTTCTTAATAATTATACAACTATTTTTTTTGTTTATTATTCACTGATATCCAGGTACAATAGTGCTGAGATTCTTTCTGGATTTGTAAATGCCTTATTCCTATTAGTTATATCTGCTTCCGTGTTTGTCAATGCCGTTGCACGAATTCATCAACCTCCAGATATTAAAACAGATAAATTACTGGTAATGTCAGGGTGATATACATTTTTGTAGATATTTATTTATTTTTTTCACTGATTACAGATATAAATAACTTTCTATATCTCGGCATCTCGAATCGTTTTATTCCGGAAAGCTCGTTTCTTTAGACTGTTTAAATTTGCTCATTCGTCTTGTTGATGCCTAACACTTGTGTGATTTGCAAGGATTGCACCAACTTTATGGATGTTCCCACTGCAAGCTGAAATCAGTTGGAGAACCAAAGAAACCGATGAGCTCTAATATTATTATTATTAAAACACAAAATGTGTACATTATGGACACTAAAAGATACACCATACCAGATGTCATAGCTTGTGAGAGGGCTAGGATACTACTAAGAGGTTCAAGCTGATGCAGGAGCCATCCTTCTGAACCTTTAACTTGTCGTCTGATCCACGAGGCGGTGGAGAAGCGTCAAGGTTTCTAGTGGCCAAAACAGGTTCATTCGACATTCGATTGCTTCGGATTCCGCAGCCCATGTACACTGTAGGTTTGGAACCAAGTTTCTTCAGCTCCTCTAGGTAGATTAGCATGTTCACCAGTCCGTTTGTAAGCACCAGATGTACGAACTCGCCTTTTCACTTTGGTGAGGAACTCCACTGCTGTGGGATGTCAGGGAATAGGACCTACGTGGCAGAAGTTATGAATGCATGACCACATGAGAGCATTTCGAGAGTAGGACCGAAGTCTAATCACTCTTGGCCGTACCAGTTCGTGAGGAGCAGTAGACAACTATTCCTTCCTACTATATGACCTCCGAGCATGAGAAAATATAACCGTATGTGGAAAAGAGACAAGAATAGTCAGGTACCTACATCATGAAGTATTCTTTGAGGAATGCTATTCTTGAGGACCTGACTCTACTTAGCATCGTAAATTACTACTCTCTGCTTCTCAGTAGTTCTGTAACGGATATCAGTTTGTGATGAAATCCGTCTGAAGAAGGGTCACGTATTTGTCTCAGTGATCATATTTTGTGTTCTTAGAGCTTCAGTGTTTAGAAGTGACTTGACAGAATTGCGGAAACTATCTTGACTTTATTGTATAGACTTCATTTGCGATTACGGATATTGAGAATATTGATCTTGAGTACAGCTTCAGTGCAATCTCTTTGTATCATAAAATCGCCTTAGATTTTGCGCGCTATTTCTTTTCATCTCGATTGCCGGTGAGGACTTTTCAAACGTTTGAAGAAATTTGTTTGTTATATTTATGTTCAAAGTGATGGCAGAGTATAAAATCCCGGGTAGTAGAATATTAGAAACAGGAAATATCTGTCATAATTTATATTTAAGTAAACAGGGAATTTTAGGGAAGAATATTAATTAAGAAAGCCTATGAACATGTGGTCAGAAATTTTTAAATATGAAGGTTCTTGTAAATCAGGGTAGATATACAAATTTTTATTCTTGATTATTTTCAAGGAACTCTAAGAAAAAAACAATTAATCTTTTTGGAATTCCTCCCATTTACCTTAAAAGAATCCGGCCATCTGAGATTTCTGGGAATATACTGTCGAGATTATTCACCATACTCTCTCTAAGATTACAGCTGAAAAGTAATCTGAAGTTAAGTTGGGCTTTTAACTGGCGTGTCAAGTTACCACCTTTATTGATGAGCAATATAAGCTGATATGGAAATATTTAATTGAATTTTAGATTTTCCTGTCGACTCATTGGAGCGAAGTGCTCAGTCTCAGGTTGACATGTCGGCTTCTTGTGCAGATGCTTCGACGATGTCTGGGCACTCACTCGGGAATGCAGGTACATCCAGATGCCGAGTCCCAAGTAGGACAAAATGCGCATTGTGGATTCCACTGTTAGTTACCATCCACCAATTAAATTCTGACATGGAAATAGTTTGGAGAAGAGATAGATGCATTCAAACCAAAACGTAGTATTAATCCATGAAATATTTGACTTTCTGAGCTTGGTTGAGATCCTCTGGATGTATTAGAACAAGTATCTTGGGACTGTTGGGGATATAACTCAAAACCTTCCTAAATGACGGAATTACATCCATTGTGTGTAATCTTCCAGATACACTAAGTTCTCGTGTTCTTCTGTGTTGCTATTATTTCTAGTAGTATACAGATATATGCAAGTGTGCTTGCTTTTTGATTGCCATCTACAGTTCCCAAAGGAAACTGTGATGAAAATTTCACCCCTCGAACTGTGTACATTGCAAATTGTGAATTTGACTTATGGTATCGCCAGTTCACCCTAGTAGCTAGTCAGAAATCGGGTGGTCTGAACTAATTCAGATCTCTGAGCTGATGCCGCTGATGAGCTAGGCCCAAAAGGAAGCGAAACAGCCGTCCGATGTTTAGATCACCTCGATCTGGTTAACTGGCAAGCACTACTGGTTTGAATGAGTGTGGTACACAACTACTTATCTCAATCAATCAGTAGTATATGGTTTTATGCAAATATTATTTCTCGTACATTTCTGCTCATTGCAGTTCTTGTGGACTTTTCTTCTTCTTTCTACCTTTGTGTGTGGCAGCTTGAAATTGTGTCGCACTTCAGTTATTCTATCCTATAACTTATTCAGCCCTATTCATCGTGCCGCTTGTTTGAACCACACTGTTATTAAAGCCATTTAGCTGGATAGCACTGGTAGCTTCTACTCAATAACAATGTTAATAGTAAATAAACTTATGTAAAAGTGGAGTTACAACTGACTAGTTTAGGCCGTGAATCTATAGTCATGATGTCATGTGTCCGAACCATGCTTCATCAACTGATGCTTAAACAGCTCTCTGGCATCCTCATTATTTGGCTCATTGTCAGGTGAAAACACACGTGGTAGTGGTTGTTGGCGTTTAAATTCATGTAGGAGTACACTTCACCTTCAGGTGACCTTTAAGATTTCAAAATGAGCAATTAACAATCATACTTAGGTTGTTATTTATTGAGTTCCTCTAGTCTTCATGTCATGTCTTTCCGATAATCATTTGTTAGTGTGACTTCAGTTTTGTCTATTTTAAATTTAAACTGACGAAATCCGAGTTGTTTGTCAAATGGTATGTGTATAGTTGTATTTCAGAGGCAACGCCTTTAATACGAATGGTGTCCATACAAATCTGTCCTAAAATATTTATGCCACTGAGCTTATATATAAATAAGAAATGTGACCATCACATAAGGCGTTGACACACACAAAGGTCACTAAGCTGGTGGTGCACATATAATCAATCTGCTTTGAAAGTGAAACCTAATAATCATATGAGTTTTTTTTTTTATCAACGGGTGTTGTAGCTGTGCTATTTATGTGCTATTTGAAAGGACAGTTAGACATAGCTGCCATTAGATTAAAATGCTGCGAAGTAACAATCGCCCTCACAACCCGAAGAGCACGCTGCGATGATAGTAATAATAATAATAATATTGATTAGAGGTACTGGTAGAGTCATACCCAGACTCTGTGAATCGTTAGAGTTTTGTTCTAGAAAAACATACAGTGTGCTTACACATACATTAAGATGGCACTAGTGTGCTGTCAGAGAATTGATTGACTGCAACTGATTGTTGTTTGTCTCTTTACTTCTTACTGTGAACAAATGTTGAACAATATATAACAGCATCTTGATCTCCTAACTGTTATTAGTATCTTTTAAAGTTCACTTAAGGGTGTCGGTAGAATGAGTAGAATGCTCGCCAACCACGCATGTTGTCCAGGGTTCGATCCTCGGCCGACAAGGCACTCCTTTACCTCGTTCAGGCAGCACTAAGACTGGTAAAGAGGGAAGGTTAGGCATGAGGCTAGCAACCCCATCCTGTAAAAATAAAACCACTACTGCCGATTCTTCAAGCCTCTAACTTGAAGCCCTATGTTCCACTGGGAACGTAAATGAATAAAATTAATAATGATGAAATAATAAGGGCGTTGGTGGTTTAGTGGTAAAACATTCACTAGCCACGCACATGGTCTGGGGTCCGACCCCTGAATGACGTACTTCTAAACCTCACTTAGCCGGTAGTGTAAACCCGGCAAAGAGGGAAGGTTGGACGTGAGGCTAGCAACTCCACCCGATAAGAAAGAACACCATTGCTTAGGCTGGAATCCCTTTGTTCCGTTTGGGTGGGTAGCCTAAGGAATAAAAAAACAGTTCACTTCAGTTTCACCAGTCTTAAGAATATCACATCATTAGGCGTTCAAAGTATCCTAATAGATCTAAAAGTCTAACCAAATGCTTCACTAAATCGTTATCATACGTGTTTTTGTTTTTTTTCCTTTCAGGCTGTATCCATTTTAGGTTTATTCGTTAATATCGTTGGAGTTGTTGCTTTGGGTCATGCTCACAGTCATGGTGGTGGTTCTCATGGCCATAGTCATGGAGGTGGCTCTCATGGTCATAGTCATGGTGGATGTGGTTCACATGGTCATAGTCATGCAGGTGGATCTCATGGTCATAGTCACGATGGTGGTTCTCATGGACATAGTCACCAGCATAAACAGGAGCGAAGTCATAGTCATGATTCAAACAAATCTCATTCTGATGTTTGTGATGAAGAACTTCATTATGGTCATACTCATGGACACGAACACCAACAAGGCTCACACAAAGCTGAATCAGAAGATGCAAATTTACGAGGTGTGTTGTTTTTGCAAAAAAGAAGAATTATTTATATTACATTATTTAAACTAAATTTTTCCAGTTTTTTGAAATTTTAAGTAGGAAAATAAGACAAATATTTTAGTGCAGTATGTGACATGCAGAGTTGAAGGTCTCAGTTAGATTTGCTCAATACTTCAATAACTTTTTAACCCATAAACTTTGCTAAATATGTTTTTATTAAGGAGGAGTTTTTGAGACATTTACCTCAGTATGTGAACGTTGTAGGCGGAAATCGTGGACCTGTTACGTGGTTTTGAAATAGTCGTGTTAGATATTGCACTGGAGACCAATAATCGGAAGACAGTTGATTCACAACTCGAAACAATACCGATAGACTGAGATTACAAACCTTACTGGACGACTGATATAAGTAAAAGAAAATCAGAAAACGTGGTAAGAATATAATGTGAAACAGTTTACATATAAAAATAATAAAATAAAGAGAGATCAAGTTGCTGAGTAATATGATTGATGAAGTAATCTGTAACAGTGCACATGAAAATCGAATTCTGTATTGATGTTTGTTGTTCCATGATTTCGATGGCCTTGGCATGCATTACAAATGTTATCCCACAGCAGTTCCTATACCTCTCACTGTTTGCTAGTCCTGGGACTGCGTGGAGAAGAGCGGTGGGGTAGGGACTGGTCAGCCTATGATGTACCATCGTAAGCTGAAGGGAAATTATACTAGGTTAGTATCCGTTAGAGCGGCATCATGATTCCGAGAGATGGTTTGAACCAGTGATTGGAGACGTTATCAGAAATGTCTGAGAATCGTTAAAAATGGCAAATATGTTGCAATTTCTTTCCTCTTTTCTTCTGTTTCTGAAAGTAACATGAAGGAGTGAACCGTTTTCTTTGAATGCTCTTCATAGATATGCTGACTTGTTTTCTTAATGCTGTCTGTCCCTTGTTAATTCTGTCTCTATTTTACTTATATTGTGTTATTATTTTCGTGTGGTGCATGTCTTAATGCCCATACTGTACACCAAGTCTGCGTTTAAATAATACTGGTAATATTCTAGACAAATTTTTAAACTATTTACTATAATTAGTGTTACAACTAATCAGAAGACATTTTGTTCAGTAAAACTGCTAGTTAGTAATGTGTGACTTTTAAAGTTGATGAGGTGTTCTTCACTTCATCACTCTTTGGTCATTATTCACTGATGATATGATGTGTATATAAAAGCAGAGTTTTTCTTCTAATGTCGTTGAATTTGATCATAGGTGTCTGTGTTTCTATCTCTTGTATTAGATGGTATAATAGGGTGAGAAGTATTGAGGTTACGTGTTGAGTGTGTTACGTAAGAGGGGTAAATCAACTGATGAGGTTCTAAGGGTGGATCTATTGAGATAGTTAGGACACGTGTTGCGCATACCAAACCATCGCTTTCCTCGACCGAGGGTCAGTGTTAGCTGGCATAGGATAAGGCTGGAAAAGAGCTAGTGTTTGTTAAACTAAAACTTGTAATCGGTTCATGTGCATTCACTCTGTGTGACCTCCTATTGCTTTCCCGTGTTGTTGTTCTTTCTCGCTCATATTTCTGCTTATTATTTTTGTTTTGAATCTCCTATCTTCACTGTCTTGTCATCCTTTATGTACTTCATGGAGGGTGCTGCACTTCTGTGCAAATCTACAACAGTTTGTCTAGGCCACGTAGGAAGGTGTAGACTGGCCTCCTGGTTGGGGTCCTCGGGACGGTAAAAACCAATGGTCGGAAACAATTGGTGACATTGCTCAAAATCGTTCTCAATGGTTCAGATGCATCCACTCCTTGTGACTCATGATTACCAATTAAACTGTTTTGTTCTTCGTTATTACTATTCCTTTGTCTCACACCTCTGTTTACTGTCTTCAATATGCATTTCTCCTACTTTCTTCTCTTGCTTTGTGTGGTACATGGAGTGTGGTGACTTGAACTGCCACACATATGTGCGAAGTTCTATGTCGAAAACAGACAGACATTATGTTACTTCACTCAGTTTAGTTAATTTTACTTTGCTTTATTCTCGTCTGCCTAATTGTTGTTTCTGTGTTCCGTAATCTAGAATGTTTCAGTTTTTATGGAAAACTCAAAATTTTAATGATAAATCTTTGGTAATATTTCTTTCCTTGTGATGACAATGCACAATAAGTATTTGCGATTGTATACCTTTAGAATTACATCGCTGAAAGGGACAACTTTTGGCCGCTCATCTACTCTCCTATATGACTTAATAGGGAGTTGCCAGCAGGGTTTTTGATATCAGTGGAATCCATTCATTCTTATTGTCTTTATGTGAAAATTCACATAGGAAATGTTTTCTTTCGCTTCTTTAGAAACGAGAAGACAGGGATATCCTGGACCGACGTGAAGAAACTAGAAGACCTGGATTTCGCGGATGATTTATGTTTGATGTCACACAAAATCGAAGACTTACAAGCGAAAACCGACAAACTGGTCGAAGAAGCAGGCAGTGAAGACAGGAATCCAGGTGAGCATAGACAAGACGGAGGTTATGAAAATAACCAACCAACAACAACAACAGCAACATCCAGCGCCAACCACCATCAACGGGAGGGATTTGAAAGAGGTTACTTCATCCACTCACTTATCTAGCGAGCATTCTCTCAACTACAGGAGGAACGGACGAGGATGTCAAATCGAGAATCGGGAAGGCGAGAAACACATTCATCAACCTGAAACCAATCTGGAAATCTTCGTCACTCAACTCAGCATCAACAACAAAATTCGGATTTTCAATACAAACGACGTCAAGTCAGTTCTTCTATACAGATCAGAAACTTGGCCAGTGTGTCACCAAAAAATATTTCCAACAGCCTGTTACAGACCTTTATCAACAACTGTCTTCGCTGGCTCTATACTGAAGATCAGAGGGCCGGAAAGAATCACCAACAAGAAACTATGGGAACAAACAAAACAAGAACCAATCGCCCAACAAATATGCAGGAGGAAGTGGAGATGGATTGGACACTCGCTGAGTTGAGGAGGCCACTGGGTGACATCGCGCGTCAGGCCATAGCTCGAGTGGAACTCGAAAGGGAATCGGCGAGTGTGACGCCCAAAGGTGACATGGAGGAGATCGTGTGAAGAGGAGCTGAAACAGTATGGAATAACATGGATGCAGTTGAAAAGTACAGCAGAAGACAGAAACAAGTGGAGATGTGCAGTTGAAGCCCTATGTTCCATTAGGAACCCAAGGGAACAATAACAATAATAATAATAATTTAGAAACACATTCCAAACCAGAATTATTGATTATCTGATTCTACAATGGGATGACATCAAAACTGTTGACTGTTTAACTGACTGTAGGACTGATCTGAACCGACGCCTAGTTTAAAGATAGGTAGTGAAGTGCTGAATTGATTTCTGACGAAATTACAACACGGAAACAAAAGTCCCGTTTAAAATTTACCGAATTATGTCATCTCTAGCGAAGACGTGATATCCGGCTACCGATTAAAGAACTTGTGTACTGCTCAGTAATTCGCTCTGTCCTTCTTTATGGTTGTAAGACATGCCAATGGTAGTCGGTTATATGAAGAGGCTAGCTGTCTTTGATCATAGATGTTTGCATCCTATCTCCCGTGTCAAACGGTATAATTTAATATGCAATACTGAAGTTAGGCGTAGAGTAGTGAGTGCTAAGTAAGGAAGTCAATCAAATGAAATTGTGGAACTACGTCGATTGATGTGCATGTCAAGTTACCGCCTTTCTGTGTTGCAACCCACCAGTGTCAGTTTCATAAAAAAACAAAGTTTATCTGTTTGCTAGGGCATTCAAAAGAAATGAAATAGTTTGTAGTACATTTGCCGGAGTATATGAAGGGATCCATACCTTTTCTTATAATGAATCCCTCACATTTTTAAAGAATATTTTCTCTCTGTTATACCTTCTTTTACTATCAAATAAAGTATAATTATATTTTAATAGTTTACACACAATGATAAGTTTTATTATTGGTAATATTTCGAGCAAAATTACCAATAATAAAACTTATCATTGTGTATAAACTATTAAAATATAATTATACTTTATTTGATCTAATCCACAATGCTCAAACTTTTTACTGATATTACTTCTTTTACTAATTTCATTTTTGCTGTTGTCATTATTTTTGCTTAAAGTGCTGTTTCCAAGCTTGGCAAATGTGGTCGGTGTACATTGGAGTCATATCCTACACTATTAATGATATCTTAATGTCAATTGACTAGCTGTAATGTAATGAATTGTACACATGTAGTGTTTCTATGTTGCATGCTAAACCCGCATTTTAAACGTTAGTAACTTAGAATAAACTGATAATGGTCAATACTCTTGAAAGTGTTCATATCTTTGGAGTTTTATTCTAACAGCGGAATGAATGTACATCGGTAGTTCAATGGTAGAATGCTCGAAAACAACACAGGTAGTCCAGGGTTCGATTCCCGGCTGACGCACTCCTAAACCTCATCCGGTTAACTAGTTGGTAGTAAGTTCAGAAAAGAAGGAAGGTTAAACATGAGGCTAGCAGCCTCACTCCATCAAAAAATAACACCACAGCTTCAAACCTGAAGCCCAGTGTCCCATTGGGAGCTCCAAGGAATTAAAAGAAAACAGAATGGAATGATTAAAATGTTCGCCTTACCCTTTTTGCTTTAATCTGACCAACACTTTACGTAGCAGTTAGTTAGCACTGAAATGTATCATTTATTATATCGTCATAAGGTTTTTCTTTCTTGTGATTAAATTCCATGCATAATTACAATTTACCACTGAATACAGACAGTCCTGTTGTATTTGTACTCTTAGAAATAAAACTTTTGTTTTTCTCTTTTAAATATATAGGCGTCTATTTACACGTTCTTGCTGACACTTTGGGCAGTGTCAGTGTAATATTCAGTTCATTTCTTGTATCAACTTATGGTTGGAATATAGCTGATCCAATCTGTTCAATGTTTATTGCATGTGTAATTGGTTATTCAGCTATGCCATTATTAAATGATACTCTTGGTCTGCTTACTTTAAAAGTGCCAGATAATTTCCACTCTCAGTTGCTGGTTAAAAAGGTTAGTTTTTCTTAGTATTCCTTCTCTATTTTTATTTTTAATGTGTTTTGTGTCGGGGAAGAGAAGAGGTCATAGTGTTTTCTTCTCTTTTTTTATACGCTTACTAGTGAGTTAAGCGTGTTTAGGAAAATATTTTATTGTAAGTTAGTGAAGAAATATGTAGTATTATTTGTTTTAAGCCAATTTTGATTTTCCTGTTGATTCATTGACTCGAAACGTTCGCCCTTTATTGTCTGTCTGTCTGTTTTCGATATAGAACTTTGCACATATGTGCGGTAGTTCAAGTCGCCACACACCCTACATGTAGCACACAAAGCAAGAGAAGAAAGTAGGAGAAATGCATAATAGAGACAGTAAACAGAGGTGTGAGACAAAGGAATAGTAATAACGAAGAACAATATAGTTTAATTGGAAATCATGTCACAAGGAGTGGATGCATCTGCGCCATTGAGAACGATTTTGAGCCATGTCTCCAATTGTTTCCAATCATTGGTTTTTACCGTCCCGAGGACCCCAACCATCAGGAAGTCTACACCTTCCTACGTGGCTTATACTAACTGTCGTGGATTTCATTGACTGGTGCCATGTTTTCGTTTGACCGCCGCTAGCTCTTTTCCAGTCTGACCCTATATCAGCTAACATTGCCTATCGGTCGAGGAAGGCGATGACTAGGCATACATGTGTAACACATGTCCTAACCATCTCAATCGATGTAATTCCACAGCCTCGTCGACTGATTTCCCCTCCTTACCTAGCACTCAACGCCTAACCTCAATATTGCTCACCTTATTATACCACTTCACACGGGAGATAGAACGCAGACACCTATGATCAAAGACAGCTAGCCAGGCTTTTCATGTCTTCCACTCTCAATGGCCAGGTCTCACAGCTAGCCATAAAGGAGGACGGAGCGGACTGATGAGCAGTAGACACGCCCTTTGGTCGATAGTCGGATATCACGTGTACTAAGCCAGAGACGGCGTAAACTGGCATATGCGAAACTAGCTTTGTGTATCCGTGCTGAGATTTCGTCTGAGATCAACCCGTTGGGGCTGATGGTACTTCCTAAGTAAGTGGAGCGGTCAACGTGCTCTACCACTTCACTTCCTATTTCTAATCTAGGGGTCGGTGTAGTCCAATCCAGCAACATCATCTTGCATTTGGCGTGAGCGAATCGCATGCCAAACATTCGTAGATTGCAGCTCAAGGTGTTCAGAAAACTCTGCATTTTGTCAGCGTCCTCGCCTAGAAGGACTATATCGTCTGCATATTCTAAGTCAACGAGATTATTCCCTGGTAGCAAGTTAATCCCTGAGTCTCTGAAGTGAGTTAGGGTCAAGTCCATTAGTACGTCTATGATGAAGTTGAGTAGGAATGGGGATAATGGGCATCCTTGGCGGACGCCACTAGTCGTCACCACTTCAGATGACGTCTCAGCGCCTATTATGGACGCTTCAAAGACGTCTGTGGATTAACTTGAAGTGATTTGGTAGATGCTGACTAGCAGTAGAATCCAGAATGCACACTTCTTCCTTTTTGGGACTCGTCACCTGGATGTGCCTGCGTTCCTATTGAGTGATTGTGTTCCCACAATGCGTTTCGAACCCAGAAGCGTTATCCACTAAACCACTTTGGGTCATGAGAGCCGCGTCTTGTTCAACGAGCACCAGTTATTACTTGTCTGTTCGAGTCTCAGTGGGAACACCATCACTGATAGGGGAATGCGGGTACATTTAGATGATGAGTACTAAACAGAACGAAATGTGCATCCTGGATTCGACTACTAGTCACCACCATCTACCAAATTACTTCATGAATGAATATGCGGTATTTTAAACATTCAGTGGTTGATTCCTCGTCGAAGTTTGAATTTCAACCGATATATTTACTGTTAGTTGAAATTCTACCCCACTGTGATGTGGGTAACCAAGTGGTTTCCCTCTTTGGTTATTATCATTATTATTCCCTTGGGTTCCTAGTGGAATATTGGACTTCAACAACACATCTCCACTTTGTTCTGTTCTCTGCTGTTCTCTTCAGCTGGTTAGCCACACAATTGCCCATATTGTCTCATCTCCTCCTCACACGATCTTCTCCATATCACCGTCACACCGACAACCCACTCGTCGCTTCCCGTTGAGATCCCACTCGAGCAATGATCTGCATTGTGTACAATATCATTTGACAGCCTCCTCAACTTGTACCCGATCCATCTCCATTTTCTCCGACGCATCTATTGAGCAATATCCTTCTTAAGTTGTAAACATATTATCAGTACACTTGTTTCATCTTAATAAACGTATGAATTTCTAATTCATTTCGGGTGTGAGGACAAACACTCGCCGAGGACATTGGCTAGTGGTTGCGCTATGTCGTGAATTGGCAGAAGTTTGAATTCATGGGCTGTCCATTGGATTGGGTCCCAGTGGCTTAATTATCTACGAGCTCGCTAGCCTTGTAACCAGAAGGTCCTGGGTTCTAACTTTGGTGGTGGGTGCGTACTGATGAGGAGCCCCTGACTAGGCTGACAAAGCATCTATCCAGTTGTCCCTGTAGGTTTTCCAATGTTTCTCTAACCAATTTCAGCTCATGATGAAATCCTGTAACCAATCAAATCCCTAAAAACCAGCACTTGAATATCATTTCTGATAGTTTTTTATGTATTGAGATCAAGTGTAGCAATTTTAACTCGTAAATTTTCAGCCGATTATGTGTATAACATGATAGGGAAACCCCTAGAAGCGAGAACTGTACTGCCCTCTCTCTTTTCAGTTGGACAATGTTGGAGTTCAAATACACCTTGAAACTGACATGATTAAACGACTTAGTTGCTGAGTTTGGTCTTCACTTTAAAAAAATTTAATTTCTTGCAAATAATCAACCAATAATTCTTAAATATATAAACTTTTCATACTTTACTCTTAGCTTACTATTATTATTATTATTTCATTTTCAGATATTACAAGTGGGTGAAGTGGTTTCTGTTTCAAATCCATTTATTTGGACGCATACTCACACATCTGTTTGTGTTTGTTTAACGGTCAGAATTAACTCGAATGCTTCAGAACAGATACTATTACGAAAGGTAAATAAAACTCCAGTGTATATATATGGGCAACATTTTAAACATCTTTATTTACAGTATCTAAGAATTTGTCATAGTTCTGCTTACAAGTAACACTTCATTATACAATACTTAAACGATGACTATTCATATCAAACTTCTTATATTGCCTCATTTTTATTCTATTTTCTCAGATATCTTAGTTTTGAAATAATAATAATTCTCCTAAAGGTCAAAAGTTACACCATTTATTTTATTTCTAATGTCGAAATGCTTGTAGCAGGTGTTGGTTTTGGTGAAACAGAATAGCGACATTTCTATTCATAAATTATTATTATTGTTTCCTTTAATTCCTGAGGAACATAGGGCTTCAGCCGTGCGTCTCCATTGCGTTCGGTTCTCTGATAGAGTCTTCACCTGGCTCCAAGTCTGCCCACATGCTTTCATCTCCTCTTCACATGACCTCCTCCAAGTCACCCTTGCACTGACGACCAACCCACCGCTTCCCTTTCGGGTTCCACTCGAGCAATGGCTTGTCTAGTGATGTCACCTGATGAGTCCCTCAGAGTATGGCCAATCAATCCATCTCCATTTCTTCCTGCCTATTTGTTTCACAATCGGTTCCTGCTGAGTTGGTTCGCTCATTGCCAGAGATCTCTGTTGCTGATCTTTTTATAAATGCTTAGAGTTTAAAGAATAGCTCTGAAAACTTCATGTTTCTATGTCACAGACACTAACATGGGTGTATTTGAACATGGTGGGAAAAGTATACTGAATCAGTACATTTGCTGTTTTTCCTCTAGTTATCACTACAATCATGATAATACAAAATATTGTAAATTATCTATTTACCTATTTAAGGAATCATTCCTTTTTTTGTCTATCGTCATTGAGATGCCAAGTGTAACTCCATTATGGATAAGATTTCATCTGGATGAAATCACACAGTGTGTTATACATAATATTAACTGATGACCACGTTTTGAGCACAAATTATCGCCACTCATAATCATATCAAGTCACACACTCGCACAACTTGCTTGCTTCATTTATATACATGAGTAAAATTGATTAGACATATGAATAGAAATGAATAGAAGATAATGTACATTCAGAAATAATATTAGTGTTATCAATCAGGTACAATCAGATTGGAAATAAGATGTTTTTATAGTAAAATAAATAAATAACTTGTTAGAATGTTATAATGTACGTGAATTGAAATAGAATTTTAAGATTATTTATTAACCTCCTCTGATTTGACTGATGGTAATAATATCTTCCATATTTCTGGTATTTGCGTTGAGTCATTTCTGTTGCATGTGTTGAGTGTAGATTAAATGAACCAGGATTCAGTAATCAATCTCTCTCTCCATCAACCTACCTATATTACTTCTAAGAATTTTGACTCTGTCCCACCCCATTGTGTGGTTGTTTGTTAATGCATGCAGTGCAGTATAGTATTTCTAAATTACTTATCTTCTCTGGGTCAACCATTCTTACCTTAGCTAAATTCTTATGTTCTGATAATCTCACTACTCCTGATCTACTAGTTTGACCTATGTAGTTGACTTAACTCACAGTCATTGCAGGGTATTTTGTAAATTATATTATTTTGTTTAATTGGGTCAACCGACAGGGCCATTTAGCCTATAGAGCTTGCCTCTGAGTGATTTATTAAAATAAAATCTTATCCATAATGGAGTTATACTTTACCACAGTGCCCAAGTTTTATACTTATATCAATAATGAGATGAGAAGTAATTGTTCATCAATATCAGGACGGAATGAAATCACTCTGCACATAGTATATGATCTGATACTGTTGTGGAGGCAAATATGCTTCTTTGAGGCTTCAAGTCACAATGCGGGTGAAATATGTGCTGAAAGTGATGAGTTTAGCTGATGAAAATCAAAAATTAAGGAAAAATACAAAACTTTCATCAATTTTGTCTGCCTACAAAGTAGAATTTAGAATTTTTTCTGATATATTGATTTTACATCAGTTATCTCTGTTTTCGTGTCCTGATCTGTAGTACGGACATCTCATAACAACTGTCATTACCTACTTATTATCAATTAGGGGATCACTGAAAGCTAAAAGGCAGCGGGTAGCTCCTCTTATCAGCCTAAAAAAATGTCAGCAATGCCCACCTAAAAGCCAATAAAGTCAGGTCTCTAATGAAGAGTTGGATTGCGATGAGGCTACATAGAGAATCCATAGAAGTTAACTACTCTGACTGATGTTCAGGTTCTTACTCACTGGGCGAGATAATCGCCTTGGAATCCGATTTTGGGTTAACTCTACTGAAGAGTTTTAAAGTAGGACTAACTGCCGCCTCCGCTTGCTTTTCAATGGCTCCCTATTTGTTGTCAGTTGGCAATCGGAATCCCAACACATCTCACTATTCAGTGTAAGTCTTATTGAAGTTTGTCAGTTGTGGGTTGTTTTTTTCCAGTCAGTTAACAAACCTTATTTCTATTTTTTTTCTTTTTAATGTGTAACAACAGGTCAAGGATATAGTTGGCAATCATTTCTCATCAATTGCACATTTAACTATTCAAATTGAAAAAGAAGATTTTGAATATCACACTCAAGCTATGGGTTTAAACTTATCTGTTGTTGGACATTATCCAAAATCACTTATCAAGTCAAGTGTAATTATGAATGGGACAACTCCACATCATAGTAGTCAACACAATCATTTGGTTACTGAACCAGCAAATCTATTGTCTGTTAAAGATGTCTGATGTATTATATATATCCATGCATGGATGTATAATACAATACAGCATACCGAATGATGCCTTCATATTTATTGACTGGCTTTATTTATTTACTACTGTTCCGTGTGTATTCCTTTTCTTTGGTCTTTTCTTTTTTTTACTACCTATTGTTTAATATGATCTCCCGTGGTGACTGTTTCCTAGTCTTAGTAGAGAAGAAAAGCCTTTCTCTTTATCCTTCTCACCATTTGTAAATAATAATCTTCCACTCCCTCTCTGCTCCCCTCCTTCTATCATTTTATATTTTATGCTTTCTGATAGATTTTATCATTTTGATCTGTTTGTATTTTGCATCCTCCATCTTTTCATAGTTCGTCGTCTTTTTCTGTGGACTAGTTAAACTCTACCAAGTAGTACCATCACTTATGGATTACATAAGAGCTTTGATCTGTACTCTATTTTTAGGCTAATCAATTATTACTGGTTACAGTTTTTTCAATCACGATTACTTTAAGAGAGATCTTGCTTCTCCTTGTTCTGTTTTTCTCCTTCTTCTTCTCCTTTTAACATCTTCACTTGTTGTAAGGGTTCAGGTGTTTTTAAGAGAAAAAAAATCCATTTCTTAGGTAACCCTGCTTCTGTTCCCACGATCTCTTATTGTTGTTGTTGTCGTAGTAGTAGTAGTGGGATCAGAAGACGACGAGGATGAACGTATTTATTCTCCTCCTCACCTTACCCTGTGCCTGTTGTCAACCATCCTCATTTTAAACATAAAGGAGACTGGTGGTTTCAGTGTGATATTGTTATTTTAAACAATAAAATTTTCACTCATCCTTTCTGTATTTTGCCAGAAAAAACACACCACCTCCTTGTCCTCCACCCCTACGTCTTTGGAAGTATACCAGTTGTCTTTCATGAAATCTAAGCAAACATATTGACAATTTTATTTTTACTTTGTTTGTATATACTACTATAATTACCACAATGAAAAATAATTTGAGCGGAATTCCCCCCCATCGGTAACACTGTGATTATTGCTTGTTTATGTTTAAATGTCGGTGTATTATTTGTTTCAATTTTTGTAATTTAGGATGTGAATAACCAACCCAATTTACTTTACTCAGATCTTTATATATAGGGAGGTTTTGAAGCCATATTACGGTTTTTTTTTATCTTTGGGTAAATTTTCTTTTATAAAAAAATAATAAATTTGTAAACACTTTGCTTAAAAATAATATCTATCATCACCTATTGCTGCCATTGGACAGCAGATCTCCCCTCTATCCTACTGAAAAAGAGACGGTCAATCTCATTACACGCACTTGTTCTGTTTGCTTCACTTCAACTCTGGTGCGATCTACCTACCTATCTACCAGTTGCACAGGTTTTTTTGTATGTGTGCTGTATTTCTCATCTCTTTTTTTAAAAAAGAAATTTTTTGTGGTTTTTATCAGTCCACTCTGTGTGTCAGCTTCTCTGTTTATTTGTTGTTTTTGATTTGATTTGTAAATTATGCGAATAGTCTAAATTTGTTTTCAGAAAAAGAATGAATACACTTTTTATGTTGGATCATGTTTTCTATGTCTTTGGATGCGTACTGATGAAAAGTCTCATACTAGACTGACGAAACAGCTGTCCAGTATTCCATGATTGTTTTCCAATGGTTCTCTAACTGGTGTCAGTCAGCTCATGATGAAATCCTCCAGCTAATCAAGCAAAATCCCTACAAAAAAGTCAATACTTGAAAATTAATCTGATGTTGACTAGCGACTGGCCCTATTCAGGCAGTTAACCTGGGCTTCCAGTGGGAAGCCGTGACCAGTAGGGTAGAGCAGGTTGAAGGTGAGGCAGTAACTCATCGAAGAAGACATTGCGAAATAATCGCTCTTTGTCGTGAGTTGTCACAAGTTAGAATTCATGAGCTGGCCATTGGATCGGGTCTCAGCGGCTTAATGGTCTACTAGCTCGCTAGCCTTGTAACCAGAAGGTCCTGCGTTCGAACCCTGGCGGGTGGGGGTGTATACTACTGAAAAGTCCCAAACTAGGACGAAACAGCTGTCTAGTACTTCCTGTTGGTTTTCTAATGGTCCTTTAACTGATGTCAGCTCATGATGACATTCTCCAACTAAAAAAGATTGACGAATAATCCCCATCTAGGCATTAATAATGAAGAAAGAATAAAACAAGAGACTGTTTTCGGTGAATTCATTTTCAACTTAGCTGTACAATCGTATTTATTTGTAGTCTCTTTTCACGAAAGAGGATAGTGAAAAAAGAGATCATCTGCCGAAATCATAGTTGTTAGTATTAATTATTGTATGAGAAGAGTTGAATAAGTGTATTAGAGTTACATAATAAGATGAATAGCTTAATGAGTGAGTTTTAATCTTAGGATATACACAGAAGCGAAGAAAAATTTGAAATTTAGTAAGAGTTATAAAGAAGTACAAAAGTTGTAGGGAGTTAGAAAAATAAGCAAACAAAAATCAAGTCAGTAGGTATCAACAAGGTTGTAACCATGATAGTAGCTAGATGTGGTTGAATAATTTTCTCTTATATGCATAACTGCGGTCTCACTAACTGAATAGCTAGAGCTTCGGCAGTGCAAAGGAGACGAAAACGTTTTGTCTTTGGCAGGTTGTTCTTCACTTTGTAGATTACTTTGAAGGGGGGCGTTTGTTGAGGTGGAATGACCAGTTTTGACAAGGTGTTCAATTATCGTACCCCTTATAAAGCCACTACTACCTTTCTGCAGCCATGTGCGATAGTGTTCTTGAACTCTTTTAGACAAGATACTTGTTGAACGACCAATGTAGCTGGCTCCACAGGAACAGGTGAACTGATATACGCACATAGAAGTGGTCAGATGCAAGGTTTTGTCCTTCTGCAGATAAGTAAACGACTGGAGAACACTACTGTTAGCGTTGCTGCGAAGGAAGTTCCCTAAGATGATAAAATTTTTGATTTAAGAATGTCGCAAGTCAAGTCTCTCTTGAAATTCGGTTTCATGTGAAGTTTCCTCCTTTTTGATACAAGTAGTGTTTCATTTCTGTGAAATTTTGATCTGGTTTTCTTGAGCAGATAGTTACACAAGTTCTTATTATTAGCAGACGGAGGTGAAAATGCCTACAGTCACTTAGACCAGTGAGCTTCCATTCTGTCAGTTACAAAAGGCCAGTGTAAATTCTCTCAGTGGAACGTATACGTACTAAAAGTTTGATTGAGCTGTAGAAAAGACTGTTTGACATTCGAAGCAAATCCATCTCTGGTCACTATCCAGTTATTAAATTTGTTCCCGTTATTACATCTACAGCAAAGCGTGGTGGGGATTGTTCCCATCAATACCATTCTTATTCCTTTACTTCCCAGTGGAACATAGGGCTTCAAAAGCTCGAGGCTTGAAGTTTCGGTAGCAGTGGTGTTTACTTTTACGGGGTTGCTAGCCTCATTCTCAACATTCCTTCGTTACCAGTCTTATTACTGGTTGAGTGAGGTAAAGGAGTACCTTGTCGGCCGAGGTTCGAACCCCGGACAACATGTGTGGTCGGCAAGCATTCTACCGTTGTGCCACTGACGCACACACAAAATTCTTCTAAACAACGATAATTGATTGGCCAAACTGATTACATTCCAATTATTGTAATCATCAATACAAGCGCAGAACTCGAATATTATACTAAACTTTAATTTCATATTAGACTTGTTTATATCATTCCAATATACACAGTGATATGGTATTATTTACTGTCTTCATATTCTAAATACATTTTATTGTTCATAATTACATCAAAGTAGTCACACAACTATCAACACTTAGTTTCAATGGTCCTATCAGTTGTGTTTTTGGTTGATTAAGTGGACAACTGTGTATCGCTATTCTTACTACACACACTCAGTGCTATACTGATAATCAAAGATTCAGTAAATTATCCACCTAACTATATTTATTGTTCAAAGGGTCATTTCTAAACACTTAATTGTCCTGAACGCTATGTAGTAGTGAGTCACTATTCTTATCAAAATAAACAGTTTTAACAGGGAAGCATTAGATGGTTGAAGGTAATCGTCAGGAAACAGCAGACCAAGGTTTCGTGCTAGTCGGCACTCGTCAGCAAGGCGTATTTGCAGTCCTAGAGGAACTCATGCCCCCTCTGAGACTCGAACCAGTATCACCCAGTGTTGCAATCACATACGTTACCACTGAACTATTCAGGCTTGCGATTGAACCTTCTGTAGGACTGTATTAGTGACTTTGATTGGATACTGACTAGTGTTATGCGTCTAGTCGTTCGTTTGCTGCAGACTGAATTCTGTCAGTCAGGTTTGCAATGTGGCCAGCAAGTTAGGTGACTCACCATCACGGTGCACCCCGAATTGCTTTTATTAGATGGTGGCCACATTGCAGACTTGACTGGTAGAATTCAGTCGGCGTCAAACAAGCGACTATACGCATGACACTAGTCAGTATCCAATCAAAATACAGAAGTATCTTGTTCCCCACAGCCCTCTTTAGCTGTCTACACGATCGTGCATAGACTATTATCTCATCCTCAAACTATCTCCTCTGACATACTCTCAGCTCAACGTCTCTCATTCGGGTTCAACTTGACGGCTTGGCGTGCAGTGTCACTCAGCGGTCCCCTCAGTATATTTCCGATTCATCTGCATTTCCTTTGGAATGTTTGTTAGACTATGGGCTCTTGGTTGGTTCATTACTAGATTTCCTTGTTGCTGACTCTTTCTAGGCGGCCATCTAATCTTCAGTATAGGACGAAGGCAGCTATTGATAAAAGTCTGTAATATTCTATTCGAAATACTAAGTCTCTGAAGCATATAAAAGGTTTGACCTGACTTTAGTGTTGAAAACCACAATTTAATTCTTTAGGCTGACTACAACAGATTCCCATATTGATCCTAGAGTGCTGAATATCTGTCTTTCTTTTCCAATCCTGACTGACTTTAACATCTTCATTCGTTCCGCCTACCTGCAATTCAAATGATGCTGCCTAAATAAGCGAAAGAAGTTACCTTGTTCAAACTTTTCTCGTTAATAGTGATTAGTGTTTGTTGTTGTTGTTGTTTGTTGGTCATCTTCACCACCTCCGTCTTCTCTAAGTTCAGTTGAAGTTCTCTCTTCTCCTCCTGCCTTCTCTGCCAACTTGTTGGCTTTCGTCTGTAGGTCTTCGAGCTTGTTTGACATAGTAGAAATCTAATGAAAGTCTAGGTGTTTGTGTAATATGAGTAATTACTACATGAATCTTGGATATTTTATTATTATTATTCCCTTGGGTTCTGTGTGGAACATGGATCTTCAACAACACACCTCCACTTTGTTCCATTCTCTACTGTCCACTTCAACTGGATCCACAATTACCCATAAACTCTCATCTCCTCCTACATGTCACTCTCGCATCGACAACACACTCGCCGCTTCCCATTGGAATTCCACTTGAGCAATAGCCTGCATTGCGCGCGACGTCATTCGGCGGTCTCCTCAATGTATGCTCAATCTATCTCCATGTTCACCTACATATTTGTTGAGCGATCGGCTCTCGGTTGGTTTGTTCATAGCCAGAGTTTCCTGTTGCTGATTTTTCATGGCCGGCCAGGCATTTGACCTTCATTATGGAACCAGCGAAGGCAGCTGTTGATGCAAGTCTGCGACCTGTTGAAAATCCTTTTCGTGACACGCAGTGCAAGTTTCTGACCCGTCTAGAAGGACCGATTTGACATTGGTGTTGGAAATCCGAATCTTGTTCTTTATACTGACTGAGTGTAGAAGATTTCCGAATTGGTTTCAGGTTGATGAAGGCGTATCTTGCCTTTCCAGTTCTGGCTGCCTTTGAAATCTCCATCTGTTCCGCCTGTAAGTGAAACGATGCTTCCGAAATAAGTGAAGGAGGTAACTTCTGTTCAATCTCTCCCGTTGATGGTGATTGGTGCTGGTTGCTTTTGTTGGTTGATTATCTTGATCACTTCTGTCTTCTGTATCTTCACCTGGAGTCCTGTCTCTTCAGCCAGTTTGTTAATTTTCGCCAGCAAGTCTTCGAGTTTGTGTGACATTATACATAAGTGACCCACGGGTGAAATCCAGATCTTCTAGAGTTTTCTTATCGGTGGTCCAACGTATTCCTGTGTTCTCGCTCCCCACAGTCTGACACATAATCCAATCCATCACAATTAGGAATATCATGTGTGATAATAGGCAGCCCTGTCTTACTCCTGTATGCCCTTGGAACACCTCGCTGAGTTTTCGGTTGTGGATCACCTGCACCTGGCATGCCATATAGATGTTCAATAATGTCGATAAAGATTTCGCCACTGCACACTGTATTGTTGAAGTAGTTTCCAAATTACTCCTCGGTCAACGCTCTCTGTTGAAGGCCTTTTTAAAGTCGATGAAGTTGAGGTAGAGAGAGGTTTAACTGCCATTCTATGCTTTGTTCTGTGATGACGATGTGTAGAGTTGCAATTAGATTAGCACATCGATTGCCCTTCCTGAATCCAGCTTGTTCTTGTCGGTGGGCGAAGTTCTGCATCTAGTGCATCCTTGATTCTCTCCAAGATGATGCGACTTAGTATTTTACTTGGCGTGGATAAGAGCTCTATTCCACACTATGAATCTTGGATATACAACTGTCTAAATATCGTCTCTATCGTTAAACTGTCAAGTTCTACGAAAACTTGAATACTCTATCTAAAAAGTTGAAAGAAATTGTGTGTATGTATGCGTAGAAAGCTTGGCACCCGGGTATGATTCAGTTTTCATCTACTTTTTTTTCCCAACAATTTTGCCTTATAATTAAAACTATCTTTAACAGGATGACTCACAATTCTCTCCTAACTTAATTTCATCCAGTTAAAATGTAAAGTTTGTGGAGTTGATTGTTAAATATTTCAAACTTTTGCATTTTCAAATGTAATAGACAATTTTGGTTATGAGAAAAGATGATTGTAATTTACATTTAGTCATAATAATAATAATGGTACTGTGACCGTTTATATATATATATATTCATTGCAGTGATGAAAAGTGACGGGAAATCACATGAAAAACGAAATATCATCCAGTAAACAAAAGTACAAAAAATATTCTCAATACTTTGAGACAGATTTTGCTAATCAGATCTTGACAATTCGATCTGTCCGCTTATTAAAGAAAAAATTTCGTGCGTACTGTTAACATTGACCTTGCTCATGTGTTCATTTTGTTTTTCTTTTGACGAAAACGAAAGTGGATTTCTCTCGTCCAGGCTTTTAAATGATGGAGATTTTCTTTTACAGTGTGAAAGTATTTAAATTGTTCAGATATGATTTCTCAGACAACTGTAACAGGATCTTGTGGATCACCCTTTTGAGTTGTTCGTGGTTTGAAACGATACTAAAAATGAACGAAATAATAATATATATATATTTTCTAAGTATTTATACATAGAAGAGAACTTTAATGATTTACATTGATAATTACTAGCCTAAGATAATCGCTGGTGGTTTATTGATAGAATACTCATCAGCCATGTATCGGATCCGAGTTTGATTCCTAACCGATGTATTCTGAAATATCACCCAGTTTTCTAGCCAGTAGTAAGATCGGAAAAGAGGCAAGGTTGGGGCCTAAGAGTAGCAGCCTCACTCTATAGAAAAAAACACCCCTACTACTGAAACTTGAGACAGATACTTCCACTCAAGATGCAAAGCAATGAAAGAACACTGTCTTTTGATGTTCTGTCAACGTGCATCCAGGAGACCAAACTCAAACTGGCAAAAAAACAAACAGCTAAAGTTAGTAATTTTCGTTGAGTCACGTCTAAAGATGATCAAGGCACTCTACTCAAACTCACGTAGCTGTGTAAGGGCTTATGGGGAATTGTCATCTGAATTGATAACAACCAGTGGTGTCCGTCAGGGATGTCCACTTTCCCCATTTCTGTTTAACTTCATCATAGATATGCTAATGGAAGTATCCTTAACTGAACTTAACGACTTAGGAATCGACTTGTTACCAGGGAATAGTCTTATGGACTTAGAATATGCAGATGACATAGTCCTGTTAGGGGAGGATGCTGACAAAATGCAGAGTCTTCTGAACACCTTGAGCAGCAATCTTCGTATGTTTGGCATGCGATTCGCCCCTGTAAAATGTAAGATGCTGCTACAGGACTGGACTACGTCAACTCCAAGCTTAGTGATAGGGAGTGAAGTGATAGAACATGTTGACCACTTCACCTATTTGGGAAGTTGTATCAGCACCAATGGACTGATTGGCGACGAAATCTCAGCACGGATCCAAAATGCTCGAGCTGCTTTCGCTAACTTACACCATCTCTGGCGTAGGCGTGATATCCAGCTGTCAACCAAAGGACGTGTGTACTGCTCAGCAGTTCGTTCCATCCTTCTCTATGGCTCTGAAACATGGCCAATACGAGTTGAAGACATGAAAAGGTTGACTGTTTTTGATCATAGATGTCTACGATCTCTTTCTCACGTTAGGTGGCATAATAAGGTAAGTAATGTTGACGTTAGGCGTAGAGTGTCGGGCAAAGAGGGAAAATCAATCGAAGAGGCTATAAAGTTACATAGATTGAGATGGCTAGGTCACGTGCTGCGCATGCTTAACCATCGCCTCCCCCGACGGACTGGCATTACTAGCTGATATAGGTGCAGGTTGGTTGGAAAAGAGTAAGTGGTAGCCAAACCAAAACATGGCCTCATCAATCCATGAAATCCTTGACAGTTAAACTGAGTCAGGGAGGGAGGGAGATGCAGACTTCCGGGTTGGGGCCAGCCATCGGGACTCTAAGAATCAATGGCTGGAGACAATAGGTGACATGGCTCAAAATCGTTGTCAATGGCCCAGATGTATTCAGTCTCTGTAATCTTTCATATTCCTTTCTACCATTACTCATTCTGTTTCACTCTTATGCTTGTCAAAACTCTATTGATTCTCTTCACTCATCTTCTTGTCTACCTTTGTGTGCTATTTGGAACGTGGCAACTCGAACTGCTGCACTTCGGTGCCAAGTTCTATGTTGAACCCAGACCCAGAGAGACCCCAAAGATGATCAAGTTTATTATCCATGGTTAACTAAATCACTTTAATTTTATAAATGGATAAACTGAAGGCCAATTAAATAAGAAAAATAATGTGGAAATTTGTGACCACCTCATACGAGTAACATCATCTAGCTTTATACATACTCTTTTTTAGATAATTGGGGAAATTTGTGCCACAGGTGGAAGTTTTTGTTGAAGTTGTATTCTTAGAGATGGATGGTTCGCTTGCGGACTTTCCAGTGTTTTCCTAGACGACATGTTCAGCGTTTACCATGAAAGCTGTAACTGTCTCTTTTGATGAGTTTGTATTCAGTCGTCTGTTTTAAGAGGTTTTATTATCCTTGTATTAATTTGTGTTGGTATCGATCGTTTCATTTACTTGGAACGTGACCTTTTTACCATATTTTAACCAAAAAGCGGAAATACTAAAAATACCAGACAATTATTGGAAGCCTGGCACTCAGACTGATATTCAATTAACAGACATATCAACCAATAAAGAATAAATCACATGACGAAAATGACAATAAGGTCAAATTCTCGAGGTCAATGAAAACATTGGTAATGATAGAAACTAACACATGAATGATAAAACCACTGAAGACAACCAATCAAAAGCAAGCGAGTCAGGAGAGACAGTTATATCATTCATGAAAAATTCAAAATAAAAGTCACTTCACGTTGAAATAATCACCGACGATATTGTCTAGAAAGGAGATGAAACCTTCAAAACTAAATCACCAAGCTCAGCGAATACAACTACATAAAAATACTTTTTTCTAGTTTACCATTCTTCATTCTGTATTTCGGTAATAATGTTCACTTGTATATCTTAGACATTCGTGTTACGTTTTCACATAATTTGAGTTGTTATAGATGTGGAGAATGAACTGCAGGTTACAAGGACGACTTTATCACAAACTAACATTGGTTAAACAACCACTCAATGCTAAGACCCATTGGACAGCTGTTTCGTCCTATGAAACAGCTTTGAATTAGTTGGAGCTCAGAGTTTGATTTTTTGGCTGCCACTGTGTATCACTTGTGATTTTCAATCAACTTGGTAGATTTCGCTGGTCATAGCTTTGTATTGAAGATCCACGGAAATTCCCTATTAAGGAGTCCCAAACTAGGAAATGACATCTGTCGTTATTTCATCTAAATAATGTTATTCGGTATCATAACTGCATTTGATTAGATTTAACCACCACACAACATAAGACTAGTCTCCCGATACTAATCAAATCGAGAAGCATACACTTAGGACTACAGCAAACAGACCTAAAATATTGCAAGAAAATATTTTTATTCTCATACATATGCTCAGTTAACTTGAGTTCATAAAGTCATTCTGTTATCTTTCTTAAAAAATGGAAATTAGATGTATCAAAAAAGGTAAAACGTGAGGTTTTTTTTCCTTCACGTTCCCCAGTGGAACATAGGGCTTCAAGCTAGAGGTTTGAAGTTTCTGTAGCAGTGTTTATTTTACAGGATGGGTTTGCTAGCCTCATGCCCAACCTTTCCTCTTCACCAGCATTACTTCTGGCTTAGCGAGGTAAAGGAGTGCGTCGGCCGGTTCGAACCCCGGACCATATGCATGGTCGGCGAGCGCCCTAACCGCTATACCACCGACGCACAAAGCGCGAGGTTAGATGTGTAGTATTCAGCTTTTACATCACCACCAACAACAGCAACCAAATCATCTCCAACCATAACATGAAGTATTTTTTCCTTAAGTTTCATTCTCAAAATTGGCTACATTTTCGATGTTGGATCACAAACTTACATTACATTAAGGAACCACTGTAAACAAGAGAGTAACAGACTATTGTTTCGTTTCACTTCAGGACTTTTCATCTGTATGTGCCGATGATACCACAGGGGATTGAAACTAGGACTCTCAGGTTACGTGGTGAATCACTGGGACGGGATCCAGTGGTCCATAAATTCGAACTTCCAGCAGTTCATGATATATAGCATCACCTTGTACATGTATTGGAGTGTATACATTCACTTTGAAAGTTATTGTACTTGAAGTAGATAGTTTATTCTAATGGGTATTTAGTAGATTTCTTTCATCTTCTAATGAAAATCTCTAACACAATAAATTATTTTAAACAAATTACAGCATACAGTTTTATACAATACGCCATATAAACAGTCGATATACTTACTCCTTTAGGCTTTCTTCGTGTACTATGGCGAAACAATGAAAGTGTTCTTTTCACTGGTGGTCTGTCTTCTTCACGCATTGCCATCCAAGGATGATTTAAACACTGTTGTACTGACGGTCTTTTACTGTAGAGAAATAAATACAAAAAACAAAAATAAGTAAATCAGAAATAGTAAGATAATGCCAGCAGGAATGGATTCGTTATATACAATATTATTACAGACTGATATTTTTAACGCTAAAAATAGTTGGCTGATGAGAGCTACTCAGGGGCGAAATTTGCATAAAAGAATTAAAAAAGCAACTGTTCTTCAGTTTAAAATTGTCTAACAACATGTGAAAATTTCGACTGAATTCAATTTTAACAAAATAGCCACAACTATTGAACACATTGAATGAATGTAATTAAACCTGTTTGGGCCTAATTTAGTGCTTTTTAAGATTGAATGTTTAACCCTATATGAAACTATGCGCTTATTAGTGCAGAGTTTGATAATGTCAGTTCACCTGGCCATATAACTGCACATGAGCCTTATTCAGGCAGCTGTCGTATCTTTGAATGAAAGATAAAGCAACATACACTGGTGAGATCGATTGTGCTGTTATTCTCATTTTATATTTATTGTACTACTTTATTGAGCAGGCTAGTACTACGACACTAGCAACACATTCTTCAGCCATCTTAGTCAATGAGAATTAACAACTTTATAAACTAACTTCATTGTGTGACTACGCAACACAGAAAGGTAGTTACAAAGACAAGCATATTTAAAAATCTACAACTCAGTTGGACTATTCGGCTGATATCTTATCATAACCAAGAATAAATCAGTCAGTAAGACGTTCTTTACAGCAAAATTACATATGAGGTTCACCAGCCGCAAGTTGTTCTCTGCCTGTGTAAAAGATAAGCTACCCCGTCTGGCCGCCTCTGTGTGCATCTATTAGTTCACCTGCTCTTGCGGAGCAAGGTACATTGGCCGCAGTCAGAGGACGCTTTCTACACGGATACGAGAACATATTCCAGCATGGTTTTACAAGGGAGAAAGGAAGTGTGTGCGAAGCTCTATTTTGGAACACCTGATCGACTTCTGCCACTCTGTCAACCATGACCATGATTTCAAGATCATATATAGAATCCATGCTAACTTCCCGCGTTTTCTTCGTTACAGACTTCTAAAGACAGTAGAGGCCTTGGCAATTCATGACTTTAAGCCAGACCTTTGTGTACAAAAGAAGTATGTACAATCCCTACTTCTGCCTTAGCCGTAGAGGGATAGACGTTTATTTATTTTGTTTATTTAGTTATTCTATGTACCTTTCCCTTATTACTACGATTATTATTATTATTATTATTATTGTTATTACTATTCTCACTCTGAATTGTTTCCACTTGTCCCACTTGTCATTCTAAACCCAAAATTATTAATTTTTATTTTTAATTTTTGCAATATTGAATTCTATCTTATCAAATTTCACACCATGTTATGTAACATTTTATATTCGCCTACTAATCCTATAATTATGTACCCCTTTCCAAATTCTATACACCTTATGTATTATTCTATATATGACATTAATTATTTTGCCACTTAACATTTAACTATGATTATATTCACAAATATTTTAATTGCATTTCATACTACTACTACTATTATTTCATGTATTCACACCTTTGACCTAATTCCCTCATCGGATATAATTTCTTAAAAACCACATATATACGATTGTACAGCTTGATAATAAATTCGTTGAAAAGAGTCTCTTCGCTGAATATTGTGTTCTTAATGCTACAATGGGAATTATTAAATTAATTACCGAGAATGACTACCGCTGGCGAATACGAAACACCCCTGTTATATTCGTTCTCACAGCTCACTGCTCTAAAAAAAGCCGGTGGTAGCCAATGAGACTGCCAAAAGACTATTATACGGCTGCATTAGATACTTCGTCGTAGTGTTGTGTGCCTGTTTTAGCTACAGCTAACAACAATGAGAGATTCCAAGATTTCAGTTAGCCAGATCGTCATGCATAAATTTACATGAGACATGTGTGTGAGTGTGTGCATGTGACCAAGCAGACAGTGACATGAATTATGCTTCTCATTAGTGTCTTATCAACTTAGAAAATACATGAAATAAAATATGCTTGTAATCCGTATTTCATTTAAGCAACACACCTGAAATAAATTATCAATATAATGTATTATTTATTTAATTTCCAGTTGTCTTCAACATTCTGTGGTATGAGTGCTAACATATTAGTCACATACACATTGTTGTAAATTTTCACATAAAAACACATAATCAATATCCTTATTCTATTTGTACTTATATATATTCAATAGACTTAAGTGTATTTGTACCATTAAGAGCACATATAGATAAACACAGTGGCACGAAATAAGACTACATCAATTAGTTTATATAGCTTCTTGAGAGTGAATAGTTTACAAGGTCAACTTTCTAGTCTGATAACCGGTAGCAATTCACTGTTTGACTGTGATGCCACGTTGTTAAATCTAAGCGGAAAGTTAGATTTTAATGTTATTACCAATGACTACAAAGATTTTGTTATCTGATGAGTTGAAATGCATATGAAATGCTTTCTTGTCATATCGTCAGCGGCCTGCTTAAAACTTGGGCTACCAAAAACTTCCATCTGTCTATTGCACAGATTTTCTCTCGTTCGGTTTGTTTTAATCAATTAAGATATAATCTCTAATGGTACTATCTACTCTTGTGTGTATTTAAAATGTTTACAAGCTTCTGATTCTCAAGTTCCTACTAAACTTGAGGTAAGGCTTGATTGTGGGTGGCAGCGTGTTCCAATACATGCGATAACTGTTCTTCAGTTATGTCTTTGGGTCTCGAAATGTACTTCTGAACATCTTACAATTGGCTTTCAACTAGATGTTGTGAATTTCTTGAAGGAGACAAAGCGCATATATCATAATGTAATGGTTCGTGCTTCAGTTCAGAGACCAGTGTGTCACAGGATACACTGTCTATTAATGCAATAAACTCCTGAAAATTCTGTACATTTTATAAATACTGTCCAGAATTTTTCAAAATTTTGATTATAGCTTGAAACCACAAAGTACTTTTGGTACATGTATGGAATTTTCAGCATGTGATATCGATAGCCCAAATTTTGCAAACTGACCACTGATATCAGGTGTGCGTCGGCAAGGGTCAGCGAGAGTCCTAGCTGTTGTGCCATCGACGCATATGTGTTATCATTATTATCCTCGAAAATGAATGACAAACAGTCAAACTGAATCAACTACCAACAGGAGAATAATAATGCAGAATCATGCGTGAACTACTATCTGGCCATAGTTATTTCTGTGTGTTTGAGTTGCCTAGCAACATGTTGGATACCATCAGAATAGACAGAGTAAATGTAAATCACAGAAAGTTTAACTACCTTTCCTTAATTCTAAAGTTCACTTGCTCACTGATGTGATGTAATCGAAGTCACTGGAAGGGTGATGAAACTGGAAAAGATTGACAACTTTTTGATATTTAACTTTGAAAAGAGCAGAATTCGTTTTGATTCTCATGTTGGTGAATATTTCAAGTGAACAATGTAATCTGTACACCTTGATTGATGCTATAGGGCATATTGCTGAGCTATTCAAATACACTAGAATAAACATATCCGCATTCTAGTTGCCTAATTATTTTGTGTCTGAAGGTAATGGTATCATGTCTTCTAACGTCAATCAACCAAGTTGAGTGAAACGGATGACAGTGTGCGAAAATATAAGGCACTTAGATCCCCCGAATTCGGACATAATTATTCTAATTAAGACAATACTACTGAACATTGTAGTGGACTGTGATGAAATTGCGAACGAATGTCTTCAGTTGACTCGATAAAGACTCAACAAAGCTATCAAGAGAACTTATTATGCTGAAAACCTTGTCTTTCTTAACACCATCACCAAGCGGGTGCTTCAACAATCTGGGAAAGTCCAGTCGCCAATCCTCGACACTTCAAACTGCGTAAATCAATTTGAATGTGTTTGGGGAAGCAAATAAATAGGTCGTACCGTAACGCAATTGTCTACTCGCATGATGGAACTTTCGCCAAAGTGGTTGAAAACAGCTAAAGTCAAAGTACCATAAAGCTCAATAATGAAGCATTTTATAGACTTCGGACATGATATTGACGCTGTCAAGTCATTCACTGTAGTTGTCAGCAGACAAAGAAACAGGAAGATGCTTGTAATTGCGGAGGCTTCCGCAATTAGAGTTTATAAATCAGGTCTCTGTGTGCAAAAGGAAATGGTCGTCACTCTGAATCTACTATGGTAGCATGTTTTGCTTATTAAATGTTATTAATTATTAATATGTTATTCTACCTCTTATTATTACTTCCTCTGATTCATTTAAAACTATCTTTTATCATTACCATTATCTTAACTTGTTTTAATATTATTATTGTTATTATTATTAGCATTGCTATTATTATCACTAGCATTATTTAGTTCGAAATTCTTGACATATTCAAGTTCTTCCACTCACTAATAACTAATTATTTACAGGATTTTCATCACGAGCTGACATTAGTTAGAGAACCACTGGAAAACCTGAGAGTACTGGACAGCTGTTTCGTCCTAGTTTGGGACTCTTCAGCAGTACTTACCCACCGAGATTCGAACCCAGGACATTCTGGTTACAAGGCGAACCAGCTCATAGACCATTAAGCCACTGGGACCCGATCCAATGGCCCGTGAATTCTAACTTCTGCCAATTCACGACATAGCGCGACCACTAGCCAATGTCTTCGGCGAGTATTTGTCCTCACGCCCGACCTGCTGCATCCTACTGGTCACGACTTCTCACTAGAACCCCAGGTAACTACCTACCTGAATAGGGCAAATCACTAGTGAGCATCTCATTAATATTCAAGTGTTGGTTTGTAGGGATTTGATTGGTTACAGGATTTTCATCATGAGCTGACATTAGTTAGAGAATCATTGAAAAGCCTTGGAGTGGGTGCGTACTACTGAAGAGTCCCAAACTAGGACGAAACAGCTGTCCAGTACTCTCAGGTTTTCCAGTGGTTCTCTAACTAATGTCAGCTCATGATGAAAATCCTGTAACCAATCAAATCCCTACAAACCAACACTTGAACTAATTATTTATTTAAGTGACGTAATCGAACCATATATATATCAAGAATCTTACCTGTATTACTTATCACGTCATAGAGCCTGCTTCTATTACATCAGGATTTCGGATACCTCACTGTTGACATCTCTGATTTCACAACTGGATGACACGAGTTCGAGTCTCTGAGGGGAGGGACATGAGTTCCTTCAGGACCGCACATAAGCGTCAGTGGGACAGCGTTTAGGATGCTTGCCGACCATGCACATGGTCTGGGGCTCAATCCCCTGCTGATATCAATGATCAACCTGCTGAAAATTCGGGCTACTGACATCACACGCTGAAAATTCCATACTTGTATCAAAAATACTGTGTGGATTCAAGCCATAGTGAAATAAAATAAATAAGCCTTGCTGACTGGTGAGTGCCAAGAAGCCCAAAACCTTGGTGATTGAAGGCTTCCTGTGAACGATTATCACCCACCATCTAATAACCGCAATTCAGAGTTCACCGTGAAAGCGAACCACCTAGCATCGTGGCCACTCAGGTAAGTTTGACGGATAGTATTCAGTCTAAACCAAACAACGGACTAGATGAATGACACTATTGTCTACCCAGCGTCCAATCAAAGTATACCGTTCATTCCACGACTGAACCACTCTGAATTTTAGGATTCAAACAGTTTGTAAGAATTATATTTTTACATTATGCCAAAAAAGAAACAAAATCTGGTTCTTCTTTTTTTCACATATTTCTTGCAGTGATTAAATAATTCAATGTTCAATTCACACTCCTAGAAAATAGACATCCGATTATTTTCTTAAGGGGTGTTACTTTGTAATAAGTAAGAGGCATAAATTGTGATCCACGCCTTCATTTAAGAGTTGATTACTAATACAATCTACTTATTGTTAATTTAGGTCATGAAATTTCACATATCCAGTGATTATCGATTGAAAATGATTGATGTGCAGCAAATTAATCAGTTAGTTATTGATCTTTTTAAATTAAATGTTAGCACAGATGTGTTCTGAGATTAAATAAAAATGGCTTACTTTGAATTCGTTTAAATCATATTCTAGGGAAAGTTTCTTTTGTTTGCTTGACAATACATGATAGTAATTAAAGTTATACAAATACATAATGATTCTTTGTGTTCAGTAGTCAGTGTATTTTACATTTTGATTTGGATAGTCCCCCCAGCTGTCAGAATATTACCTTGAGAGATCTTCGTCCTTTGTCTATTCAAAGGTTAGCTAACACTGAAGAAACAGGTGCATAATCATTAGTGCATCAGCATCTAGTATTGCTTGTATTGCTCAAATGGGTAAACATTAATGAAATCATGTTGACATTAATGTGTTACCGATAATTTTTTTCATTCCCATCACGTTTCAAGTGGAATATAGTCCATCAGGCTTTGAAGCTCCAGTACCATTTGTGCTGTTTTTATGGGGGTAGGATTGTTAATCTCATTTCCGAAATTCTAGCTTTTCCAGGTTTTTCATCGGCTCATAAACAAGGCGAGGCTTAAGTGTCCACTTTTCGCCGGTAATCGAACCCGAATCACATGCCTATCTAGCGACCATTTTACCATTGAGCCACTGAAGTACAAATAAATAGCTTCAGATATCTGTAATATACGTGCACCTGTGGTTTACTGGTAGAATGCTTGCTAACTATACCCGCAGTCCAGGTTCGACTTCCCTCTGGTAGTAAGCATGATGCAAAGGGGAGGCTGGACGTGAGGTTAGCGACCCTATCCTGTATAAAAAGAATACCACTGCTACTGAAATTATTATTATATTATTGTTTCCTTTAATTCCTAGAGGAAAATAGGGCTTCACCTGTGCGTCTCCATTGCGTTCTGTTCTCTGCTAGAGTCTTCACCTGGCTCCATGTCTGCCCACACGTTTTCATCTCCTCTTCACATGATCTCCTCCAAGTCACCCTCACACTGACGACCAACTCGCCGCTTCCCTTTCGGGTTCCACTCGAACAGTGGCTTATCTAGTGATGTCACTTGATGGTTTCCTAAGAGTATGGCCAATCCATCTCCATTTCTTCCTGCCTATTTGTTTCACAATCGGTTCCTGCTGTGTTGGTTCGCTCATTGCCGGAGATCTCTTTTGCTGTCTGGCCATCTGATCTTGAGTATTGAGCGAAGACAGCTGTAAATGAAGGTCTGTAGTTTGTTTGAGGTGCTCTTTATGACGCGCAGTGCAATTCTCTGATCCGTATAGTAGCACTGACTGACTTCACATTGGAGTTGAAAATCCGGATCTTATTTTTGATGGTGGGGAGTGCTGTCGACCTCCACACAGACTTGAGAGTAGTGAAAGCTTGTCTTGCTTTTCCGATTCTTGCTTTGATATCCTCGTCAGTTCCGCCTGTAGTTGAAACGATACTTCCCAGGTAAGTGAAGGAGGTTGCTTCTTTCAGATTTCTCCCATTTATACTGATTCTTGTCTGTTTTTGCTGCTGTTGCTGTTGGTGGTGTTGCGCAGGAATCTTCATCACCTCTGTTTTCTCTATGTTCACCTGAAGTCCTGTCTTTGATGTTTCTTCTGCCAACTTGTTGCTTTCCGCTTGCATATCTTCCAGTTTGTGGGAAATCAGACATATATCATAGGCGAAGTCCAGGATTTATTTATGATTAAAGGACTCATGGAATACCGGTTAACTTAGAAATCTGTGTGTAACAAACAACTATAAAGCTGAAGTGTGCACTTTAATTTCATAGAATGTTGATTATTTGAGAGAATTTAGCATAGTGACTACAAGAAGGATAAATCAGTGAAACTGGTACTGCATAGTGTTCGTCTTTCTTCCTGAATAGTCAAACATGATGACGTACAATTAAATTTTTACTTTGATAGATTGGTTGCACTTCATTTATTGGTGTACACTGCCAACAGTCACTAAATAAAACTCTGAATTACGCTAAAATTCCTCTCACTGATGAGTTTATCCTTTTAAAGTTCGGTAAGGTAGTTCACTGAATCTAACAAAAAACTGAACCAAAGTAATGATGAGCAAGAAGAAACTACTCAATAGCTCGCCGATGAAATTGTTCAGCGGTTGCGTTACATATCGCAAATTGACAAAGGTTAGAATCCATGGGCCACTGGATTCCATCGCAGCTGCTAAGTTACCGGCTTACGGGCTCGCCTTGCAAATTAGGGGTCGCGAGTTCGATTCCCATAAGGACAGTAGACAATTACTCCTGCAGTCTCTCAAAACAGGACGAAAGAGTTGTGTCATCCTTCCTAGTTCTCAACGTTTCTCTAACTTGTGTCAGTTTCTGATCACACTTAAAATCAATCAAATCACTGTAAAACAACACGAGATCGAGTGATGCTAGTGGTGATAAACAACATAATAAACAGTGAGATTTTTGTGAATCACCAAAATTTCATTCTTCTTAGACTGGTTACATAAGATAATTCAGACAAAAGTTTGGTGTCTGGTTAAAGGTTTATATTTTTACCATAATAATTTGTTTATTGGACATATCACACAGACACTTTTAATGATTCTCTAACTGACATAATTTGTGACAACACTGATCATACCACCCAAATAATCAGACATAATAACAACTTAAAATATAATTACACTACTGGTGTTATTTAAAAGTTAAATAAATTAATATTACTGAGTATTACTCACTTAGGATCACGAACTAATATCTGTTTGATAAAATCTTTAGCTTCCTTTGAAACATCAACTATCCCAGGATCATCAAAATCGTATCTGCAATGTGTAATATTTAAAGATATCTCGTGGTTGGTTAAAGTTCGATCACGACATCCTTCTTGTGGAATTTCAAACGGTGTAATACCTGCAAGACTGTAGATAAACATAAATTATTCACAAAATTAATTATATATATATGTATATATATATATATTATTCTGTTGTCAACGCCTGTGAAAAATTTTATTATGAGTTTATACCTGATACCAGTCCCATAGATTTAAACAGCTGGGTAGTGTATTCAACTCTCTAATAAAACGTCTGTCTGAATAAAATATGTCTTTAACCTCCTAAAAACAGGAGTAGAATCTGGACATTATGGTGGGACTCCATATTAGATAATTTTAATCAATATAACACACAATGATACACTGTTAACAGCTGGAATTACGACGATTTGAGAATCGTATTTCCCTCTGCGACAGTTGTGTGAGTTTACTGGTCAGCCTTAGAACAGGATGACCATAAGCAAAATTAATGTGTGAGTAGAATTCAGTATATAAGGATAATTTGATGGTTTAATATGAGAGGCATTTACTACACTGATTGTTAAAAATGAGAACTGTATATTTTCAAGTTTTTAACGTATTATTTGTCCAGTGAACTATATTCACTGAGTGCAATACTATGAGACAACTCACACCCATCCTTCTACTCATAATAATTCACTTCAATGCTAGAAAACATGAAGTGTACAAATGTAAGCACACACTGTTAACTGACTAAGTACCAATGTAGAACTTTGCACAGAATTGCAACAGTTAAAGCTGTCATATTCTGTATAGCACACCGAGGTAGAGAAAAGCAGAGAACATTTTTAATTCAATTTGATTTTCTCGCTGATTGATTGGATGAAAATATTTTGACCTCTGTAATGGAGTTATACTCTACCACAATGCCCAAGTTTTATACTTGTATCAATAAGCCATCTCGCTCTCTTTTCTGACCTGGTCAGTATCGTTTCAACTACAGGCGATAGCGATGAAAATGTCAAAGCCAGCCAAGATCGAATAGGGAAATTGACATAAGGGTTTATTACTTTTAAATTAGTGTGGAGATATGAAGCACTTAGCAAAAGGAACAAAATTCGTATTTTCAACACTCATTTCAAGCCAGTGCTCCTAAATGCTTCAGAGACTCAGTTATTGAGTCACACCAAGCCTTTCCAACAGTACGCTTCAGACTTTCATCAATATCTGCTTTCGCTGACTCGATAATGAAGATCAGATGGCCGGCGAGGAAGGATAGGCAAGAGACGAGAGATTCTGATAATGGACCAGCCAATAATCTATTGCTAAACAAATTTGAATATCATAAGAACAAAAAATATTTAGAAAGGACAACTGTTTCGAATGAATTCTTCTTCAGGTTCTACAATTATAAGTCCACTGATTTTAACTGCAGCGTGGAATCCCCTATGGTGTGCTAAAATTAATGAATTTATAAATGCAGAGCCTGAATAACTTATTGAAAACATGAAGAAGGAAATGTAGGTGGGTTGGACATACTCTGAGGACACCATCGAGTGCCATGACACTCTAGGGCCTCGAATGGGATGCGAATAGGAAGTGAGAAGTCGGTGCAAAGGTAACATGGAGAGAAAATAAAGTTTACGGGCAACAGTCTAGCCACACAATGTAGTGCGATGGATATTTGCTGCTGAGACTCTACATTCCAATCGGGAAGCAAGAATAATAATAACTCCATCAGATGACTATTGGTGTACACAGGAACGGTATTTAGGGAATCCATAACAATATCAGATATGTTTACCTAATTTATCAGTTCCAGCCTATATACTTCATTATTCCTTTTCTCACAGGTTCTAAAATTCCTGCTATCAATTTTATCCCAGAATGTTAGAGTGATCTAGACATATCCGGAATTTGATCCATGAGTAGTCCCCTTGTGAATCGTAGACAAACAATAGAGTAGTGAAACTTTTGATCCAACAGTCTGAAGTCTTTCAAAAGTCTTGGTTTATCTCTAAAAGAATTTCTGTCGGATATTTTTCTATTACCCCAGTATGAGATTTGTCTCCAAATAACTTTGTAGATGGGGTACCCAAATTAACCATTTTTGAAGTGATCTGTTAAGCAAGACTACTCCAATACTCTTTCTTGAGTGCTCAATAATCAAATTTTTGCAGTTAAAAAATTCTTTCATATCCTGCTCAGTCAGAAATCAGTCTCTTATCTGACTACATAGACTCACATTCATCTTCTTCATAAAAGTGGGAGTCTATTGGGTACCTACTTTTTGACATTTTGAATAATAATTTCTCATATATTTCATCTTCACTCCCATTATCATAATTACGGCTTCTTTCAGACTTCTGTACATATTCTGCATATCTCTGTTATCTGCAACCTTGAAGCAACTCATGTCCCCTTTGAGATTCAAAGTGGTGTCACTGAGCCCAGCAGTCAGAGAGGGACGTTATCATCGAGCTATTCGACCTCAGCCCAAACAGGGTTCTTGATTGTTGGCATTCTTCAGGTAGGTGTATCTGGAGTCCTGGAGGAACTCAGAGCTCGAATAGCTTATTGTTAACATCTGTGACTGCACCACTGGCTGATACGGGTTCGAATGTCAGGGCGGATAGACGTGAGTTCCTTCAAGATTGCAGATACACCTTACTGATGAATGCGAACAAGCATGAAACCTAGGTGATCCAAGGCTCCACCCAGCTGCCTCCATCCATCCATCTAATATCGAGAATTCAGAATTTAGTGTGATGGTAAGCCATCTAGCTTTTTGGTGGCTACATCGTAAACTTGACTCACAGCATTCATTCTTCACAAAATAAAGGAGCAGACACACTATACTAGTTACTAGTGTGCAATCAAAGTACATCTCTTCGTCTTCTGAAGAATATTCCTGTTTCCAAGATGCCATATTATTAATAACCACTTGTAAAAGTTAAATCTTTCAAATCACTTAAAAATTATACAACTAAGTCCTACAATTCATCAGTTTCCTTCCGTACATACAGTTAACTATGTTTTGTTACCAAGTGATATTAAGGCGTTTATTTTCAATTTCCATGACGTTTCGGGAAGGTGTATTTAACAGTATAGCTTTCATCGGAAGTTATGTGTGCAGTCTTTTTGGCTGACATATATCTTTTGAATGTCACCAAATCAGTTCGCACGTGTATTTGTCAATTTTCGAGGGAAAAACTAAATGATTTAATCAAATTATTCATTAATATTTGTTTATTGAACATATAACTTGTTAATTCTCTGTGAGTTAGCAAAAGTGATAAACCGATGTGTTCAATACTTCCCGAACTTTTGACCCACATATATCGAAATGTGAAGGGAAGTAATCAGACCACATTATACTGTAATATTAGTCAATTTACTTTACAGCAATTCATTCAAGCATTGAATTTATATCTTGTTATAAGCGTAAAATTGTCGACAGATTATTAAACTACTTATAAGTAGACAAATTATGTAAGTGAAATTTCGAAGTGGTCATGAGCACCCAGCTAGTAAGAATTAGTGTTCAAAGATGAGAAAGGTATTTCAAGCTACTGTATGCCATTTAGCCTAGATTAGTGAATATACAGGCTCCAGTGAACTGTTATTATTATTATCATTATTATTTTAGCAGAGGTTCAATAATTAGCCATATGATGTAATATCAACAAGAGATTTGCAAAATGAATACAGAAGTGACATTGAAAGTGCCGTGGCGCTGGTTATTTATTGATATACGCAAGTTAATAACAGTGATAACTAATTGCAAACATAATTCAAAAGTTTGTGATTTTGTAATAAAATTGTTTCTAAAACACACTGATTGTTGATTGTAAATAAATCAAATTTAGAAAGTTGATTGCATTATAAACTAGTTTTGTCCATCTTCACCACATTTGAAGGAAATGATCAACCAACAGATCGATAAACATGACAACACAAGTGATACTTTCCACTTTATGTGAATGTCTTTGCAAAGAGTTTGTAGACTGTGCCAGTATATAAAAAAGCCATGCAAAATCATGTTACAATTCCAAAGAATTCCCTATTTGAAAATATTTAGATCTGGATATCATTTTAGTCTGAATAAATCTCTGTACATCTTTTTTCCTGTTTTGTCCAGCATGTTATTGTGCCTTCCACTTTGTAATGTCTTATCTAGATTTGTCATGAATATCCACCACCTATGTTTGCGCCTTGTTGAATTACTTATAAAAATAAGTTAACCTGAGATATAAACTCATAAATAAGATGTATTTATGAATAAGAGGGAAAAGATTCTGTTCTCATTATGAAGGACACCTGACAGAATCAGTAACAGCTTCCAAGAGAGCAGTTATATAACTGATGTTGCAAATACGTATAACATCTTAGCCTTGTTGACATAATACCCACATTTAAAAACTCACATATGTTGTTCAGTTACATAACCTTACCCAATATGAACAGGAGAAGAGCATTCAAACATAAAATTTACATGATGATATATAGGTGTGAATACATCATAATAAGGTGGAAATTATGCAGTATTGCTATTATATAAGCTTTCTAAGTAGGTCGGATTTGATAACTAATGGGATATGGAAATCCTCTAATAAATATCCTATAAGAAAACAGGCTTAGTGTAAGATTAAACACCATTGTTGTTGTTCACAAGAGATATTTTAATATTTTGACCAAATACGCTTTGTTTCACAGACTGATGTATCCTCCCACTGATTTTTAACAAATAATGCAAATGTAGAAGATAGCTGTATACAGAATTTGTGATCAAGACTAGTGATCTGAAACTAGGACTGTTATTATGGGATTTATCTCTACTGGAGTATAATGAAAGCCAAGAGGCATTTTTGGTGTTCTTATTTGCCTATTGTTTCAGCAAGTCACAATGTTCTCAACACTAATGGTGGAAAATTTGGAGCTGCATACGCACAAACTTATATCCAGGGGATTCTTCCAACTGCCTCCGACCAATAACGCCATTTTAAAATGCACCGCGATGATGTTGATAGGATTTTGATGACTAATCAAAGAACTTCAATTGAACTTACAGACATGCAGAGTTCCGTGTCTCTGTGTGGGTGTGTTTTTAATAAATAGTTGCAATCATCAAACAGACAACAGCTGTTAACTCTTGTCGTAATCATTCTTTGTTACTCTTTCTTTTATGTTTAAATTTATACTACTTCTTATTAGTAAGTAGTATAAGTTAGTCTTGTTTACTAACTTGTTGCTCCGCAACTATAAGAATTGAGTTCCATTAGTTTACCTCATTTAATGCATCAGTATTCTATTTGGTCTGCAGTAATTATCGTTCTACGGTTTAATCGTACCTTCTGTACATTTTTTCGCAAATGTCCATCTCTCTGCTGAACACTGTTTATTGGAATATCTTTAGACACACTGTAAATTTTTATGCGGAAAATTTTGTTTGTAAACTCCTCTACTGTTTACGTGTTAACAGTGACAGTACTTTCCACAACATTGGAGTTAGCTGTATCATGTATTCTAGATCTTTACATGCTTATTTAATCGGAAGTTCGATTGGGAGTTATCGTTCTGGATTTCTTAGAGGAAATATACCACCTTATTTATTTCAAATTTATTACCCTACCACTATTATTTATTTTAGTAGTTCTTTTTATATTTTAGAAATTTTTTGATTCTAGTAAATTAACCACAATTGTTCAATATCTTAACTGAAATCTGAAAATTAATAATTTATCATCACTGTGTCTTCCGAGTGGAACATAAGGCTTCAGTAGTACATCTCCTTTTCATCCTTATCTCAGCAGTCCTCTTTACCTGGCTCCACGATTGCCTATAAGCTTCTGTTTCCTCCCAAAACGACCTCGTGCATGGCATCCTCGGACACACTCCAAACTCATCTGAGTCCCATTCGAAGGCGTGGCTCTTGATGTCTCCTCAGCTAATATCTAATTCGAGCATAGAATTCATGTTATTCCAAGTACTTGTAATGCCTATTATTATTTGACAGTTGACAGATTCATGTATTTCCTCTAACTATTTACCTGTATATCTTAGTCAGCAATTGTTATGATTTTTTCCTTTATGTTCCCAGTGGAACATAGAGCTACAAGCTAGAGGCTTGGAGTTTCGGTAGCAGTGGTGTTTATTTTTACGGGGTGGGTTTGCTAGCCTCATGCCCAACCTTCCTTCATTACCAGTCTTATTAGTGGCTTAGAGATGTAAAGGAGTGCGTCGACCGGGGATCGAACCACATGAGGCGTGGTCGGCTATCATTCTACCGCTGTGCTACCGTCACACAGTCAGCTAACGTGTGAATAGTTTGTGATACTCGTCATATTCGGAACCAGCTGGAATTAATCTTCTTGAGTTTGTCGCAGCAGAATTCCACCGGTACTCAATATTCATTGGTTTAAAGTTACTAAAAACCTTTAACAATGATTGTACAGATGACTGGCTATTATGCCAGCCTTCGTCAGAATAAGCGCCTAGCTAATTTTCCCACTGACTACAATACTAATCATGTAAAAACAAACCTGAAAATGATAATGTGAGCTTGAAACTTCATCCAGTCTGAAATACTGTATTGCTGTTTGTCATATCAGATAAACTAACTTAATATGAGACTACACTCTGCCACCATGACATCAAACGCCGGGCTTCTGAATCGAATCTGAGTGGGAATCGATCAGCTGGTCTTAAGGCGGTGTTGTAGAATAGATCGTGCATAGTAGAGGAAATCAAAGCTTGTGGAGAGTGGTGAAGGTAGTTAAAAATGACGGCAGATAACACAGTACAGTGGAGATACGCTGCCGAAGCTCTCTTTCCGCCTGAGAAGCAAAGAACGCTTAATGACACATAAAATTATAATACAGTGTCCAAAAGTCTTACTCTCATATTAATGATGCAAAGTAATGAGTAGACAGCATGAAGTCGAGAAAAATGTAATGTAATGAACTGACTGAAAAATGGATGGAGATAAAGGTGATATTTTCCAGTGCAAAAGTTAGCTGAATAAATTTTTCAGAGGAGCATTTATAATATTTACTTGGTTAAAAAAGACTGGCTTCTAAAACGGAAAAGAGAGAGCACTCCTAAGAAAGCCATCGTTATCTGCTTGAAGATTCACTAGCTATTTTAAAGTATCCGCACTCAATGGAAAAGTTGGAATAAGTCAGATTAATACTGATTAGTGAAGTATACCAAATGACTTCATAGAGTAAATACTCTCAGTAAAGTCTAAAGTCTGGTTGTATCATTTTCTGTTCTAACAACTCCTGGACGGGGGCATTAGGAATTGGCTAAGGCAAAAATTAGCGGGGCATTGTAATAAAAACCTTCAAAATATGAGGCTCACTGGAAATCATTATGGACACGAAAATATCGAAAATGCACTTATAGTTTTCGACTTGAAAATACCCTGTGCCATTTGATATTTTGAACAGAATGGTCGACAAATTTAGTAGTATTACTCAGTGAGAATTCATAATATGAAAACTGTGGTGTATGATGTTACCAAATGTAGAAAGTTAACCTCCAAGGTGCAATGAAGTTCTCTTTGCAAGTTCTATACTATGTTGTAGTATACTTAAATGTCATTAAGTTTCAAGGAACACTCCCAAGTGGAATGCATCTATCTCATTATTTCACATAAAGATTCAATTCATTTTGTTCTGTTATGTAATGTTAAAAAACAACATTTGGCACCATTCAAACTTACATTTCGTAGGCAATAACAGCTAAACTCCATAAATCAGTAGTATATGTTTGTGGATCACAATTTTGTGTTTCCGGTGCTATATAAGTCAATGTTCCAGCTGGTATAGGAGGACACTGACTGCCTGTATAAAAGATAGCCAAACCAAAATCGATAATTTTTAAACGATATCCCGATGATTGTACCATCATTAAATTTTCTGGTTTCAGATCACGATGAATAACTGAACAGTCTTGTAGATGTTTTAAACCGAGTAGTACTTGACGAACTATGCTGACAGTAATAGCCTCGTCTAGTGAACCTTCTTTTTCAATTCTGTTGTACAAAGCTCCACCTGAGACACTTGAAATGGCAAATGAAAATATTGAATCAAAGTGAATTGTTAGAGTTTACAGATTAGCATAATTGTCTAAGAATTACTTTAAAACAAAACGAAAATAATAAATTATCGTGAATTCATTTTATGTTTTCATGATTCCCATAAATGTAAAAGTAATAAGATGATATTAGATGGTTGGAGGCAATCGGCAGGAAGCCTTGCTTGATCTGGGTTTCATGCTAGTTGGCATTCGTCAGCAAGGCGTATCTGCAACCTCGGAGGAACTCATGTCCCTTCTGAGATCCGAACCCGCGTCACTCAGTGCTACAGTCAGAGACTTTACTACTTAACTCTTCGGGCTCGTGATTGACTTCCTTTAGGACTGTAGTGGATACTTTGATTGGGCACTAGTAACTAGTGTGATGTGTCTAGCCCTTTCTTTGGTGCAGATTCAATTCTGTCAGTCAGGTTTGCAATGTGGCCACCATTCGAGATAGTTCAATCAATGTACACCATGATGGCGAGCTACTTGGAATGGTGGCCACATTGCAAACCTGACTGATAGAATTCAATCTGCACCAAAGAAAGGACTAGACACATCACACTAGTTACTAGTGTCCAATCAAAGTAATAAGGGATGTCAATGTACCTCTGTTTGTAGTTGGTCATTTTGGGTTCTGATGAAGGCTAATTATGAATACCTTAGTTCATAAGTGGGATAGATGGGTCTAGTAGCAGTAGTATTATAAATACAAAAAGAATTGTTTAATGTGGTCAAACCTTAAATATTCATTAAAATCCGTTCTTCTGGTATATCTCTGGACATCACTTGTTGTAGGTTGCAGTGTAATAATTGCTTGGAACATCCCTCCTGAACGATCCAGTTACAATATTGACACTCACTTGGATGTTTCAATTAATTTTGTATTAACATCCCCTTTTTCTCCTAGACTGTATATCATTAAATTCTAGCATTTACATATAATATTCTGACTTGATCCGTGTTATTTGTCTTTGACCTAGTTTAATCTCTAATTTTAATGCTTCTCTTTGTAGTGGTTCTGGGAAACATTGGTAATGTGTTGTTTTGCGATGTGATTTTGCTTGAGGGAATCGAGGTTATTCTGTGGGAATTCTTTAGTGTGTGTGATTCTTGTGGATTGAGTTTTGATTCCACCTTGTTGGGAATATTCTACTGGATTCTATTGTACTTCTTACAATTGAATTTTGGTCAACTGATCTTGGTACACAGTACTTGCTTTGTACTTATAAAGTTACCTTTTCTATATAGCTGCCGTTAGGCATCTATTGTTGTTGGATAGAACCACACAGATCTATCGACAAATAGTCGTCCTTTTGTCGTCTTTGGAGCCTTTTGTGATTGTTTGTGTTTCAAGGAAGTTTCGGACAGCTATACAGTAGGATACAGAGTTCGCTTCCCTTAGCTCAAACCGCAGCAAGCTGGTTTTGCTTGCTGCAAAGGTTGTGCTTCACCACTGTTGACAATTTATTTGACAAGGAGACTGTAAAGCTATCTTCAACATTGAGATCAACAATGACTTCAATGAGTCTTCGAGCATAATGACGTTGTATAAAGTGTGGTACATGCACAAATCTAAAACTTCACCAAAAGTTTATGTCAACTAAAATCCAGTATTTGAATTCTCTGAGTCTTTCACTCAGTAGTGCCGTTTTGAATCTTTGAATAAACATGATTTACCTGAAGGTTGCAGGCAATTCATGCTAACAGGAATCAACCAAAGCACAAAATCTTGATACATGGTTTCTGGCGTTTTGACTTCTAATTTCTGAAGCAATTAATGTCGGCAAAGTAATTAAGTATTTTTAAGTATTACGGTAATAGTCTCCTCCACTAATTAAATATAAGTATAGTGTAGAAGAGTTTTGAAGTTTCTCTAGCGGTTTGAAAGATTTAGTGGGATGGGATTGCTAGCCCCACGCCAAAACCTCTTTCTTTATCCGGGCTTTGGACCGGCTAAAAAAACTAGCAAGCTAGTTAACTAGGCGGGGCAAGCTAAAACCAACAAACTGGCTGAAGAGGCTGCCAGAGAAGACAGGACTCCAAGTGAACATAGAGAAGACGGAGGTGATGAAGATAACCAATCAACAACAACAACTACAACCAGCACCAGTCACCATCAGCGGGGGAGATTTAACAGAGGTTGCCTCCTTCACTTATCTCGGAAGTATCGTTTCAACTACAGGTGGAACGGACGAAGATATCAAAGCAGGCCAGAATCGGAAAGGCAAGATACGCCTTCATCAACTTGAAACCAGTTTGGAAATCTTCCGCGCTCAGCATAAGGAACGAGATTCGCATTTTTAGCACCAATGTTAAGTCAGTCAGTTCTTCTATACGAGTCAGAAAATTCGCTACTGTGTCACGAAAAGGATTTCCAACAGGTTGCAAACTTTCACCAACAGCTGCCAACGTCTCTGTCTGGATCCATACTGAAGATCAAATGGCCGGAAAGAATCAGCATGAATAAACTCTGGCTATGAACAAACGAACCAAGAACCGATTGCTCAACAAATATGTATGAGAGAATGGAGATGAATCGGGCATACATTGAGGAGGCCATCAAATGACATCGCACGCCAGGCCATCGCTCGAGTGGAATCCAAATGGGAAGCGACGAGTGGGTCGTCGGTGCGAGGGTGACATGGAGGAGATCGTGTGAGGAAGAGATGAGAGAGTTTGGTCAATCGTGGACCCAGCTGAAAAGGACGTCAGAAAACAGGACTAAGTTGTGATGTGTTGTTGAAGCCGTATGTTCCACTGGGAAAGCAAGGGAATAATAATAGTAAAAGAGTTTCTGAGCTTCAAAGCCTGCATTTCTGTATCCAGTTTATCAAAGGTTTCAGGGTTCTAAATATTTTTTATTCCTTGTGTTCCGAGTGGAGCACAGAGCTTCGAGCTTTTTTCAAGTTCCATTAAAGTGGTGGTGTTGATTTTATGGAATGGGGTTGCTAGTCTCACGTCCAACTTTCCTCTTTCTCGGGCTTGCGACCAGCTAGTAGATTACGTAAGGTTTGTGGAGTACGTCGGTCAGGAATCACACCTGGACCTCCCGCGGGGTTCAAGAGCATTGTACAATTGAACCACCGACACACTTTGGTATTTTTATAGTTACTGCTCCTAGAAGAAGCAAGATTAGTATTATGGAAACAAAATATATGTATATTTTCATACAGCTTGAAATTTGGAAAGCAAAGCACCATATGCAACTTACTATTCTGTAACTATAGTACAATAGATGTTGTACTCGTAAGCAGCATGTAGATGAGCTATTTGTGGATGTTTTCCAATAGCACGTAGTATAGCCACTTCCATTAATTCACCTTTATGCCTTTTAAGTCGTAGAATTTTAAACTTTTTCGCTGCAAATATACAACCAGTACTTTTTTCTTTGCACTTCATCACGTGTCCATAGGTACCACTTCAAGGAAACAAAGTTAATACAATCAAGAATTAAAGTAATAATAAAGGTTGTGAAAAGTAAGCTATAGGGTTTAAGTTAATTGCATAACCTTAACCAGACCCGCTTAACTGCAACGATAAGGGTAGAATATAGGAGTATTTTGCGATGGAACTGTTTTTTTTGTGAGATATGGACAAAACACATCTACTATATTAAAAGAATTAGTCCCTTTGATAAATTTGAATCAGGCATTTAGAAGACAAATTTCGCGAGATGATATCATTTCGTAGTTTCTTTACAACCGCTTTACACAACTAACATGGTTAGCAATAATAAAATAAGGATCATGACAATGACTCAGTTGTATAAAAAAACAAAAGTACACACTAATGACCAATCATATTTAAATAGGCCAAGTAATCCATGGTAGGCGAAGGTTGAAGTCTATTGTTTTTTTGTCCACACAGTTTAGGCTATACGCGATTAATCCAAAGTGCTTCCATCACCTTCAATAACCGACCTTGAATTAGAGTTATGTGAAATAAATGTGAAACAGTCATTAATATTGATTTTGTGACCTGACATTAATAAGTGTTTTGCAATGGATGGTGCTGAACATAGACAAGACGGAGGTCATGAAAATAACCAACCAACAACAGCAGCAGCAACATCCAGTGCCAATCACCATCAACGGGAGGGATTTGAAAGAGGTTACTTCATTCACTTATCTAGGGAGCATTGTCTCAACCACAGGCAGTCGGAACGGACGAGGATGTCAAATCGAGCGAGAATCGGTAAGGCGAGAAACACATTCATCAACCTGAAACCAATTTGGAAATCTTCGTCACTCGGCATCAACAACAAAATTCGGATTTTCAATACAAACGTGAAGTCAATTTTGCTTTACGGATCAGAAACTTGGCGGGTCACCAAGAATATTTTCAACAGGTTGCAGACCTTTATCAACAACTGTCTTCGCTCCATACTGAAGATTAGATGGCCGGAAAGAATAACCAACAAGAAGCTATGGGAACAAACGAAACAGGAACCAATCGCCCAACAAATATGCAGGAGGAAGTGGAGGTGGATTGGACAATCGCTGAGGAGGCCGTTGAGTGACATCGCGCGTCAGGCCCTCGAGTGGAACCCGAAAGGGAAGCGACGAGTGTGACGTCCAAGGGTGACATGGAGGAGATCGTGTGAAGAGGAGATGAAACAGTATGGAATAACATGGACGCAAGTGAAAAGAACAGCAGAAGACAGAAGCAAGTGGAGATGTGCAGTTGAAGCCCTATGTTCCACTAGGAACCCAAGGGAACAATAATAATGGATGGTGCTGGATTTCTATTCAGATTAATCGCATTGGGATTTTCTATATGATTTAGTAACCATTTTGGAACATATTCTTTTCGACGACATTGGAACATTCTATTGGTTCTAACTATATAGGTGTGTGTCACCGCAGCTGCAGGTGAACTAGTAGATAAAGTTTGAAGTAGAGTCCACAGAATTTCGTCCTTTAATCGTAGGTACAAGAATCGAAAATGTTCGGCATGTGAGAAAAAGAGATGCGGCGTAGAATGTGCGTTTGATGGCTGACCGAAGTCTTTGAGCTGTCAACTGCATAATCTGGTCACCCTTGAATAATGGTAGGTTAATAAAGATAGCTTTCTTTGGTACCGAAGCTGTCTTTTCTAGATGTGGTCTTTCTTTACTGTGACAAGTGGTAAAGTTTTCCGGATAACCATTAGCTAGCAAAACTGAATGTATATGTCGGAACTCATCCATCACTGTATCACTCCTGCATATTTTTCGGGCCCTTGAGAACAAACATTTCACTAGGGAACGTTTATTCTTCAACCTTCGACTACCATGGACTACTTGACCCATTTAAATGTGATTGGTCATTAGTATGTACTTTTGTTTTTATTTAACTGAGTAATTGTCATGAACTTCATTTCATTTTATTATTGTTAACCATGTCAGTTGTAAAGCGGTTGTAAAGAAACTACGAAGTGATAACATCTCGCGAAATTTGTCTTCTAAACACCTACTATATGTTGAAATCACATATTGCATATGTATTTTGCATTGTGCTTCTTTGTCCTCTTTTCATGTTTTCTATATGGTTTCACAAGATTCTTCTATTTCTTCTTTTCAGCATCAAATCCATCCATCTCTCCACTATTCGATGTTTTTGCAGATGATATACATATTTGTATTTGTACCCTTACACTACTTACAAATCTTGTCAGTAGCACACGCACACAATAGTAAAATTTACCATAGGTAAAGTGATAACGTCATTATTCAGTATCTGTTTTTAAGAAAATACTGATACGACTATGAAACACTTGCTTCTATTGTAGCTGGTAAATCAGTTTAATACTGAATAGCTTTAAGCGTTAATAATATTTCAGGAATTTAGGATTCCTTTGCATAACTAGTAGTCAGCTGAGAAAGTTTTCTTGAGCACACTGGCAAATAAATAAAAAAAATTTAAATTTATCTGTAATACGAAGACGTCTTCGTATCCACGAACATAAGCTGGCCGTCAAAAGACATGACATCCACTTCCTCATATCACTACATACAGACAACCACGGACATCAATTCGACTGGGACAACCAGCGTTCAAATATTAGACAGAGGAAACAACAAGAATGCTAGAGAATTTTTAGAAGCCTGGCATTCCAGTGAATCATCAATCAATAGATACATCGAGATATACTAAATTTATCAACCGATAAGAAAGAGACCTCACACACAAAGGGACAAAGTTCAATTCAAAGAAACAATCAGTTCCAATACAAGTAGCCTAGAGGGTGTGAAAACACACAGAAACAACCAATCACGTCTAAGTTCACCGGGAGAGATGATTAATAAACTAGTAGATAAATCTGAAAGCTCACTTCAGATTGAAGTATGCGCTGAAGATGTCACCTAGTAGGGCAATGAAAGCTTCGCAAATTAACTATTCAGCTCAGAGAACACAACCACATCAAAATCAGGTTACAAGAGTAGGTTGTCTTTAGGTAAGTTTACCTTTCCTATTGATTGATTATGTTGGACCAGGCATTAAGCGGTGTCTCTAGTAACCCTGATTACCCAGTGGAAAAAATGCTTTAGTGTTTGAAACAGTGAGTGCAGGGTTTCAGTCTCAGTGTGAACACGATCACTCACTAGGAATGACCAACTGAAGAGTCTCATGTAGGAGGAAATAAGCATCCTGGATCTTAGTGCACTTCATATTCAACCAAAATAAAATAACTATTGGTGATGAAACGTGATTATAGGACTTATGGAATATGGTTGGTTAGTTGGTCGAAATATATTTTGTCTTTGTTCAAGTAGAAAAAGAGGACACATTTTACCCAGTGGTGTTCATATTTGAAAGTAAACATGAGATGTTTAGAAATTTTCAGAACAAAACATAACCCCTCGTTAACTGTAAATACCACTAAAAATGATACTAATTGATCTTTAAACATACCAAGAAATTTATAAAAACGCTTAAAAGTTACTAAAATGATATATATATATGTATATGTTAGCGAATTCAATGATGAACTCACTGAAACTGAAGTTTTTATATTAAATTTTAGTGATTAGTAATTTTATTTGTGAAGTCTACCGGTGACTATCCAGTGGAAGTGAATAAGTATACGGTAAATCATTCTTCTTTGAAAGTATCTATAATTCAAAACTTGGGATCCACTTTACATACTAAAGTAGACTGTTCTCTGGCTTTGATGATTCACCTTACGAATGAATTCCGTTAGCAACATGAAATAAGTTTATTTTTTACTGATGGAAAAATTATGGAAAAAGAATATCACTGATATCCCAATACAGATCAATGATTTCGTGGCAATTTATTTGATTCTAAATGATTATCAGTCTGTTAAGGTGCTTGTCAAGTTTAAATTTGGTGGAAACAACTCAAATGTCTGATCAAAGTCTGTAGAAGTAGGCCGTTGTTGCGCTGAGTTCTAGGTGGATGATTTGACTGTCTGATGCTAACGAACACAGTCGATTAGGACGATTGGTTTTTAGCTACTCTTACTACTGAGTAGTATACAGACATATGTCTCACTTCTGTTTTGTTTATTTAACTGGAAGCCATTCATGGCATCTAACAAATCACAATCTCTAGCTTGAATATCATCGTCTGCGAAGAAGATCTCAACAGTTTTCAATTAAATATCTTTTTTATAAAATCTATTTAGCTGTGAATTTGCGATAGAGGCTGCACTTTGACAAATATCAGGCCTTTTAATACCCGCCTTTATAAAGTAATGCTTGCTGAATACTAATATTTTGATCATTTTCTTGTTTATACTACTGATTGTTAAATCTTTGTCTAGTAGTAGTTACACATTGCACAGAATATTTACTGGAACTTAGTCATCTTGTACAGCCTGTTTCTTATACCTTTAACTTTGTCAAACTGGACATTCGAAAGTTTAAAATTCTACCTGAATGTCCAATTCGCGGGTGGTGGCATAGCGATGAATTATTCCATAGGGATTTTGAAGTTGTCTTTACTCGCCTTTCACTAAGCAGATTATGGATTTAAACTTCAGTGAATATTTTCAAGATTTTTTTAGATGATTGGTATTGTTGGCAGTGGGAAAAATAGCTAGGCACCTATCCTAACGTAGGCTGGCATAATATCCAATCATCTGATGACCTCTCTGTTTCTATGCCTGTCAACTCTCAGTCAGATTGCTCCAAATTAAATTACTTTCTGTCGGAAATTAGTCAGTGGTCCTCTTCAAACGGTTTTAAGCTAAATCCGTCTAAATGTCAGGTAGTCAATTTCACTTCCAGACGAAAACGTGAACTACAGCAACCAGCTAGCTCACATGGTCCCACTATCATTGACGGCATAGAGGTTGAAACTACATCTAATGTCAAGTACCTTGGACTGAATATTTTCTCCCATCTTTCCTGGGCCTCTCACATCTTACCAGTTACTGGAAAGATGTTTCGCTTAACGTTTCGCGTTAGGAAATTAGGACAGTCTGGTGTAAAGCAGTCTTTGCTTTCTCAATTTGTCAATTCTTATGTTCTACCCATCCCTCTTTACTGCTCCCCATTAATCTTTCCTGGACTACTTAAGAAAGACTTTGCTTTGCTGCATAGGGCACTAAAAGCTGTTAGTAGGGCAAGTGGGATTTCGTTGAACCAACTGGTTAACACCATTGTGGATAGACATATAATGTCATGTAAGAAACTAGCGAATACCATATTGTCAGACCCCGAGCATCCTCTCTATACGCAGCTCTCTCTTTGCATTTCATCTGGTAGAACTAGAAGCAGCTATAGGAGACTATATGCCAGGACTACCAAGTATAAAAACTCCACAATACCTTATCTGGCAAAGCTGTTATGTGATGAGAAATCCGTTAGGTATGACACAATCAACTTACTGCGGCACTCTAACAAATAGTTCCCATTAGCTTTTTTTCTCCTTTCTTTGTTACTACTATATTGTTGCTCACATATTCTATTACACACTAATTTTATATTTCATATTCCTGGGGTGCATTGTTTAAAATGTGAATGCAACGCTGTTCTTTTTTTATTTCTTTTCATTTATCTATTTCTTCTTGTTGTTGGTTTCTGTTTTAAAAACCGTATAAAATTTATGAGGTAATTAGATGCAATATTGTAATGCACACTGAGAATTCCGTAACTGTACCACAAATACTGTATGGAATAAAGCTATTATTATTACCATTGTTAAAGGTTTTTAGTAACTTTAAGCCAATGAATATTGAGTACCAGTGGAATTCTGCTGCTTAATTCGAAGTGATAAATGCAAGAAGACTAATTCCAGCTGGTTCCGAATATGAAGAGTATCAAAAACTGCTCAAATCTTAGCTGACTGTGCGACAGTGGCACAGCAGTAGAATGATCGCCAACCATGCCTCATGTTGTTCGATCCCCGGTCGACAGACTCCTTTACCTCGCTTAGCCACTAATAAGACTGGTAATGAAGGAAAGTTGGGCATGAGGCTAGCAACCCCACCCCGTAAAAACAAACAACACTGCTACCGAAACTTCAAGCCTCTAGCTTGAAGCCCTATGTCCAACTGGGAACATAAAGGAAAAAAATCATAACAATTGCTGACTAAGATATACAGGTAAATGGTTAGAGGAAATACATGATACTGGCAACTGTCAAATAATAATAATAACAGTAATAGCGATAGTGATGATAATAAATGTATTAATTAAACTTACTAACCAAGCACTCCAATCTCTTCATAATGATCACAGGGATTTATGTTCTTGATTGTACTGATTTTTAACGGATATTCAATGCGCTCATTTTCATCTTCTAAAATAAAGTTTACAAAACCAAGTGATCATAAGTACCTTATAACTGGTTCTGAAATTCCTGTGACAGTATAACTGACTGAGGTCATTGTTTATCAATCACGAACAGACATCATTTAGGAAACTATCAAAAGCCAAGGAGCTCTGAACAGCTATTCAGGCGTGGTTTGGGACTTCTAATGTTTGTGCACTCATGACTCCAACAGCTGTCAGACTCATACTACTAGGCTGAGTCCAGTGACCGCTTAGCCAAAGAGTTCGAAGCTAAGGACTAGGTATTTTTAGTCTCAGCGAATTCACCACATATTGCTATTCCAGTCATGTCTCGTCAGTAAGTATTTGTCCTTAAACCATACTCCGTGGGGTTGTTTACCTCAACTTTTTTCGGTTCCTTTACATGTCCAATAGAACATAGGGCTTCTTGCTAGAGACTTGGTAGCAGTGGTGTTTATTTTTACAGGATGGGGTTGCTAGCCTCATGCCCAACCTTTCCTCTTTACCAGTCTGATTACTGGCTTAGTGAGGTAAAGGAGTGCGTCGGTAGCCGGGGATAGAACCCCAGACCACTTGCGTAGCCAGTGAGTATTTTACCGCCGTGCCACCGTCGCACGAAGTTATTTACAATACTCAAAAATCCACCAGTAGGTGATTTCTGGGATGTATAACTGAGACGTTTAGTGGTTATATGTATTTAGGGCTTAGTCTTTGAGTTAGCATGATGACAAAGGATGATTATATTTCCAGTTGGTGCAATTACATTTCAGCTACTGTGATTATTCGTTGCCATGGTGTATGTGTTACAGCAACCTACCTGCTATGTCAGAATAGGATATATCATGAATCAGGGTTCCCTGAGTGATCTGTGAACCAGACATTTGGCCCTAACATAGACTAAAGGTCATATAATTGGATTCTTGTTGGTTCATGCTATCCAGTCATTGTAAAAATTTGTTATCTTAAATTAGTAATTTATTGGTTATGTGAAACAACCTCGGTGGGTGCGTATTGATGAAGAGTCCCAAACTAGGACGAAACAGCTGTCCAGTACTCCCAGGTTTTCTACTGGTTCTCTAACCGGTGTCAGCTCATGATGAAAACCTGTTAACAAATAAGTATATACATTTAGCCTAATGTAGATGGCTCAGCAGCTGCAATCAAACTGGTAGATACAAATAGAGGAGGCAAAATTAGGTAGTTTGTCCTTATTTCTCGAAGGTAATATAGGTATGGTGGTGAAGAGACAACATTGGGAGTACAATTAGGCAGGTTCATCATCGTATTTCCGAACGTCATCCGGTATGGTTAAGCAAGTGACAAACAATGTCCCGTCACAACTCTGTTTCAGTGCACCTTGTAGATAGTGAGCATAAAGTTGATGTTAATACGGCACTTAAAATTATTTATCGCATTCCTACTAATCCTAATTTTTCTCTTAACGAGTTCGTCTTCTAGATACAGCTGAAGCCATAGGAATCCCCCTGAAGAAATCAAACCTGTGTGTTCAGAAGATATCTGTACAGCCACTTACCTTACCTTGGCCAACGTCACATGAATGTATAAATCGGACTACTTCACCCCTAAACCTTTAAAAATCATAATTGTCCAAATTATTTTATTATTTTTCAAACTACTTCATCTTTAATTAAATATATTATCACTGTTGTGACCATTTCTACCCTTTAATTGTTTGAATTTTCTATCTTGGTTATTATCAAGCCCAGTGACATGCTTGTATTAATAAATTATTGTTAACAAGCATATCGCCACTTCATTGGTAAATTGTTGTATATTATAATAAAAATGCTATATATATATATATATATTAGAGTATAGCGAGAGATGAGGATCTAATTGAAAAGTAAATATTTCTTCGCTCAATCCTTTTGCTTTCTAAATAGTGTTTTACTTATTTAGCATAGGAAATTTAAATCGGCGACAACTGTTAGCGGATACACTCCATCCAAAGATGCCACTAAGAATCATAAACTATTGAACAAAGTGTGGCTAATATATATCAGGCACTTGTGAAGTGACATATCGAATTCGAAGTAAAGAGCACTGAATTAGAAAATCACTCCAAATAAAAGTCAAAATGAGCATCATGTTTTTAGGATTAGCCACTGACAAGCATAATTAAGATGCTTATATGCAGAGCAATTGATTAAGAAGAACATTTGATACGTATTAATCTAGTTAGTAAGACAAGGCTGCTTACTATCGCCAATGATTTTCCTAATTGCAGTAGATTGGATAATACTACAAACAGCGAGCAACGAAGAAACAGGCATAAAATGGACACACACAGAAAACTTGGAGGATCTGGACTTCGCCGATGATATATGTCTGATTTCCCACAAACTGGAAGATTTGCAAGCGAAAAGAAACAAGTTGGCAGAAGAAGCATTCCTTCAGGTGAACATAGAGAAGACAGAGGTGATGAAAACTCCTGGTCAACACCACCACCAACAGCAACAACAACAACAGACAACAATCAGCATAAATGGAAGGAACCTGAAAGAAACAACCTCTTTTATCTACCGGGGAAGCATCGTCTCAACTACAGGCCAGCGGAAGTGGCGAGGATATCAAAGCAAGAATTGGAAAAGCAAGACAAGCTTTCACTACCCTCAAGTCTGTGTGCAGGTCAACAGGACTCAACATCAAAAATAAGATCAGGATTTTCAACTCCAATGTGAAGTCAGTTAGTGCTACTATACGGATCAGAGATTTGGCCAGCGCGTCATAAAGAGCATCTCAAACAAACTACAGACCTTCATTAACAGTTGTCTTCGCTCAATACTCAAGATCAGATGGCCGGCCAGAAAAGGTCAGCAACAGTGAGGGATCTCTGGGAGCGAACCAACACAGCAGGAACCGATTGTTAAACAAATAGGCAGGAAGAAATGGAGATGGATTGGCCATACTCTGAGGAAACCATCAAGTGACATCACTAGACAAGCCATTGCTCGAGTGGAACCCGAACGGGAAACGGCGAGTTGGTCGTCAGTGCAAGGGTGACTTGGAGGAGGTCATGTGAAGAGGAGATGGAAACGTGTGGGCAGACATGGAGCCAGGTGAAGACTCTAGCAGAGAACCGAACGCAATGGAGACGCAGGGCTGAAGCTCTATGTTCCTCTAGGAATTAAAGGAAACAATAATACAATAATAATAATCTAGTTAGTTAAATTATTTCATTTTGAGCGACTAGAAATATTTCACTAACCTTTACATGTAAATGAAACTTCCTCGCTTAAACACTTAACATAAGGTTTATTCGATGCTTCTACAGAACTGCAGATGTCCAATTTTACAGCTGTTTTGGCCTCTGTACATAACTTTGAATTTATTTGGTTCGACGTTGCATTATGAAGTGATACATTTTGCGAAACAACTGACTGACGACTTGATGAGTGTTTTGATACTAATGTTATCGTTGTGGAATCATTACTTTCTGCGATTGATCCTCTTTGATTTTTATAGGCTTCTTTCTTAACAATTTTACACTGACTTTGTTTTACTTCTTCACGAGAGTAAGCAGAGTACTTTTTAAGAGATGGTATAAATGAATTTGAATCATCAGTGTTATTCATGTTGCTTTTACTTGAAACATGCTGACAAACAGATTCATAACTTCTTTTAATTTGACCATTCTGTCTGTCAGTGTGTTGATGATTTGAGGTGACTGAAAGGGAATCAGTCTCTGTAACTGTCCGCATAACTGAGTGTATTTCACAGTGCTCATGTTGGTTATCTCGCTGGATATTATTGGCAGTAGGCAACAATACTGAGGAATTATGATCGGCTGGTGTGATTTTAGTAGCCGACATAAGACACTGCAGTGGTGGTGGAGGTGATGAAGACGATGATGAAGATGTTTTAGAACGAACACTTGTTGTATTGCGTGAGTTATTGAGAATGTCTTTTGTAATAATATTACCTACACCAATGGTACTATAAAACATACTGTCGACTGACTCATTAGTTTTAGTTAAGTTATTGTTGTCGTCATTTTTCACGTCTTCTAATTGTTTCTTGAATCTTGGTATACGATTGATAACTTGCTTACTTGGAGATATGCAAGTTGTTCTAGAAGGAGTTTGAAATTTTTGTATCAATTCACGTATTTTACTTTGATGACTGTGATTAAGTTCATGAATATCAGGATAAACAATCGCCTTATCAAGTTCAGCATCTTTATGATTAGAAGTTTTTGCAATTTCACTGCTTATTTTAGGACTGATACTGGTATCAGCAGCAGAGGCTGTTGAATTCAAGGAAGTAATACTGTCATTTTTATAAATTTTGTCATTTTTTCCAATTGATAGGGTATTGTTTTCTCGGTCAGTGAGTTTACGCTGCTCCCTTGAGTATTTTCTAATCGCACCAGATCGTTTTAACTTCTCTTTGCCATGTTCTCTTTGATGACAAGCTTCCCTTTCCACTGTTTCACTTACTAATTCAGCTGCATCGTATACAAACGCCTTACTTACTGGTTCTGTAGGTGATACACTTTTTATATTAGATAAGGATACTGATGTAATGTTATTTTTATTATATCTAGATGCAGTGAACAATCTTTTATCAACTAATATGGCGCTGATATTTGGACGTTTTCTTACTGGTTCAGGTGGGCGTTGTTCTGTGCTTATGGTAGAATTCGCCTCTGGATTTTTTCGAAAGTTTTCTAAAGAGCTGTAGTATCCGTTGCCACAAGAATATGCATTATTATTATTATGAGGAGAGTCATTCTGTTTAGCACAGATTTTTTTGTCAACTGATGAACCGTGGTATATTGGAGAAGACGAGGTATCCACAGGCTTTTCGTTTGTAGTCAAGGCATATGGGCTGATTTTAGAACAGTCTAAAACTCGTTGATTCTCTGATTCCTCACAGTCTGAAAGATTCAGACTTTTTGATACATGATTAATGGATTCATTACTTTTTTCATCTCCATTTAAAGTAAACGAAAGACGTGGAATTGAAACAACTTCTGGCTTATTGTCCAAACTATAATCTTCTTTCCGTTCACAGTTCCCTCTTTCTTCATTTGAAAGTTCCACTGCTGAATCTGTAATCTTCTTTTGTTCAGAAGTTTTGATAACTTCTTTATCAGTGAATCTGTCTAAAAATGAATAATAAGACGTTTTATTCAAGTGAAATAATTTACATCATACAAAGTACAGAGTACTAAATTAGAGTTGGTCACATTGTAACTAAATATTCATAGATAGATTCAATTTTAGATTCTCCCGTCGATTGACTGGACCAAAGAGCTCGGTCCCAGGTTGACATGTCGGCTTCTTGTACAGATGCTTCGACGATGTCTGGGCATGTGATTAGAAGTTATCTGGTGGATAGGGACTAGCAGTGGAATCCAGGACAACGCGCATTTCGTCCTATTTGAGATCCGTCGACTGGATGTACCTGCATTCCGCAGTGAGTGATGATATTCCCAGTGCCCCGACATCGTCGAAGCATCTGCACAAGAAGCCAACATGTCAACATGAGATCGAGCACTTCAGTCCAAGCAATCGACGGGAAAATCTAAAAAAAATGGAATTAAATAATTAATATGACCCTTTGCATGAGAGGTGGCTTTAGTGGCCCAAGTGTTCTAGTAGAAAACGCTTTGGTGTTTTAAACTATGGTCACTGGGTTCGAGCCTCGGTGGGAACATCGCCACTCAGTGGGGAATTCAGTTAAATCCAACTGACGAGTCCCAAAATACGCGTTGTCCTGGATTCCACTACTAGTCACCATCCACCAGATAACTTCTGAATTTATATTCTTCCTCACTGTAAAGAAATTCATCGTAAGTTACCTATCAAGTTCTGTGTATGTAGTGTAAAATTCTGCAGAAAAGACTGTCAACATTAATCAAATCTTACACCTTACCTATTTCAAATGATCCAAAATACAGGCATTCAATAGCTAAACCATCTTTTGATATCTATCAGTTTTGACTCCGAATAAAAGGCCTTTCTAACTGGTTAATGTGAGGAGTAAACGACATTTCTAAGACATACACTGACATGATAATCAGCTGGCGTTATTAGCAACAAAGTCAGATACGTCTGTGCTGGTGGTTGGTTCTAACGGACAACTCAAAACTCAAAAGGGTATCTGGATCTCAGTTTCTAGACTGCTTTCTCCCAACTTCAACCAGTAGTGCTGAACATAAAGCAAATTCTCAAGTATTGGTTTTGTAGGGATTTTGTTTGATTGCATGCAGGATTTCATCATGAGCTGACATCAGTTAGGGAACCATTGAAAACCAACTGGGAGTACTGGACAGCTGTTTCGTCCTAGTTTGGGACTCTTCATCAGTACGTACCCACCGGGATTCGAACCCAGGACCTTCCGGTTACAAGGCTAGCGAGCTCGTAAACCACTGAGCCACTGGGACCCTATCCAATGGTCCTTGAATTCTAACTTCTGCCAATTCACGACATGGCGCGACCATTTCACAATGATTTCTTCAAACATAATCCCTACGAAAGCAATACTTGAAAATTAATCTGGTGCTCACTAGTGACTGCCCTATTTAGGCAGTTAACCTGGGGTTCTTGTGAGAAGTCGTGACCAGTAGGGTGCAGCAGGTCGGGGGTGAGGACAAATACTCGTCGAAGACAGCTGTCCAGTACTCCCAGTTGGTTTTCCAATGGTTCTCTAACTGATGTCAGCTCATGATGAAATCCTCCATGAAGAGAATTACTTGTTAAACAGAACTATCTCACAGTGTGTAAATTACTATATCTCGATGATTTTGTGTGTAACTAATAACTATGTTTAACAAGTACAGAAAGATGACTTTACTCGAGGTTTGTCAAATGAGAAATGGGTCTATAAACAACAATTTTACCCTGAATGTTTCAGAATAACTGTAGTAAGTACCAATGCAAGTTGTCTAGTTTGAGATTTTCCGATTGTATTTAATGTCCCAGTGGATTAGTTAGTCTCTCAGGTATCTTGAAAACTTTAGCATAGTAACGTGAGTACGCATGAGTAAGCATACTATATTTTAATGTAATTAGAGACGTTGAATACAAGCGTGTTCAAAAAGCAAACATTTTTTTTATCAAATCGTTCATTATTCAACATGTTTGATGTAAGAAAAATATTGTTTGTTATTTATTGTGTTGACTCGACGATGTTTTAATGATATAAAGTATGTTAAACAATTTGAAAATTAGAATAACTCATACGTAACCTGAAAACGAACTACATAATCACCGTCTTACTTTTTTGCACAGAGTTCTCGAATTATTCATTAAATTTGAATGTTTAGTTTTACGTAACAGCATTTAGCCAACTTATGAATTTATTGCATGGAGGATTTCACCATGAGCTGACATCAGTTAAGGAACCACTGGAAAACCAACTGTGAGTACTGGACAGCTGCTTCGTCTTAGTTTGGGACTCTTCATCAGTATGCACCCACCGGGGTTCGAACCTAGGACCTTCTGGTTACAAGGCGAGGTCGTAGACCGTTGAGCAACTGGGACCCGATCCAATGGTCCTTGAATTCTAACTTCTGTCGATTCATGGCATAGCGTGACCATTTCGCAATGTCTTCTTTGACGAGTTACTGCCTCATCTGGGTGCACACTGATGAAGAACCCCAAACTAGGATGAAACAGCTGTCAAGTACTCTCAGGTGGTTTTCCAGTGGTTATCTAACTGATGTCAGCTCATGATGAAATCCTCCCTGCAATCAAAACAAAATCCCTACAAAACCAATACCTGGAAATTATGAATTTATTCTGGAAGAAAAGAAACGAAAACGAAATGACTGGTAGTTGCGCTAATATATCGTCAGCTGGTACAAGTTAGAATTCATGGGCGCGCTATTTGATTCCGTCTCAGACGCTGTCTGGTCAAAATACTGGCTTTTCAAACTGAAGGTCCTCGGTTTGGTCTCTAGTGGGTTCGTGACAGATGAAGAGACTCCAACTCAGATGAAACAGCTACCAACTACTCTCTAATTTTCAGCCGTTCTCTAACTAATGTCGATTCGTAATCCAATTTGAGATCAGTCAAATTCCTGAAAACTAACATTTGAAAATCTATGCACCATGGGGAAACTGTAACCGAGGAAGACAGGCTGAATGCTGGCTGATAAGAAAGCAATGATAATGTAAAGAGAGAATTATATCTTAGACCTCATGTAGAAAATCAATGAGGTCATTCATTTTATCCCCCTGGTATACCAGCTTTTCATCAACTGAATTTTTGCTTTAAATTTGTTGAATACTAGGGTAAGCACATTGCTTATTTTAAACTTACTATGCAAACAGTTCCTTTCTTTTTACAATCTATGCATTATGTAGTACAGATTACAAATAACACGTTCACGTTTTATTAGTAATACAGTGAAATTAATTTAAATAGTGCGTGGCATATTCCTCTACTGCTAAAGTCAGTGTAAAATCCACCTTTATTGAAGCTCCGGTTCCTTCGAATAAATTAAAGCTTATAGGTTCTAGGTATTTCAGTGATATTAATGTTGGCTTTCATTAACAGACATTTATTAAGCGGATTTTTGGAAGAGCTGGAAAGACTCTTCGACTGAACTACAGAACCATGATACATCCAGGTAGTTTGTGTGGTAACTTCGATTTTTACATGTTGTTAAACAACAAAGTGAGTAATCAACATTATTGTGAGCTGTTCATTAAGATCATAAATCCTTCATCGTCGTTACTTTTTCATTTTAACAGTTGTTTGTAGGCATTTAAACTCCGCAAACCCACCTTCGCCTTCTTGAGAATTGTCTGACATGTTTAGGTAAAGCAATCGTAAAGTCAATCGTACGTCCTATGCTAGCATACCTTGTAGATATAGAGCACAATTCTATACAAGGTGCCAACTCAATCCCCTAACTTTGTACGTCTTTGATTATTAAGGATAGCTGAGGTAGCTGTCACCAAAACTTTCCACTTCAATCTATGTGTTCAGAAAAAGTCTGTTCAATCCCTCTCCCTCCGCTGGCCTTCAACTCCGACCCAGAAAGGTTACCCCGTAACAGTCGATAGCTGTAAATATGGCTTTTATTTGTACTGTTAATATTTGTACTACTGCATCAAAATCATACTATGTTGTAGTTGCATTTTTAATCTAAGTTCCGCGATTTATAATTATTGTCCTACTTACGTTTCCAAATGTCTATGACTGATAAATTTTATTATCTAATAGTATGGCCTGATGAGAATTTACCGAAAATACACAATTGGTAGCTTAAATCGTGTTCCACAATTATCTTATTCTTATTATTATATAATTGTTTCCTTTAAATCCTAGAGGAACATAGAGCTTCAACCGTGCGTCTCCATTGCATTCGGTTCTCCGCTAGAGTCTTCACCTGGCTCCAATTCTGCCCACACGCTTTCATCTCCTCTTCACATGACCTTCTCCAAGTCACCCTCACACTGACAACCAACTCGCCGCTTCCATTTCGGTTTCCACTCGAGCAATGGCTTGTCTAGTGATGTCACTTGATGGTTTCCTCAGAGTATGGCCAATCAATCCACCTCCATTTATTCCTGCCTGTTTGTTGCACAATCGGTTCCTGCTCGGTTAGTTCGCTCCCAGAGATCCTTGTTGATGATCTTTTCTGGCCGGCCATCTGATCTTAAGTATTGAGCGAAGACAACTGTTAATGAAGGTCTGTAGTTTGTTTGATGTGCTCTTCATGACGCGCTGGCCAAGTCTCTGATCCGTATAGTGAGCATCACTGACTTCACATTGAAGTTGAAAATTCGGATCTTATTTTTGTTACTGAGTGCTGTTGACCTCCACACACACTTGAGAGTAGTGAAAGCTTGTCTTGCTTTCCCGATTCTCGCTTTGATATCCTCGTCAGTTCCGCCTGTAGTTGAAACGATGCTTCCCAGGTAGGTAAAAGAGGTTTATTTCAGGTTCCTCCTATTTTTGCTGATTGTTGTCTGTTGTCGTTGTTTTTGCTGTTGATGGTGTTGCCCAGGAATCTTCATCACCTCTGTTTTCTCTATGTTCACCTGAAGGAAGTCCTATCTTTGATGCTTCTTCTGCCAACTTGTTACTTTTCACTTGCATATCTTCCAGTTTGTGGGAAATCAGACATATATCATCGGCGAAGTCCAGATCCTCCAAGTTTTTTGTGTGAGTCCATTTTATGCCTGTTTCCTCATTGCCCGCTGTCTGTCGCATTATCCAATCTACTGCAATCAGGAAAATCATTGGCGATAGTAGGCAGCCTTGTCCTACTCCTGTCCTCACTTCCAAGGATTCCGTGTGCTTCCCGTTGTGGATTACTTGGCATGCAGCATTGTCGTACAGCTGTTGGATGAGATGTAAAATTGTCGGTATCCCGTATGATTTGAAATTAATTCTTTACACATCCATCTTAGAAGAATGACCTGGCCTTAGGTGTTAAATGAATCACTAAATTATGCTTAAATATCATTAATACAGATTTGAGAAAATGTGTACATTTGAATCTTGGTCTCCAGTTTTCAAAATATGCTTCATCCAGTTGTGTCATTCTTATCGTCACTAGTAAAACAGGGAGAAGTGTTATTTTATTCATCTGTTTCCAGTCAAAGTGTCCCATATAGTTCCCACAGGAAGTTATTCACAAGCATGAATAGTTCAGTGATCACGTATTTGACTGCAACCCTGGGTGACACGGGTTTTTGAATCTCAGAAGGGACATGAGTTCCTTCAGCATTGCAGGTACAGCTTCCTGGAGATTGCCAACAAGCATGAAACCTAGATGGTCTAAGGATTCCTCCTCCTGATTGTCTGCAATCATCTAGTAACAACAGTTCACAGTGCTCCGTGATGACGAGTTATCTAGTATGGTTACCACATTGAAAACTTGACTGACAGAATTCTGCACCAAATTGAAGGACTAGATGCGTGCTGTTAGTTACTAATTAGTGTCCAATCATCCGTGTAGATCAAAATGAACTGCTGGATGAGCGCAGGTGAAGTGGCTTAAAATAAATTCGTTACATACTTCAAGATATCATTGATTCTAACTAATTAGCCTGCATTTCATGCCACTTTTGTAATTTTTTTCAGGTCATTTGACCAAAATTACTGACTGTTTATTTAACAATTCACAAATGACCAATATAAAAAAGGGTTTACGAAATAACCATATCTGTTGAGTGTGCATCTTCTTTAGGAGGTTAACGATGTACGGAAAGAAATGCAGACTTTATCAAAAAAGGGTTCAGGGGTGCAGTGTTGAACAATAAGTGTCCATAAACGACATTGGAACGGCAACAATCATTGCAGTTACCATGGGTATGCTAGCGATAAAATTCTTAGTGAAACAAGATTACATATTCATCGATATTAAAAAGTAAAAAAAAGGCAAAAAGTAAAGCCAGGGCAGTAGAATTCTATCATGAATTCTACTTTCAGCATATACACATTCAACTTACAGTCATAGTCTTCATTTTCAAAAACTGATGCTTGTAGGCCTTTTGATGCTTCAACATATTGCATTACAATTTCTTGTACAACACTACTGATCGAGTCTTTTTGATTCTCTTTATTCGGTTCATTTAAATAGCGTACTTCAATAAGTTTTGTATTACTCAGCGGATTTAAATCAATATCACTCCATGATCTTTGTGATGATTGATAACCTGAATACTGATTAATATCTGATATAGAAGAAGAACCTGTGCCTGATCGATGACCAATGTTTATTAAGTTAGAGGAGAAGATAATATCATTGAGTGACTTCAGGTTTGAGGTAGTTGAGCTCTAAATGAATGGAGAAGTAAAGACCATTATTTATATATATTCCATAGAAAGATAAAAGAGCTTTTTCATCATTGGATAGATTCAAAACTTGTGATGTTAGAAGGCATTCAAACATCAAGTGATCAGTTGATTGGTATCAAATGAAAATTCACGTGTGAAGGAGAACATCAAAATAAAAAAAAACTGAAAGATGAAGTGCCTAAGTGAGGCACCTCTAATTGTATCTATCAATTCAATTACTCCTATAGAGCTAATTATACTGCCTGCTTATCTAAGGACCTAATTTTTCTTGCTCGGAAACACCTAATAGTGGAGCTAAGTAAACGTGTTTTTAAAACCATCAACATTTCTATATTAGATCACCTTATCTAAACAGGTCAAAGAGATAGCTAGCATTGATCAGTCTTTTTCTATCATCTAATGAGGACTGAATAATAAATTACCGAAGATTTCTGGATGTCGAATAATCCAGACTGCACAGGCCATTGAAATTTGCTGAAATTAACCTGAACTCTGCTCGCAAAAGAAACGGATTCAACCACTGTTGTTACTCTGGCCTGTTGTGTTGCTTCCCGTAATTTATATCATATTCAATTTAGCGTTATATTAATGTACACTAACTCTTACTACTACTTTTGAAATGTAATCTGTCGATACATGGCCCATTCGATCGAGTCACAGTGGCTTAATAGTCTACGAGCTCGTCTTTTAACCATAAGTTCCTGAGTGCGAACCCCACGGTGTGGGTGCGTACTGACGAGGAGTCTTGAACTAGAACGAAATGGCTGTCCAGTACCTCCAGGTTTTCCAGTGGTTCTCTAACTGATGTCAGCTAATGATGAAATCAGCTAACCAATCAAACAAATCCCTACAAAGCCAATACTTGAGAATTAATGTTGTTAATAACAATATTTCTTTACAATTATTACGGTCATATTGTGGTGAGAGCTGGCTACTAGCCAAATTGGTAGAAAGTAATTTACGTCAACGTTTGCGTCCCATATCTTGATCATGAGAAAAAAACAAGGACAAAGAGTAACTCCACAAGCGATCACAGCAGACTTAGCGTGGGCGGTTTACGATTTGCAGATATATGGTCTGATCTTCAAAGAAACAGCCACAAAGAGATGACAGATTAACGTTCAGCGAGAAAACAACCAATCAGAAGACGCTTTTTCTCTCTTAATAATTACGAATAATAATGTACATAAAAAATGTATAAAAATCGCTTGATTTTCTCAATAGGTGATCTTTTGCCTGACCCTTGTCTTCTGTCATTACAATATAAGTATAGAAACTGATGACAAATTTAACGAGACAATGTTCATTGTTCATCCATCAGTCTTTTGAAGTTAAAAACTGTATCTCAAGCTTACTGCTATATATTGATATTGTCATTAGTGGTGGTACGATGATAACGTCATCAGTTGAATCCATTCCTCCAAGAGGTTCTGCTATACTTCAGATACTCTGTACTACTGAATATTTTTCGCATCATTTAGACGACCAAAGTCCACGTTTAATGTGCTTCTAGTTTTAAGAATCTAAACGTGAAGATAAATCTAGGCTTAAATACTCTACTGTCAATCAGTAGAGGTTGGGTTTGAATGTCACTTCACATACTTTAGCCTGAGAATCTGATTAGTACCATTAGCCCTCAAACAATTAATACTGTTCATAGCCTATCCTGAGAAGATTTGAATTTTATCACTAAGTAATTTGTCTTACATTTTCAGAAAGAATAAAAATGAAAATATCTTAGTGTTTAAGCTCATTAGACAAAATTCCTTTGCCTGAAGGCAAGATTTGTAGTGGAAATATTTCGATTTGTTAAAACCACATTTCAAAATTGACCTTTGAGGTGGGGCAGACAACCATTAAAAACATCCTTATGGCTTACATTAGTGACAACTTTGATTTCTGTCTGTTTTTAAAAAAAACATTTTGTTGTGATTGATTAATATACATTATACATACATTCTGAAAGCAAGTCTTCCAGTGTGATACCACAATTAACAACATATTTCTGTGTTGGTCTTATATTTAGCATCCACTTCTGACGACGCAGTGTCTTTACAACTCTCCAGTGATGGTGTGTATTTCTTTAGCTGATATGTGCATGTTCGTTTGAGTATAGCCTGAATTTCTAACTAAATTATCACAACAATCAAAAATGGATATTCACGGAACTTCATCAAAAGACATCTACACCCAAACCATCCTACCAAATCAAAGGTCCTCAAGAAAAGCACCAGTAAAATAGCCATACCATCTATAAAAGACATATCAGAAATCACTGCAAGACTCTTCAAACCTTCAGGAATTGATGTCACACACAAACCAACAAAATCACTTCACTCAGCCAGCCCTGTGTCAACCACAAGACTCAACAGCGAAGGAAGATAAAACCAACATCATCTACCAAATAAGTTGTAACGACTTCGAAAAACACCACATTGGCCAAAGTTGGCGTCCCCTTCATCTTCGTATCCATGAACATAAACTAGCTGTCAAAAGGCATGATATCCACTCCCGCATATCGCTGCTCATTGACAGCTACAGGGATCAATTCGACTGGGACAACCAGCGTTCAAATATTAGACAGAGGAAACACCAAGAATGCTAGATAATTTTCAGAAGCCTGGTATTCGAGTGAATCGTCAGTCAATAGACACATTGACATAGTCGAAATTTACCAATCGATAAGAAGGAAATCTCACACAAGAAGGGTTACAGTTCAGGTCCAGGAAACAATCAGTACCAATGTAAGTAACCTAGAGGGTGTGAAGACACACAAAAACAATCAGTCGTGTTCAAGGTCACCCACCAGGAGAGATGACTAATAAACTCGTAGAGAAATCTAAAATCTCACTTCAAATCGAAGTATGCGCTGAACATGTCGCCTAGTAGGGCAATGAATGCGTTGCAAATAAACCATCCAGTTCAGAGAACACAACTACATCAGAGAAATTATCATACTGTTTATGAAAGACTGGATCAAATGCTACACTAAATAACTTTATGATAAATTTTAAATGGGGAATCCACTGAATTTTGTTTAAATCATCTATTTGTTAGCACTAATATAATCCTTGAGCGTCTGTAGACATTTTAACATTCATTTCACTCATTCACCTGTAACAATGTCACACTCAGGGTTCCTACTGAAATGCTTCAGTGAGTTACTCAAATCGGGTTTTTTCATATTATCCAATGTATACACATATACAAAAATAGGTATATATAACTGCGATTGTACAGCTAAGTGAATAAACTCGCGGAAAAGAGACTCTTCGCTGAACTATGTGTTTTAATCCTTGGTCCAAAATGAAATTTTTCGGAGTAACTTAATCATGAAAACAGTCCGTAGGACCTTAGTGACTTGAATGCAGATGTATAATTTAGAAAACGGGATGGATGTTGTATTGTGTGATAGAGTTATAGCACTTCACTTCCTCACTTATGAACACTTTAGATGATGTCTTCATTACGTGATTATCACTCAGTAAGTATTCACGTGTTACTTCACAGTTAGTGTTCTGATGGTTCAGGGAAATTTTCACTTGATGACATGCTTAAACAAAACAATAATGGAAATGAAACAGAAAATAGTCCCACAATCTAAATATTTATTCAAAGTGTTGTGAACTAACTGTCTAGTCTAGCAAGGGAGGCTGTTTCACTAATTTTTTTTCCCTTCACGTTCCCCAGTGGAACATAGGGCTTCAAGCTAGTGGCTTGAAGTTTCTGTAGCAGTGCTTATTTTACAGGATGAGGTTGCTAGCCTCATGCCCAACCTTTCCTCTTCACCGGTATTATTTCTTGCTTAGCGAGGTAAAGGAGTGCGTCGGCCGAGGATCGAACCCCGGACCATGTGCATGGTCGGCAAGCGTCACTAATTACTACTCATTAATTGTACTTTAAAGATTAGCAAGGGAAACTTTGTTTATCAAACTGAAAAGTACTTCCTAAAGTGATGTAAAAACAATAAATGTTGATATCAAGGTCAATTTTGTCCTCAAAGAGTATTAACTAAAGAGCCAAAAATGAAAAGTAAATAATGTTGAACTTTTCAGCACAGCGCATCCATGAAATTACTCTTGAAACGAGTCAAATTTCTCAAATCATAAGCAGTTAACTGCAATTAACGGCTTATTGGTTACTGGTTTTGAGACAAAGTTACTTGGAGTTGTAGTGATAAGTCGCAACTCCTATAACACACCATATTCATTATGGGAATAAACAGTTATGAGAAACATAATAAGTTGTTGGTAGTTTGTCGTGATTACATGCAAAAGTGGAGAATTGTGGATTACGAGATTCTAATCTGGTTCCAGAGGGTCGGTGGCACGGCGGTAGAATGCTGGCAACCACGCTTCATGTGGTCTGGGGTTCGATACCCGACGGACGCACTGCTGTACCTCGCTAATATGACTGGTAAAGGGAGAAGATTGGGTGTCAGCCTAGCAACCCCATCCCTTAAAAATAAGCACCACTGCTACCGAAACTTCAAGCCTTTATCTTGAAGTCTTTTGTTTCACTGGGAACGTAAAGGAATAAAAAACAAAATCTGGTTGCACAACAGTCTTGAAGTTGATTTCTCCGGAGAAATCATCAGGAAGTAGTTGATTTGTCGGTAAAACTGAAACATGGCATCTAACAGCTAACTTAACAGTACTTCGGTTCATTAATTTATTCACTAATGAAATACTTCCGCTACATATATAAAGTAGATATTAGGACCACAGACTTAATAGACTTCAACCATGTTTTTAAAACAGAAAACAGCAATTAAATTTCTGCACTACTAAATGGTTTATCATAAGTTATTGATAAGAAATGAATATAAACTTTATTGTAGATTGTATGTCTAACTAAAAGGCTAGTCATTGCGCATTTCTTCACCATACAACTTTAAAAATTCGAACGCCCACTGAAAATTCCCTCTGAACTTGAGCTATGAAGACGTAGTTGTGATTACCATGTGTTTTGTCCAGGTGTCACGTGATTAAGTAACGTAATTGGTGGCTAATTTTTGCCGCTCAACTGAAATAACAGTGGGCTAGTATTCCAAACGCTGTTGGTTTTCATATTGTCGTGACTCAGGTTTAATTTCACCTACAATCACTACTTATTACGTTGCTATTAGACTACCAGTTCAAAGTTATCTCTGATATTTTCAGAAAGAAGTAAGCGTAATCGATTTTGAAGAAAGTTCTATTAAAAACGAAACAAGAATTTGGTGGATGGTGATTAATAGTGTATTTCATCCTATTTATGACTCATTTGTTGTTTGAAACAATGTGCCCTGAGGATTACAGAGGTAACGGTAGAAGACAAGAGACTTGGTAGAGGAATGTCTACTTGAAATTCGGCATCTCTATATACTGAAATGATGTACACCTTATCTTCATTCAGTCATTTGCACATATCTTTCTTGTTGTTCTACTTTTTTTCTTTATACTGTTTCTTTTTGTCCCTTTCACGTCTCTCATATTTCTCCGCATTGCTGCATGATTTGCTTTCTTTGAGGTCAAGTCTACATCACTGCTATCTGATGTTTTTAAGCCCACGAACGTCTCTTTGAATACTATGCCACACAGATACATCGGGATGACAAGTCTCAAGTGGTACGAAATACGCATCCTGGATTCTACAGCTAGTCAGTACCCACCAAATAACACTATGTTTATCCTCAAGTATGGTCAAAGCGTCCGAACTGGAGGCCGACACATCAACGGAAACCGCATATTTCGGTCCAACATAGTTAATCAACGAGAAATACGAAAATTAACTTGAAACCAGATCAGAATTCTCAGGCGAAAGAGAGAAGTTGCATCATGCCGATATAAGCAAAAATCAGAGTTTATGAAACTTGCTAGAAAAACCTTTCTATGCGTTGACAAACACACCCTTTCCACTCTTCTTATTGGCATAACTAGTTATTTTACAACAAAATAAGCTTTCGATGACTAAAATTTAACTGAGTCTCTGAAGTTTTTCACACATTCCTTCGTAGCATAGAATATGATATCTAAACTAAGGGTTAAAGTTAAACCCTCCTGAGAAATTAAAAAGCTGTAGAAATTCTTGCGGAATAATTTTCCTTTTTTCCCTAAAACAACCCTTTGGACGTAGTCGACGGACATGAAATGTATGATTTTGTTGTCAGTTTAATATTTTCCACTCCTTTATAAGTTCAAAGAAAGAATTTATTTTAGTATATGTCCTTTTTCTGATGTGGTCCATTTATTTATGTTTGAGTGAAAATAGTCTAATACACACTGTGCACTGGACATTAACAAATATAATCAGTCTACCAAAACAGCTTCGCCTGAAAGTAGATAACCGATACAAGAAAAAGAATTAAAAATAATCACTTTGAAAATCCAGGCAAGAAAATTTTCTTCATCGACGAAATCATCTTCACCTTGTAGATAATCTTGAAAAACTACTTCAATGAGACCGAATGGTACAAAGGGCGTCAGGTCTCGACATTTGTGAATGATGAAGGCATTGGCATTTCGTCAACACAACCCCGAATCCTGTATACAGATAAAGTTTGTCCAGTCTCTTATTCTACCATGGTCTTAACCTCTTCACTAGTCTTTCCCTAGAGATTCTTTCTATTTCTAATGATTGGTTTGCTTTTATTTTAATAATTCATTCACTGTTATCACTCTTATATTTACGTTCTTTTTGTACATTTTCTCACCCTCTTCACACTAGTTAAATTGACACTCAACTACCTTTCTTCTCACTCACTAACAATCTTAACCTTATCAAATTTCTAACTCTTTCTTCCTTTATGCCATCGAGTATTACGTAATTTACAACTTTTAATTTTACCTTTGTAGTCACTTCTGAGTAGTTATATCAATTATGCCCCCCCTACTACTCAATAATAGACTACTATAAATTTTTGGTAAATATAAATACGGCTCTACAGCCTCTCAGCATGATTTCGTAGGCAAAGAAAATTTTCTTCGCTGAAGTGTCTTTTCGGTGATTTCAAGCAGAGCAAGAAACCTGTGACAGTGAAAGAACTTTGACAATCAAGGAATCTTTTTATACTTACCTTTGACATAGCTATACTGTCTGTCCGCTGTATTTGGTTTGGACCTCTGGAAACAAAACACAAAAAAGCAGTTTGAATTTTATAAAAATTTGATAGCATGAATTATTTCTTAAAACAGGAAAGCCTTCAGAGTAGTATAAACACCCACAGTCTCTGTGCAACGAAGTTGTTCGGATTTGACAGACATATTTGTTTTTTAAGGTCAGATTATTGATAAGTGTGTTGTGTAATGTATCTAACTCCCATCTATTTACTATAATAAAATCCCGTCTTTATATTCTATAATGTGCTAAACCCTGTGTACAAAAGAATACCAACAACGTCGTAATAAAAAATAACAAGTGAGAACTTGAGAAAGTGTATTATTAGCGAAATCAAACTTTTAAAGAAAACGAACAAAAACCCATAGTACGCGATCGCGCACAGTATGTATGAAAAAAATCGAAAAACGCGTTTGGTTATAATTTACAGAGGGGCACAACAGATGTACTAGTGAAAACTAGTCAGCTGTATAATATGAAACTTAGTGAAGATGATAGATTATATAAACGTTTTAATTTATGGTTTTATGAACTGAATTTCATAATTTTATGTAGTCGTATAAAACAAATTTATGGATTTGTAAATTGTATTCACTAACTACAGAGTCGCGGAAAATGATTATTGTTCCCTTGAGTTCCTAGTGAAGTACAGGGCTTCAACCACACGTCTCCACTTGTTTCTGTCTTCTGCTAAACTTTTCACTGTTTCAACTCCTCTTCACATGATCTCCTCCATGTCACCCTTGAACATCGCACTCGCCACTTCCCTTTTGGGTTCCACTCGAGCTATGGCCTGACGCGCGATGTCACCCAGCGCCCTCCTCAGCGAGTGTCCAATCCATCTCCACTTCCTCCTGCAAATTTGTTGGGCGATTAGTTCTTGTTTTGTTTGTTCCCATAGTTCCTTGTTGGTGATTCTTTCCGGCCATCTGATCTTCAGTATAGAGCGAAGACGGTTGTTGATAACGGTCTGCAACAGGCTGTTGGAAATATTCTTTGTGACACACTGGCCAAGTTTCTGATCCGTATAGAATAACTGACTTGATGTTTGTATTGCAAATCCGAATTTTGTTGTTGATGTTGAGTGACGAAGATTTTCCAGATTGGTTTCAGATTGATGAATGTGTTTCTCGCCTTCCCGATTCTCGATTTGACATCCTCGTCCGTTCCTCCTGTAGTTGAGACAATGCTCTCTAGAAAAGTGAATGAAGTAACCTCTTTCAAATCTCTCCCGTTGATGGTGATTGGCGCTGGATGTTGCTGCTGTTGTTGTTGTTGGTTATTTTCATAACCTCCGTCTTGTTTATGTTCACCTGGAGTCCTGTCTATGCTGCTTATTTGACCAGTTTGTCGGTTTTCCGCGGAAAATGAGGCGAGGACGAAATACATCCACTTCTTGTGTTTGACACCTTTCTTTAATACTGATACAAGTCTCTTTACAAGATAGAAGTGCAATATTTTGATCTTTAAAAGAGATGGGGCATAGCGATTCACTCTCTTCAAATTAGGTACCGATTTGGAATAATATTCTTATATCAGTCAACGTTAGTAGTGGCCCTCCTGTTCCACTGTTGACTTCGTCAAACACAGAGGATATGTTCTTCTTTTAACAATCAGGAAAATGCACCTTGAAGTTATAACTAAGACAGCAGCCAATTTAAGAAAACAGACATTAATAATAAATAACTGATATATTTAGGACTAAACTTGATGCCTATTAATTCAGACTGTTAGTACATGAAAATAACCTCACTTCACTTAAACAGAACCCACTCATAGCTCGATTGCAGAGTTTCATGTTCTGGCTTGACTCAAAGACAGAATATTATAAAAAATCAACGTAGGAGATGATTACCTTTATAAACAACTAAAAACTTCTTAAAATCGGCACTCTTGTTTAATTGCTGACATCACAAGATTTCACAGTTGAGGTATTGATTAAAATTAAAACTCTGATTAATGAAATGGCTTCATGAATCATAACAAACATGTGAACTGAAATTGAAACATTGTGAATTATATAATAACAATTTGCCTTATTGCAAAACAGTAACCTCGCCTAGTTTACTCAATCCCTTGATGATAAAATTGCCTCTCTAAGCATCATCATCACAGAACAAAGCATAGAATAGCAGTCAAATCTATCTCTACCTTAACTTCATCGACTTCGAAAAGGCCTTCAGTAGACAGAGTTAACCAGGAAGTTATTTGGAAATTATTTCAACACTAAAACATGAAATGCCCAAGTCTTTATCAACCTTATTCAACAGCTAGCTATATGGCAGTACCACGTGTCAGGTGGTCCACAATGGAAAACTACGAGGGCATTCGAAGTAACTACAGGAGTGAGACAGGGCTGCTTATTATCACCGATAATATTATGAACTGTGGTGGACTGGATTATGCGTCAGACTGTGGGGAGCGAGGAGTCAGGAATACACTGGATCACCGATGAGAAGACTCTAGAATGTCTGGACTCCGCGGATGATTTATGTTTAATGTCACACAAACTTGAAAACTTGCAGGCGAAAACCACAAAAATGGCTGCAGAAGCTGGAGGCAAAGACAGGACTACAGGTGAACACAGAGAAGACGGAGGTGATAAAGGTAACTGACCACCACCAACAGCAACAGCAACTAGCACCAATCACCACTAACGAAAGAGATTTTATTGGGTTGACTGCCTTCACTTATCCGACCAGGAAGTATGGTTTCAACCACATGCGGAACGCATAAAGATATCGAAGCCAGTCAGAATAAGAAAGGCAAGGTACGCCTTCATCAGCCTGAAATGAGTGTGGAAATCTTCTGCACTGCACTCAGCCAGCATGAACAGTAGGATTCGGACTCTATTTAACACGAGTGTGAAGCCGGTTAGTGCTTCTATACGGGTCAAAAACTTGGCTCTCGTGATACGGAAAGGATTTCCAACAGCCTGTTGTAGACTCTTTTCAACAACTGCCCACTTCGCTGGCTCCATACTGAAGATTAAATGGCCACTTGGCCTGCCAGGAAGAATTAGTAACAAGAAACTATGCCTAGGAACAAACCAAACAAGAGCCGATTGCTCAACAAATATTGGGGTGAAAAATGGAAACGGATCAGGCGCACGTTGAGGAGGCTTTCAAATGACATCGAACACAATGCAGCCCGTTAATCGACTGGAATCCAAATGGGAAGTAGTGAGTGTGTTGTCGGTGAGAGGGTGACATGGAGGAGACCGTGTAGGGATGAGGAGATGAGAAATTATGGTCAGTCGTGGAGCCAGATGAAGAGGACAGTAAATGATAGAAGAAAGTGTAGATGTGTTGTTGAAGCCTTATGTTCCACTCAGAACTCAATGGAATAATAATAAAAATAAATTGATAAGATAATTTAAATAGTGTCAGAATACATTCCGGATATGAGACGGTGAGAGAGCCATTTATTGTGCTAGCTACATAGTAAGTTATAATTTTCACGCTTAACACTTTCTCTATCAAAAAGAATGCGGGTCAAATAGTGTATGGTGAGTGTTTGTACTTAGTTGTGCGAGCACATAATCTTTTATAATGACTTCTGGTCCTACCTAATGAGATGCAAGGGAAGAGTTGAGAATAAAGAAAGTGCTGAGAGTCATACAATATGAATTTAGCCCATTTCTTCTTACATGAAGTCAGGTGTCTGTCTACTATCATAGTAAAGAGCTGACTTAGTAGCACACAATTCGCCCTACTGAAAATCTTTATTACCCTTCCTAATATAGCATAGTCCTTTTTAATTAGCTCAAGAAACCCTAAGAAGGAGCAGTAAAGAACAATAAGTTAGATTCAAGAGTTAACAAACTGTAAAAGTAGAGGGTGAGTGATTTCAGTTTGTCTTAACTTCTTCATTTGTAAAGTTAGCAGGAACATTTTCCTAGCAATCAACAAGGTGTGAAATGACTAAGAAAGTTTCAGTACCCTCTATGCTACAAGCATCTTATGAACGAACCATTTCGTGTAGATGACGTTAGTGTCTGAAGGTGAAGTTAACTGTCTGACATTTGGAGGGATTCAATTTATTATAATACGTAATAATATACACATAATATATCCAACAAACCACCACACTGAGGGGAAGTCAAATTTATACACTCATCACGTTTAATATTCTTCTGTACATATTGGAGTACTTATTGGTAATTAATAAAATACTGTTTAATGTACAAACTAAAAGGATTTAACGTCTACTGTCACCTCCTGTAGTGAACAGAATTTCTGCGCAAATAATGACAACATTCAAATTGTATTTCTCTTAGAATTTTACAAACATCAAATTAAGGGAGAAAGAAAGTGTTTTGCGAAGCTCTATTCTGGAACACCTGATCGACTTCTGTTACTCTGTCAACCATGATCATGATTTTAGGATCATAAACAGAATCCATGCTAACTTCCCACGTTTTCTTCTTTACAGACTTCTTAAGACATCTGAGGCCTTGGCAATTCATGACTTTAAGCCAGACCTTTGTGTACAAAAGAAGTATGTACAATCCCTACTTCTGCTTTGACCGTAGAGGGATAGACATTTATTTATTTTGTTTATTTAGTTATTCTATGTACCTTTCCCTTATTACTACGATTATTAATATCATTATTACTATTCTCACTCTGAATCTTTTCCACTTGTCCCACTTGTCATTCTAAACCCAAAATTATTAATTTTTATTTTTTTATTTTTACAGTATTGAATTCTATCTTGTCAAATTTCACACCATATTATGTAATATTTAATATTCGCTTACTAATCCTATAATTATGTACCTCTTTCCAAAATCTGTACACCTTATGTATTATTCTGTATATGACATTAATTATTTTGCCACTTGACATTAAACTATGATTATATTCACAAATATTTTAATTGCATTTCATACTATTATTATTTCATGTATTCACACCTTTGACCTAATTCCCTCACCGGATATAAATTTTCATTTAAAAAAACCATATACATACGAGTGTACAGCTTGATAATAAATTCGTTGAAAAGAGTCTCTACGCTGAATATTTTGTTCTTAATGGTAAAATGGAAATTATTAAATTAAAAAAATTCACCAAACTCACTGTTTTCTTGGCTGACTGCTGTTGGTTTTAGGTAACAGTTTCCAGGGATTCCCACTTTTGGTTGAACAAAATGAATCAGTTTCATATGACCGACGTTTTCTTACATTGCATTTTCTATGATTAACAGAATTTTCATCTTGTTGTTCCTGATAGTAAGAATACTGATATTGTGATAAATCTATATTATTAAGGAAGAAATTTTAAATTAAGATTGTGAATCACAATAAAAGAGTAATACAAATTACCTGTATTCGTGATAGGCAGTAGAATACTAGACTGATGGCGTCTTTTGCCTGTATTCAACTCTTTCAACTCCTTTTTGGATGACAAACTTTCATCTCTGTTAGGTGAATTATTGTGATCCACCTTCGGATTAGAATTATTCATAGATTTGATAGGATAAGGATGTCGTGAATTGATGTAATTTTTGATTGACAATAGCTTCTGTGCACTTAAACCATTGTTAGTTATATCGCTGAATTGCTTAGTGTTTTCAAATGCTTGAATTAATTCATGAGTTTGATTCAAATCATAACTGCGTAGATAACGAAATGAGCTGTACTTCCATCCTTTAGTATCTTCTAAATATCGTCTACTGCCTATGTGTTTTTCATTTGAAAGGAGAATATTTTCACAGGCAGAAAATGAGTTGAATTTTGATGGGAAATTGTTACACTTAAATATCATATCATTTCTTTTTGGATTGATAAAGCTTTTTGAGTAGCATACTGTTCGTCGAAGGCCTAAACGTTCCAATGGTCCATGATGTGTAACAATGCTGTGAAGTTTCCTTGGCTTTTCAACAGGAATAACACTATCCTGAGATTCAACTAAGTCAATATCTTGACTTTGTGAATTTTCAATGTCATTCAACTGAATACGCTCTGGCATAGATTTCACTGATATTTTCGCTTCTTTTGGTAATTCGATAAAAATTCGTGTGTGAGTGGAACACTTGCCTTCAGGGTTCACTGCTATACAATCATAGTTTCCATCGTCGGATATGTTAGGACAATTAATTCTTAATTGAGTTGCTGTATCCTGACACAAAATCTGGAAAAATTTTAAAAAATTAAAGTAAATCGGTTTAGGTTAAAAATTAAATAAGTAAATGTATATTTTATCAGTTACTTTCAATTAATAAACATATATACAATATACAATACATATGTAAAGATAGTTACCAGGAGACGCAATTATATCACTCATGAACAAATTTAAATCATTTCACTTTGTGCTGAATATGGTGCTGAAGATGTTGTCCAGAAGGACGACGAAAGCTTCGCAACTAAACCAACCAGCTCAGAGAAAACTATTAAGTGAAAATTAACTTCACCCTACATTTATTCCCTACAAAGTAGAAAGTGTATTCAGGTAGCGTTTTGAATATATGAAGAAAATTGAATTCCACCTCACTTGATGTCAATGAAGAAAGCAGTCGAGTAATTTCGATAAAGAAAGAAAGAAAGACCAGATTTGCAGTATAAAATGAAATCATCGTTCTATTTCACAGGTTTTCATCAACCGCAGACTACCTGAAATTACAATGGTTATATGGATGATAATAACATACTTTAATGTTTGAGTGGTAGCAGAGAAGAAATACTATAAAAGTGACGCATCCAAAATGTAAGCATTACAATTATTTTAGTTTAAGTTTTCATCATCGATTTATACGCTTTCAAAGTAAAAAAAAGAGGGGTAAGGGGTAAGACGGAAAACATTAAAAAATTAACAAGCTGTGTTAGCGGTTAGAGTTTATAAGATTGAGATTTGCTCAGTGAGTTGAGATCACTGAATTAGATGACTAATTAATGTAATCAAAATCAAAATTTAATTACCAAGGCAGTGAACTGGACAATACCTTGACTACAACAGCTTCTGGGCTATAAGCTGTAAGCGGAGATAAGTAAGGACATTGTACGACAGAGCCAGGAAGCCGTGTTCACCGAATAAATTAGAGGAAGAATTAGGTTTCGCTGAGAAATGCCTAAGAGAAAATGGATACCCAAAGGGATTCATACAAAAGTATAGCAGAGAAAAAGATAAGAAAGAAAAGCACCTAACCGCAGAAAAGAAGAAAGTGTTTATTTGTCTCCCATTCAAAGGAGATGCAGTGTCACAAAAGACTGACGAAAGAATGAAAGGTGCAATAAAACGAAGCTTCCCTGCATCTAAACTCATAACACTATACAGCACTACTTCTTCTATAGGCCAATCGAAACTGGATAAATACCCTGCTGATGTTACCTCCAACTAAGTTTATGAATTTACGTGCACTTGCGCGAGCAAGTACATTGGAGGGACGGAAAGAGGGGCTTCTATCCGGTTTTCTGAACATATTCCAAAAAAACCTGTGCCTGAAAGGAAGCAAATAATCTCAGAGTGCAATTACCAGACATATTGTTGATACAGGACATCTCATAGAGATTTCTAAGTCCTTCAAAATATTAAACAGACAAAGGACAGCAAATTTACTACGGTTTACACAACGTACAAAGTTTTCAACAGCAATTATTGCATAATAGCTTCTCTTTGTTCACGACCTTCAAGTAAAATAGTAGTTGAGAGTGAATCAACTAAAACACTGCTGTCTCACCTGAAGCGAAAACTAATCCCTAATGATATGCCTTCATTGCCTCCCTTTTTCGAGAAATCCATGACATTCAAGTGAAAGCCACAGTAAGAAGTTGCTGGACTACATTTTCTGACTCAGTAACATAATAATATCTGAATAAGTGAAAACTACAGGTAACTAGTTACATTTCTCAGACGGCAGGAGTTTGTATTAAAGTCTCAGGAACAGTTATCTCATGTATTGGTATACGCTGCCACCCAAAATTTCGCCTTTTTCAAGCCTAGTAGAAACCTGAGAAACAGCAGGTTCTAGACATTTTGAGTACTCGCGAGGGTAAAAAAACACCATTAGAGGTCCATTTTATATAAAAATAAGGTGCCTATACGGTAGTTTATGCTTAATGTTATCTGCTCACTATTAGATGGCTCAAATGGAGTACTTTAATATTTTTGTTTGAAATAAATGTGAATATATGTCATTACTAGTGTTTGTTATTGTGCAAATCATGTAGTATTGTGGTGAGGGCTGGCTGCTAGCCGAAATTGGTAGATAGTAATTTGCGTCAAAGTGTACGTCACCAATATTGGTCGTAAGAAAAATAAGAACAAAGACTGACTCAACAACCAATCACAGCAGACTTTGCGTAGGCGGATACAATTTGCAGACAGATAATCTGAACTTCAAGAAACGGCCACAAACAGATGAAAGATTAACGTTCAGCGAGAAACCACCAATCAGAAGACTGTGTTTGTTTGCCTACAATAATCTATAATAATGTACATGAAAATATATAAATATGTGTTGATTTCCTTAATAAACGATCACTTGCCTGGTCCTTGTCTTCTTTTGTTACAGTATTACCTAGCACATTATATATTTGTGGTTTACCCCCAATAGTGAGAGCCGACATGAATCAGACAGTATAAATCTTCGAAACTGATTTGTTTAAGTAACTTTTTTAGTCCATGACATTTGACTACCCTAAAAGACGTTTAAATGCAGTTTGTGGTAGTTTATTTATTGGTTTAAACATGAAGTCGAAGAAAAGTATATTTGTTTTACATGCAATTATGTACTTAAAATGTCCAATTCCAATTCGACGGGCGTCTATTCCGTCAAGTTGATGGTGTCGCAGTGGGCAGCCCTTTGGGATCACTTTTCGCTGACTTATTCTTCTCACGCCTAGAAACCGGTACCTTGCAGCAACGTATACAAGAAACAGATATATACCTAAGATGTGTTGATGATATTTTTATTGTCTGTGAAAGCAGATCAAAAGCCGAAGACATGTTGATAAAATTCAACTCATGCCATCCAAATCTCAATTTCTCAGTAGAACACGAGGAAAACGATACTATTAAATTCTTAGACGTTTTTCTGACGAATATGAATGATGGCACAACCGAAAGATCTATATTTAGAAATTCTTCATGGACAGGACAGTACATGCATTTCAAGAGCTTTGTTCCAATCCAGTATAAAAAGATCTTAGTCAGAACACTGTTCAATAGAGCACAGAAAATTTGTTCTGATGGTACTGTTGAGCATGAAAGAAAATCTCTGAAGGATATCTTATCTAAGAATGGATATCCAGAGAAGTTCATTAATAAATACTCTAAAGAAAATAGTGCCTGCAAAACAATCCAAACAGTTCCGAAGAAACCTGTCTATATCAGTTCGCCGTTCAAAGGAGACAATGTACAGGAAGTAGTCAAACGAAGACTTGACAAAGCCATCAAGAGAACTTATTATGCTGCAAAACTTGTTTTCCTTAACACCACTAGGCGAGTGCTTCAACAATCTGGGAAAGGCCAGTCGCCAATCCTCGACACTTCAAACTGCGAATATCAGTTTGAGTGTGTTTGTGGAAGCAAAACATCGGTCGTACGGAAAGGCGATTGTCTACTCGCATGATAGAGCATTTTCCAAAATGGTTGAACACAGCTGAATGCAAAGTGCCAAAATCTTCAATAACAAAGAATCTTGTGGATTACGGACGTGATATCGACGCGGTCAAGTCATTCAATATTGTCAGCAGACAAAGAAACAAGAAGATGCTTGCAATTGCAGAGGCTTGTGCAATTCGAGTTTATAAACTAGGTCTCTGTGTACAAAAGGAGATGGTCGTGAATCTGAATCTACTATGGTAATACGTTTTGCTTATAATTCTACCTCTTATTATTATTATTCTGATTATTATTATTCTTGATTCATTTAAAACTATCCTTTGTCAGTAGCATTATCTTAACTCACTTCAACACTATTATTATTGTTATTATAACTATTACTATTGGTATTAGTCTTTTTGCAATTCTTGTTATATTCTCTGATGTTTAATTGTCTATCTAAGTGATGTAATTGGAGCGTAATGCGGTTTATCTTAATTTTGATCTCTCATACTCTCTCTCCCCTTACCTATTTGAACATGACCTGGAAAACATTCGCACCTGTCTTTCTGCATGACTAATTCAATGTAGTTTGTTTACTTATCAGTCGTATATCTCCCAATGTAATTTCAAAAGTATATATCCGTGTTTGTAGAGTATTCAGCTGACGAGTTCTACCGAAATTTGATGAATTCATTAAATCCTGCTTTGTCAACCTTTATTGCTTGTTTTAAATTCGTATCGGGAAATAAATGTTTTCAATTAGAACTGAGTTATACAGTATGAGACTATTAACCATACTTCCTGTGTGAGAGCTGATGATGTTACTTAGTTGCTCACAGTGAAATGAAAAGTCGAATGACATTCGGACCCGAGACAGACATACTGGCTGGATGTTGAGGGCTTCAGCCAGTGGAACGAACCTACACTTCATCATATAAAGCACTACTGGATTACCCTACTTGAGGAAAACGTTATCGTTGACAGTTTGCACCAATGAATAAAACCTAAAAGCTTTAAAATCAACATATTTGTGTACAACGCTTAAATAAAAAAGAAACGCAAATATATAATTTCAACAAACTTACATCGATTCTATCATTAGGATGTATTTCAACAGAGTCTTTCTGCCATATGAACACTACATCTTGTGCAGTTGACTGAACATAACAATATAATAAAATTGGCTCAAATATAATAAGCATATCTTGTTGATCAGATATTGATATATTATCATTTTTTACAGGATAAATATGATATTCTGATTGTAACAGACCAATAAATTTCGGTGCTTCATTTGGACCGGAATGTTTTTGATGAAATGTTAACGCTTTTAATGTTAAAGCTTGTTGATTAATATAACAGTTTGTTTCGACTTCTTTTACTGAACGCGGTAGTGTGAATGAAGGATTCGGTAGTTTATTTACTGGCTTTACGTTCAATTTAAAGGTACGATTAAACCATTGCTTTATCTTATTTTCATTTCTATTCATTGAATCCTTTTGCATCCTGTAAAATATTAAACAAAAGAAAATGAAGTAGATTTTTCATATTTTGACTTAAATTATAAAAGTTGGTGAGTAATATTGCTGTACTTTTTATGCTATCAAAAGTTTTAGTAAAACCAGTTCAGTAATATTCCACATGTATTATTATTTATTATTATTCCCTTGAATTCAGAGTGGAACATAGAGCTTCAGCAACACATCTACACTTTGTTCTGTTCTCTACTGTCCTCTTCAGATGTCTACACGATTGCCCATAGTCTCTCATCTCCTCATTCCCATACGGTCTACTCCATGTCACCCTCGCATCGACGACACACTCATCGCTTCTCATTCAGATTCCACTTGAGTCATGGCCTACATTGTGTGTGACGTCATTTGACAGCCTTCTCAACGAATGCCCTATGTATCTCCATCTTCTCCCACATATTTGTTAAGTAATCGGCTCTTGAGTGGTTTGTTCCCAGTTAGAGTTTCTTGTTACTAATTCTTTCTGGTCATTCGACCTTCAGTATGGAGCAGAGAAGTGGGCACTTGTTGAAAAACGTCTGAAGCTACCTGTTGGGAATCCCTTTCGTGTCATGAGCGACAAGTTTCTGAGCCGTGTAGAAGCACTAACCTACTTCACATTTGTGTTGAATAGAGTCCGAATCTTGTTGTTTATGCTGGCTGAGTGCAGCAGGTTTCCACATTGAATTCAGAGTGATGAAGGCGTATCTCGCCTTTCCGATTCTGGCTGGCTTTGATATCTTCATTTTGTTCAAATTGCTTGTGTTTGAAACCATTTTTCCTAGATTGGCGAAGGAAATAAACTCTGTCAAATCTCTCCCGTTGATGGTGATTGATGCTGGTTGCTGTTGCTGTTGGCGGTGGTCGGTTATTTTCATCACCTCCGTTTTCTCTGTGTTCACCTGGAGTCCTGTCTTCGCCGCCAGCTTCTGCAGCCAGTTTGTTGGTTTTCGCTATCAAGTCTTCGAGTTTGTGTGACACTAAACATAAATCATCCGCGGAGTCCAGATCTCCTAGAGTCTTCGTATCGGTCGATGCAGCGTAATCCAGTCCACCACAATTAAGAATATCATTCCACATGTACATGACATTAATTTTAAATGAAACATAATTTATGGGGTCAATGGATTTCGTCCACCATGTAACATGGATATCCTGCGTTCGACCCCTTGGTGCGTTCATAATTGCCTACTGATTAAGCGTCTCAAACAAGGACCAATCAGCTATCCAGTACTCCTTGTTGTTCGGTGGTTCTCTGACTAAAGTCAATTTATGATCAAAACTCTATTATTCCTGGAGTCAACTTCATAGCACCAGTATGCAACTTCATACTTTCCTAGTCTCTTTTATCTCTAGAAAAGTTTCTAATATAAGTGAACATAGAAATTTTATTAGAGACTTATAGTAGAAAATTGAATGTCGACAAATGATTTCCCATTTGACCAAGCTTTGTTACTTCATGGCTATTAATGCAAAGATTGGAGAACTTTTTTAACTATTTTGCAATATAAGACTTCTGTAAGAAGATGCTAAATTAATGCACCCACTGTGTAATAACCATGCCTTTGTTTGTTGATATCGAAGAACAAAAAATTGAATTAAAACAGCATTCATTTGAATACATATTACTTTGTTGATTACCAGAAATAAGATCTGATCATTTGTTATAGACTGGTAATATATGAAATCTCTGTACGTGATTACAAACATCACATAAGTTATACGTTATAAGTCCCTACGAGGATCCCGCATTTCAACGGAAGTCGGACATCTCAGTCTAATCAGTCAGCGGGGAAATCAAAATTGAATTAAAAACAAATAATAACGGATGACCACTGCACAAGAGGTGGTCCATATGGCCCAAGTTGTCTAGTGGATAACGCTTTGGTGTTTAAAATGTTGGGTTCTGGGTTCGAGTCCCCGCAGGAAGACCATCACTCACTGTGGATCACAGGTGCATCCGGATGACGGGTCTCAAAGTGGAAGACGAAATGCGCATCCTGGATTACACTGCTAATCGCCATCCACCAAAAAGCCGTATTCCATTTTTCAAACCGTTTAATGGATAAACTACTTCATACAGACCAAGGATTTTCACCTAGTTTGCAGGTCTTATGTAGCACATCAAGTTAGAACGATCCAAGAAAAAGTAATTATTTATTTCATTTAAGCTGGTGAATAGTATGAACTGAAACTTTGGATAATTTATGGCTTTCAGGAATTAAATGGCTTACATTACCCTGTACGTCATACTAAAATGAATATTGTTTTCAAGAATTAAAGAACTATGAGTATCCAATTTCCCTTTTCCACTGAATACCCATGGATAAAACAGAGAATTAACACACTATGAGACTGCTAAGTGAGACTTTTTTCATTAATTCAACTCACTCCTCATTCAAGCTGAAGGAGGTCACCACTTCCACTTATCTTGGGAGCATTGTTTCAAATACAGGTGATACAGATGAAGATTTCAAAGGAGGAATCGTAGAGGTAAGATAGACCTTCATTATTATGGGATCAGTCTGGAAATCTGCCTCACTCAGAATAAAGAACAATACTTGAATTTTCAGCACTAATTTAAAGTCAGTTCCTATACACAGCTCAAATAATTGGCTTTCACGTCACCATAACCATATCCAACAGGCTTCTTCAAACTTGTATCAACCACTGTCTTCTCTGGCTCCTTAGTGAAAATCAGATGGCCGGTCAGAAAGGATTAGCGACAAGGAACTCTTAGAGTGAACCAGCCGGGAACCTATCGATGAATAAACATGCCAAAGAAAATGAAAAGGGATTGGACACAGAGAGAAAAGACAGTTGAGTGAAATCGTGTTTCCAGTAGGTTATCGAGTAGAACGATAATTGGAAGCGATGAGTTTGGTGAGGTCCGAGTATGAAACGGTGCGCATGACAGCTTGTGGATACTCCTGGAACCAACTAAAGAGGAGTGCGTAAAACAGGATGAAAGGGTTATGTGCTGCTGGACGTTTTTATTCCACTGGGAACCTATGGGAATAATAATAATAATAATCTGCTTGAAGTCATATGGGTAGGTAACACATTAATTCAAACAAGTGCATTTTTATCCATGAGAGACATTGAACATAGGCATATATATATGTTTCATCGTTTTAACATTTCAAATGACAAGTGAGGTATTATTTTTGAGCAGTGATGTTAAGCAAGATCTCACGAATACAAATAACTTTGATTATTTTTAAGTGATGACTTGATATCTAAAAGTGAAAAAAGATATGTGCGTCCTTTCCAAAACATAACTACATGTTTCACCAGAATTAAGTTTTTTTTAATTTATTCTTTTGATCTGAAATAAAGGTAAAGTCAAATATCGAAACTTTTAGAGATATCCGTGTAGTTGACTGATCACATTTCAAGTCATACTGTATTTACATTAGATCACTTTCTCTGTTATGGATAAAATTAAGGTTATGTCGGATGAAAATATCCCACTAAGTCATGAACTATAGCCGGAAGTAATGAGAAGGAGTACCATTGTACTATATTAAATCACTGAATGAAACCAATACTGATTTTTAGATGTTCAGTCCATTCCCCAATGATATTTATTAGTAAAGAAAATCTTTTGTGAGCCGTAGCACAACGGTAGAGTGCTGGCAGACCACGCATGTGGTCTGGGGTTCGTATCCCGGTCACCGACGCACTCCTTTACCTCGCTAAGCCACCAATAAGACTGGTAAAGAGGGAAGGTTGGGCAGGAGGCTAGCAATCCCATCCCATAAAAATAAGCACCACTGCTACCGAAACTTCAAGCCTCCAGCTTGAAGCCCTATGTTCCAGCACTGAGAACGTAAAGGAATAAAAACAAATTTTACTCAAAGAAATGTTCACCATGACTTAGTACAAACTAAAAACCTCACTATTCAGCTAATTGCCTGATGCAACACATTGAAGATATTGTCAGTCACTCTAAGTTCAATTAAATATTAAATGATGTGCTCAATTACATCTTTTTAAAATTTATTAAATATTACTAGACTAATCTCTACTTTAAGTCAAAAATCTTCTTAAAATGTAGTCGCCAAATGACGTCGACTAACTGTATGTTTTCTAGAAAAAGAAGGCTGACATAAAGTTCATATGACTTAGTAAGAAATAAAAAGACATGCCATTCCTACGCATACAGCCTTTTATTTAAAAAAAGACTATCTATAATTTAAGTTTTATCCAGTAGTAGCCAGTTAAATTCGCAGTGTAATTACTCCTTTACATTGTATTGGTAGAAGATACTACAGAAGAAATCAATAATGTTTTATTACATGAGAAAGAAGTACACACCAAAAATTGTATGAAGCTGAAAAATCTTTTTTTTTCATTTCTAAATTATTGGTGGTTAGCTACCTCAACAGCTAACTGTACTTTATTTCAAAAGTGGCCTTGTGTTGCAGTTTCAATATTGAAAAAAAAGAAAGAAGCGGTTATTCAGTATCTACACACTTCTAATGGATATGTATATATGAATATTTTCAACGCGTTGAACACATTAACTATATTATCAAATAGCCTTACTGATGAGTGCAAACTAGGACAAAACCTAGGTCAAGCAAGGCTTCCTGCCGATCGCCCCCAATCATCGAATATCATCAAATCAATGTGCACCTTGATGGCGAGCTACCATCTAGAATGGTGGCCACATTGCAAACCTGACTGACAGAATTCAGTCTGCACCAACACAACACGGACTAGACATCACACTAGTTTTTAATATGTAGGGCTACCATTGATAAACATGAAACTAAATGCCACAAACTATATGATCCTATAGACAGATGTAAAAGGACATCTTTTTATGTAAGAGGAGTAGAGCAAATTGAATAATAAGGCTGTTAGTAGATAAGTGCCCTGTACACATCATAGGCATAATAGTAATTAGTTTACAAGTATGGTCAAGCACCTGCCTGTCTAAAAGCCTGTGACTCATAGAAATAAAATTACTGAGCTATTCAATGACAA